AGTTATTTCCCCTATACAGGTAAAATGTTCTATTATATTCAGGCATTCCTGGTAAAATATATCTTTATATCAAATAAATTATGACAGGTATCATAATTTTGTCCATTATAGAAACTAAACAGAACAAGTCTTGATGTTCTTCAAATGCTGTGGTTTGATACTTATAAGTTCAGGTAATTGATTGCCCACACAGTAGGAATATTTTAAACATTAGGCAGTGTGGTCCGAGATGCAGCTTTAAATTACTTAACCCATGGTCACACGTGTTGAAATCCCACTAAATGGGAAGCTAAACTCTGTTTAGTTTAAACATATCTATTTAAGCTCATTTGCGAAATAAGTTCTTGCAACTTACATTAATCACTTTCGAGTCCGCATCCTGGAACTAACCAGTACTGATGTCATATGAAGAAATATGGCTTTGACCTGGGTAGTTCTCGAACCCATGTTCATTGGGTTGAGGAACATACACCTTAACCACTAGGTCTACGCTCTCCTTATGTGAGGCAAATGTCCGCCTATTTAACCCCAGATGTACTTGAACTGAAAGGGATAAGCATTTGTCACCAGTATGTATAGCCGTGTCATTGATTGCACGGAATTGCTCAGGAAGTATAAAGGTTAGCTCGATATCTTTTACTTTTTTAATTTATACGAATTAATTTTAGTTCGTTTGTGTTGAAAGCTTATTGCTTATTGGAACACTCTCGAATCCGCTATTGGAACCAACCAGTATTAAGCAATGAGTGTAAAGTGTTTTGCTCAAGGAACTATGATTTGCTATCGAACGGGGTTCAAACACATGCGGTCATGTTACTTTTTTTCAAAAATTTATCTTATTGGGGTTGTGTTCACGGTCCTCATTTCAGGAATCCAACTTAAATGTCAAGGTCACAGAAAAAGGTTAGTATTCTTTAGTCTAGAGAAGATGCAGAAATGATTCTTGCCATGGTTCGAATGTTTATTTCATTGAGGAGTGTGAAATTTCACAAATCACAATTTCGCTTAAAGCGAAATTTTCAGAAAATTTAATGGATGTACATCTCCACTTGCACAAGACACTGTGTTTAAAACATGTTTGCAATTCTTTTGTTTGGATTTGTCCTGTAACTAAACGAGTCGTATGCATCTGACCGTTATTGTAATACTTTATAATTTCTTTATTTCAGTCTCATCTTTACATGTATACATAAAATTACATATAAAACGTAAAACACAAACATAAAATACATGAAAAGCCATTCTAAAAGAATTACAAGACTATTTATTTTTATGTATACCTCTAAGGGAGACAACTCCACAGACCATATCACAGCAGTTTACTGTTTTATGCACTGAGGAGTTATCCCCCCTAGCTATACAAATTTCACATAATCATTATCATTCTTTAAAAGGTTGTTGTATTTTAAAAACATGACCTAAATATATTCAAACTATTGCATGTTTTTCCTACAGAAGGTTACATTGTGGTACAATGAATAAAACGATACTAAAATGTTTAAATGCAAATGGTAAGAAGAAAAATTGACAATAATGTATCATTTAACCTTGGAAAGCATGTCATTTATTACACTTGATACTTTACAATCTCAAAATATTACTAACTTCAGTATATCAACGATTTGTTTTCTTCAACATAATTTACATGAAGATCTGTTTTATCCATACAATATATTGGCTTAGTCAATGGATGTTTTATACAGAAGCAACATATATTTGTCCAATATGTAATAAATATGGCCATTAAAACTTATATAAGTAAATTAATGACATTTTTAAAACCATATCCTGCCAAATAAAATTTACTAAGACTGTTTTATTATAATTTTTTCATACTGTCCAATTAAATTTATCTAGGACCATATAAACAATAAAATAATATTCATTTTTTGAAAAATTGATAACGATGTCAGACCACAGTCTTAGTGTGGTTAAAATATTTATCTTAAAACCTACATTTCAGTAAAAACATTGACATGTACCTATTATTCTTTTATATACAATGTAAATATTTTAAATTAAAATAAAAACATATAAAAAGACACATCAGAAAAAGGAAAAAGAGAGCAATTTGTATGTTCTTATATGTAAAGGAAAGTTACCCTTCTCTTAAGTATGTCAAAGCAGGTTTTGGCAATATACCGTACACGACTCGTATTTGAGAATATAAAAGTAAACTTCTCCATAGTTGTCATTGTGTGAAATTGTGGGTTTTTGACACTCACTTTTTCAAATAGATCTACACGAATATCTTCATACATAAAGCATTCCATTACAGCATGAAATTCACTTTCTACCTTGTTATTACAAAAAGGACAAAGCCTTTCATTTACTGGTAGGCGTTAATATCTACCTGTCTCTATTCTTAGTGGTGCAGTTCCACATCTGAACTTAACAAAATCGGACCTGTGGCAACGCGGAAATATGATTTTGCAATACATTTTTTGTATTCCTCAGTTCCAAAAGTTGTCTTAAACTGCCTTTATGTGCGCACTTTGTTGCCATCGACCCCCGCTTCTACTTCTTTCAGATGTAACATTAACATTCCACTCTGCAATAAAACTTTGGATTGTTCTAGATTGAACTTTTTCTAACATAGCTTTTTTTTTGATACCATAGTATCAATATTTCAAAATTCTGTACATTCAAGATCATTAAAAATTTGTTTTGTTCTGAAACACCAGTTTTTACATCTTGTACTACCAATTGAATTAGCATACATAAAAACTTTGTAGTTTGTTCTGAACCTAAGCATCATACATAGTCTGTGCCAAAAATTAGAAACACTTATCATCTGTCTACTGAAAGTTGGTTGCCAGCCCATATCGCCTATCAGGGCTGCTGACGGAGAGAAACGGGATGTCCCTAAGAAAAGACACACAGCACGGTGTTGAATTGAGTCAATACATGAAAACGATTTGTTTCCCCATATAGCTGCTCCATATGCTACCACAGACCAAACCAACGATTCAAATAACTTAGTAAAGACATTGTAAGACATTCCCCCTAGAGACTTGTATTTAGCTATTAAGAGACCTAAAGCTCGCCTGGCTGACTGAGCAACAAACGTTGCTGTGACAGAGTAGTCTAAATTCTCTTGAAGTGTTAAACCTGAGTATACATATTTTGGAACACATTCAAAATTATCTGGTCCACATTTAAAGACAAAATTGGTCCTATTTACATTATTTGGTCTATAATGCATTACATTGCTCTTTGTCGGATTAATTTTCATTTGAAAGGCGCATGACCATTCATACAGAACATCTAACATACTTTGCAAATCTTCCTCAGTTTCAGCAATGAAAACAATGTCATCAGCATAAAGAAGTATACACAACTTTTCTTCGTTTCCAATGTCAACACCCATGCCTAATGCCTTTAGTCTCACAGCAAGATCGTTAACATAGAAATTGAAAAGAATTGGTGACAAGCCACAGCCCTGACGAAGGCCGTTGTTTACATTACACCAGTTTGTATGCAAATTGTTTACCCGTACACAAGTTGTTACATTAGAATAAATAGATTTTACAGCTAAGAACATTTTACCATTAACACCAACATTGGCTAATTTCTTCCACAGAATATCCCTATTGACGGAGTCGTATGCCTTGCTAAAATCTATGTATTCTACAAATGTTGATCGCTTGGATTTCAAACGTGTTTCAACAATATTGTCAAGGTTGACAATTGGTCAATTGTACTACGACGTTTCCGAAAGCCATTTTGTTCATCTTCAAGCTTGGCATTCGACTCTGCCCATGTTGACAAACGTTAGTACTACAATACAGTTTGTACATTGTATTAGCTAATGCAATTCCTCTATATGACATAGGGTCTTTCCTATCCTGAGTATTGGACTTTGGGATCGGGTTGATGATACATTTTCCCCAATGAGAAGGAACCATACCTTTGGAATAACAAATATTAAAAAAATTTGGAGACAAGAGACTGAGGCGTCATTTCTAAATATCTCATACGGCAAGGCATCTATCCCACTAGCCTTAAATTGTTATTTTTGGCCCGCTTAATAGCATTCCTGACTTCTAAAACATCGATCTCTCTTTAAAATTCTAAACATGTGTTTTGTCCAGGAGGTGTATCATCAGCCCGGTTTACATGTACAAGATTGTTTCTTATATCATTATTAACATTATATAAATTCTCAAAAGATGCTTCCATTTATCAAGTACAGATGGAATATCGGATACTAAATCTCCATCATCATTTACAATTTGCATAGGAATAGTTTTGGATTTATGAGAAACAACACCAACTCTACCAATATTTTTCCAAAATGACTGCGGGTCTTTTTCAACCTCATTTAAAAGACTGTTTTGTAAATTGTACCAAAAATACCTTTTAGTCTTCTGTACAGCCCTACTAAAATTCTTCCTTTCCTGGCAGTAGTTCTGTCTCAGACGTTTCTTATTTTGGACATTGGTGCATTTACAATACATTCTTTCAGCATAACATACATTATTCCATTTAACAGTAAGGTCATCAGACCACCATGGTCTATAGCATTTTCTACCTTTACTGTTATTTGAATTAAGAGTTTTGTTTCATCCTAGGCAGCTTAACAAACATTTCATTTTTAATGCATTGACACAACTCAACATATCCTGTATCTACATCAGATACTACGATAATTCCGCGAATTTATCAAACAACCGAATACAAGGATGGGGTGGAAATATAATAGCGCAAACCGCAAATGAGTGTTTAAAACATTTATTTTTATTGTTTTTAAATGTTTTCTTAATGTAATGTAACGATAACAGCAATAACAAGTGGCCTGGTGTATATCAATAAGCAACGACTAATTCAAGTAACAATGTTCCTCTTTTTTTCAAATGAATATTTGATACATAAATTATGTCAAACACAAGGTAAACGCATTCTAGAAGATTTTTTTATCCCCCCCCCCCCCCCCCCCCCCCCTCAAAAAAAAAAAAAAAAAAAAAAAAAAAAAACAGCCAAAAAAGCACACAAATACAGTCAAAGAACAAATAATAATAATAATAAATGAAATAAAATGAAAAACAAATAAGGCACACAATGAAAATGGCATATTTTAAACATGTCTGATTTAACATGCATATCGTTCTTGTTATAATAATATCTAAATAACCGTATCTGTCTATATTACCCCCACTTTAATCTTCGCAGATAGAGGAGTATGTCGGATTTTTTAATTAATGATATGAATAATAAATAATTATGAGATATTATAAGTTTAATTAATAACAGTAACAACATATGATATGAAACGTTTTATAATGTAAAAATGCGAAATTTATTAACAAAAATGACTAGTATCTCTAAATGAATTATATTGGATTTAAAGTGATTTTCTGCGCAAGCGCAAAACCGAAAAAATGTACATGTATGTGAAATGTTTAATGAAATGGATAAGTAATAGTAATTATGTAACGTTATTAAATGTAACATTTTGTTTAAAGTCATTTTATCTTAGATTTCTTTAAAGTTATCTATCTTGGATTATGCATTATTCATAAAAGTATTTGTTGAAATTTTACATCATATTTGATAATATAAGTTTGAGGTTTTTTTTAGATTTTATCTTTTTTTTTTCTTTTTTTTTCATTCTTTTTTTGTCCATCAACCAGATTATTTCACATTGATATGCAAAATAATCAGGTCCCGTCTGAAGCTATTATTATTTTGAGGGAGTTTTAGTAAACCCTCGTTGTCGGTAAAATTTATATATTTACAAAATATTAAATTTTCCAAAAATGTTCACCCTTGGTATTGTAAAAGTACCTTTAGGGAAAACATATGGATTTCGTCAGAGGTTCTTTTTTAATACAAATTGTAGAAAACTTTGCGAAATTCTCGAAAAGCGAATTTGTTACAATTTGAAATCGGTCAATAATATATACATGTTTTTTTTATCTCTCATTTGCTGAGAAAAATTTGTGTCTTTAAACATTTCTCTGTCCTACTTCATTTATGATAATGGACAACGTTACCCAAACCCCCGTTCTAAATATAGTGTTCTCCATGGAAACACATTCTCTTTGCTTGCACTAAGTTATAGTGCTCTCAGATAGTTTCTTTGGTCTAAAATGCTCTACCGTCCAATGTTTATGGACTGTGTCGGTATCTATCCCTGTAAGGGAGAAGGTAAAATGCCCGGGATCTTCCGCCATAATGTCCGCCAGCTACGACACATTTTCGGTGACTTACGCCACGCATGACGGAACCAACCGGACAAACGCTTATACATATACCGTCCCATCTGTACAGTCTGCATGTTTCGCACGATGATATTCCCGGACCATCACACGTGCGACACAGGGGGTGACAACGTTTACACATCTAAAACAGAAGAAAAAGATTTTTTTAGAAAGGTGTACCCATGGTATTTCTATTAATAATAATTCATTCAATATAATAATAAAATGTGACTTCGTGCTCGTTCAAATGTTCGGACATATTTTACAAAAATATATTAAGTGTAGGATAAAATAAAACGCAATCTCGGATTTTCGCCATATTTAAAAATGTTGTTTCTCCCCAAATTTCGTATTTGTTTTTAGCAGAATGCCCCATTGCACATTTTATACTTTCTTCGGAACAAATGTTATTTAAATTAGTTTTTTTTTATTTAGATAAAGCTTGTTCTCACATAGTTTTTATGACAATAGACTGATTATTTAAAAGAAAAAATAATTAATATATATCGCTTAATCTTTTAACTAGAAAACATATTATATGATAATAATATTAAAGGTATTTTAAAACGTATCTTAATAGCAATAAAATAAAAGTTATAAAATATGATAATGATTAAAGAAATATTTACCGTCAAACTTTGTCCGTTGTGGTGTGATCTTTTCCTGTAGAAACCCTCGGGACAGACTGTTGTGAATGGAGACATGCACGTGACCCTATGGTGATGATGTTCAAGACCTAACCAACACGAGTTACAACCGCCGATTCCAAGATGGCGTCCAGGACCCGTACACCTAGGAATAAATACTCAGTTATTACTATTCGACTTTCAAGTCATCTGTAGTTTATTAATAGTTTATAGCTTTTTTTTTATTTTTTTACAAAACCGATACAATTTCACATGCGAACATGAGATGAAAAATAAAGAACAAGTTTACAGTATATACATGTACATGGATCCTGTTATTGTTTTACATGTAATAAAAGCAAAAGGTTCATACCACAAGTTTTAACAACATTAGAGTGTTGGCCCTGTCAAAATCTTATCTCATCAAGAAGTTAACACTTAAGTACAATAGTTTGCACATGTAGAAGATTTCGCAATCATATCTCAATTTATAAATTACACATGTACAAAAAAATGATAAAAACGGTAAAACAAATGTTAAACCTACCCGTCGGCACCGCAGTTTTCATAGCACAAGTTACACTGGCCGTTCTCGTCGGGATATCTTCCGTCGGGACACCAATACGTCGGCATACAATCTCTGGAAATACATCAGGTGGCGTTATTGTATCGTCGATTTGAGGCAGAAATAATAGTACATGAAATTTGTTTAGTGAAACAAAGTTTACATAATTATATTAAACTGAATGTTATAATTTCCACAAAGATATGCCGAGTTGATATTTATGTAAAGAACTTATAAATTTTGAGTAATTCCACTGTTAAGGCATTAAAAGATAATTTTCAAATATAATGTCCGGAATTGTGGATCCGCAAATTTTTCAACACGCAAATATATCCACTTGTAGAGTATACTCATCAAGTTTCAATACTAACGAACTAATAGATGGAGTATATTGTTTGCAGGCAGATCTACTACTACCTTTTCTGTAATAAGAGTTTTCTTTTGATTAAAAATCGTAGAATCTGACTACTGACTAAAATTTCGTCTTAAAAATTTTAAAGTGATTCTGTATAACCAATATATCTTAATTAATATCGTTTTATTCATTTATTATCTATATCTTTGATTTATCTAATGAATAGTACATTTATTCATTCTTCCATTCCAGTCTTTAAAAAAGTCTCATTCAACTTATTACCATCTTGCATACGAATATTTTAGTTATATTCAAATGTACACAATCCTTGGCAGGTTTTTTTACAGCCTTATTAGCAGTTAAAAGGTAGATAAAACCGATTATTTAACTTGGGAAAAATATTGGTTTCGATTAGGCAATACAGGTAGTATTTTTGTAAGATGTTATTTTTTCTCGGTAAAAGATTTACTTATTTTATGTTAAATATAAAACTAAATTCCTTAATTAATACAGAGGATAAAAATACTTACATTAAATCCATCAATGTTGTTGCTAGAATAAGAACTAAAGTTACAATTTTCATTTCCATTGCTGTAAGTATTTAATCTATTTTTCTTTAAAAGAAAAACAAGATTTCGTCGTCGAAAATCAAAATCTAAGATATATGAAATCTTCCAATTTAAGTAATTGGTCGTCAAGTTATTTTAAGACCAGTAATAAATTGGTCTATGTCCTTTTTGCAACTCAGTTTCTTTTTCTGAAATGCTTTCTCACTGTTGCATCTTTTTATTACTTTCAATGTTTAGATTAAAACTAAACCAAAGTTTTCTCCTTTATTTCGTAAAGAAACAAGTGAAGAATAATTGTGAATATTTGCACAATAGACTATCCAACTATCGTATTTGTTAATCAAATTAAAGGGTTATAAATATCCACCATATTATTTGCAAATCACATTTAATAACTACTATTTGTTAAGAAGTTAGGCATACAGACTTCATATTCCGGCTTATTTCATCATATTTACATAACCGCAGAAATATATTTTGATCCGATCACGATACGGTAGGTTGTTAGAAAAAGTTCTATTGGCGAATCAAACATTAAATCTTATTAAAATTCAACCTCCAGAATCTTTGAAGGATGGCCTAAAATACTGCATTTCTTGTTCATATATCAAATGAAACATTTTAATAGTTGCAGTTGAAAAGGGACTTGAAATGAAGTGATGATGTGGTACAAACAAAACATCAAGTTTTTTCATCAGTGTTTGCAAATTTAATAAATATATTAACAAAAAGAAAAACCTGTCTTTTACATTCCGACAATTTGGCTATATTTTATCTCTATTAGACAATAGGTTATATGCTAACAAATTGTCAAGTATTGTTTGTGCATTGGCATTGGACGGGTGTCGATTCAAATATAGCGTTCTTGGCAAAACTTATTTCACAACTTATTCAGCATTTTCATTGTCCACTTTAACACTTTGGACAGTTCCATATCTATTTTTACCCGATTGAAATTATGTATCGCAGTTGCTTTCAACCGAAATATCAAACATGTAATTGTTGCAAGTAAATCTTTGCTTCCAAAGGTATAAATTATTATTAAAAGACTAAACTATTTGTCCCATTCTGACCTACGTCAAGAAATAGAAAAACAAGAGCTGTCGGTAGGACAGCACGCTCGACTATTCTAAGTGCTTGATAGTTAAAGAGCCTTGATAATGTTAAATTTTCTAAGTTCACAAAAGGGCTAATTTTTTTTATAAATTCATGTTATAGGCCTTAGAGAGAGTCTAATTATACAGTATTGGCTTGACTATTTGGAAGGTAATGTCACAAGGGTGTTTTATTGAGTATAATAATACTAATTACCTATGAATACATAAAATTGACAGAAAAGGTATTAAGATGTTTTATCAAGTAAATCACTGCTTTATTATTATGAATGCATAAAATTGTCCCAAAAAAGGCACAAACCCTTCAGTAGTTATGGAGATAACAGCTTACAAGCAAAACTTTACCATGAATTTCTAAGTTGAAAAAGGGAAGAAAAATCAGCCTAAATGCAAGATAGAATTATGGATCTTTGTCAGTGACCTACAATTCTGACCCTAATTGCATATGTGAAGTTTTCAATAAATATCTTTAATAGTTATTGAGATATGTAAAACTTGCATGTAAACATTAACCAAGAGACTAAGTAGAAAAGGGGATATGAATCAGCCTTAATGCAAGATAGAGTTATGGAACTTGGTCAGTGACATACAATTATGACCCTCAAATTATGACCCTAAGTACATGTGTAAAGTATCAAGTAAATATCTTTGAAGACCTTTAACCTTTAACCAAAATTTCTAAGTTTCAAAAGGGGAAAAAATTCTGCAAATATTGCAGGCAGAGTTATGAAATTTTGCAAAATGATGTACATTGTTACTATAAAAAAGTATTGTAAATTTCAATTGAATATCTCAAGCAATAATTGAGATATTTGACTTTACAAAAAAACTTTAACCAAAATTTCTAAGTTTCAAAGGGGCATAATTCTGTCAATATTGTAGGCAGTGTTATCCAACTTGTCAATCTGATGTACCTTGTTACTATAAATAAGTATTGTAAGTTTCAATTGAATATCTCAAACAATAATTGAGATATTTGACTTTACAAAAAAACTTTAACCAAAATTTCTAAGTTAAAAAGGGGCATAATTCTGTCAATATTGTAGGCAGAGTTATCCAACTTGTCAATCTGGTGTATCTTATTACTATAAATAAGTATTGTAAGTTTCAATTGAATATCTCAAACAATAATTGAGATATTTGACTTTACAAAAAACTTTAACCAAAATTTCTAAGTTAAAAAGGGGCATAATTCTGTCAATATTGTAGGTAGAGTTATCCAACTTGTCAATCTGATGTACCTTGTTACTATAAATAAGTATTGTAAGTTTCAATTGAATATCTCAAGCAATAATTGAGATATTTGACTTTACAAAAAACTTTAACCAACGCAGACGCAGACGCGGACGCTGACGCTGACGCCGACGCCGACGCCGGGGCGACTACAATAGCTCTCATATTCTTCGAATAGTCGAGCTAATAATTTACACACGTTTTGTTTATTTCATTTTCTGACTTACAGCATTAGCAAGGAATCTATCGAAGAATGAACGTTTTGGGGACTAACGGGCAGATAATGGGCGATCGTTTATTACAAACCTACATTATTTGGACATTCCTCCGATCGTCTTTTGATCTTATGTAATCCCTTTATTTATTTTTCAATCTCAATGTACACGTTTGAGCCAAACAGTGAAGTTTTGTAAGAAATGATTATGTCCTGTAATACATAAAAAACCATCAAATGTCTGTTTAATATACTGGTGTAGGAACTAACGGACAGATGGATGCACGCTAGAAAAGGGTTGACTAGCGTAGATATATGGGGTTGACTAACGGACATATGAACTGCGGAAATACTGGACAAATAGTGCTCATACTTTAAATGGGGACATGAACGGTAGACAAACATATATACAGATTAATGGCGGACTAGTAGATAGATAAACGGAAAACTGGCATGCAGAAAGTGTGGAGTAACGCTGACTAACGGATAGATGAACTGTAGATATATGAACTGTGGACCATGGAGCGGATGGTCCATTGATTTGCGAAATAAATAAACGTATTTCTACAATACACATATTAAAAAATAGAAACCAATCATTTAAAACAATTTATAGAATAGTACATTTCAAACGAATAGTTCTCGTGTCTGTGGTTTGATATCTGAGACATAAAACAAATACATTACTTTTAACGCGGACTGTCTTTGTGACAATTGCAAATAAAATTAATATATTTATCATCGAAACGGTTGTTAACAAATAAACTGATGAAAACCCTTACAACTTTGACGGAAACCGCCCTTTTTAATCCAGATCAATATTTTTACAAGCATGTTAATCATCGCGCAATAATTCGCGACCGAAGTACACAAATCTCTAAATCAAATTCATTATCATCAATATTTTTACAAGCTATTAAATGACCAGTTAAGGTTAGTGTATCATAAAAAATGTACTCTTAACGTCTTTGTAGTGCTTTTGTACTAATAACAAGATTAAATTGAAAGCAAAGTAATGTTTAAATACGAAATTAAATACCAGTCTCTCGAAATTTTACCAATAAAACATCTTTACGGTGTCTCACTTTTATTAATCATGACTAACGGATGGTAAACACTTTATTTGACTCATCCACAAAAATCTTTAAATTGCTAAATTGCTAAATTGCAATTGAAGACACACGGGCACGTATACCCCTGCCCGCCATCTCCCGTCAATACTGTGCTACATAGTATATGCACATATTTTTCTTAATCGAGATTTGCTATTGAAATTGGTATTTAAACAGTGCGCTCAAATTAAAAAAAAGAAAGTAAGAGAATATTTATAAATATATTAAAGGCTGATTCCAAATAAACGTTTTCAAGCTTATGGACGTTTTGCCATTTCTAACATTTTGTACTATTCTATCACTCTATTTTCTTTCCCTTTTTGTCCTTGACAAATTGCTATGGTGCATTGAGTTGCAAAACTAGTTCAGGGATAAAATTTTGCGCCGTATCTGCAGCAGATCCTAGCATGGTCATTTTCGTGTAAATTAATTTTCTGTAGAATGATAAATTACATTAATCACAGATTTATATTACATCAATACATGTTATATAAATCCGTGCATTAATTTAAGAAATTAACGTTAAATAGTTAATGGAAATACATTCAGAACATAAGTTCCTCGTCCATACATGATATAATTCAAGTATTTGTAATAGATATTTACAACAATGCCTAGATTTGATACCTAGACTTTTTTTTAATTTTGATACATTTATTGGCATTGCTCAGTTTAGATATGTTTTGATAACATGAAAACACTCTTGAAAGCTTTAATATGATTGGTTAGAAACGCTCGGAAGTTTGTGAATGAATGATGTAATATGATTGGAATTTGATTCATAACTTGGATACTATATCTTTTGAGATATAATCTCAGCCCAGGATGAAAATAGCAACCACCTACTATATTTCTAAATAATTGCAGGACGATAAGGATCCAAGGAAAACTCTTGTCGTAAATAGCTTAGGTCCCCTGTTGGTCACGTGCTGCGATTATGAGATATCAACGAGATAACACGAGATTTCTCGGATTGTTGGAATAGTCTGCGAAAATGTCTATATAGAAATCTAATCTCACTACCGGTTCTATTTAATCATCTGTCAATTATGAATGTAATAACAAACAGATAAACAAATTAGAAAACATTTCCCTGACATGGTAAAGCGGAGAAAATAGATCTTTGATAGTTAATAAAGTTGATTTACCTGAAATAATTTCCACGGTATCAGCTGAACATGATTTTTTTCGCAATTGAATAAAGTGGCTAATAAATTTATGGTATCTTATATCAATTCATGTTTCTAATTCTAGCACCATGAAAGAAATCAAATCTTTTGAATATACCGTTAAACCAGCTGACGGAATTCCAAGAATATCCGGGAAAATAATTAACATTAAATTACACTGCAGTTTTTTAAAAGTAATATTAGCAAAATGTACTCGAGTCAAACTAATTTTAATTGTATATATGGTTCAAAAATATCTGACATTAGTAATTATTTCATTAAAAATATGAAAAAGGTTTAACATTAAAAGTTTTAACAGTTGATTGTACATTCACAACAAGGGATCCCACCTTCGTGTTTTTTACTTATGCTGATAATAAAGATAATCCAATAATTCTTGCATAAAAGCTGCGCCCGCAGGTATACATTAACGGAGAATAAAACATATATGAACTGAAAGATTCTCGTGGCCAAGCGCCGTTGTTGCACAATTTTAGTATGCTGACCCAGGGCATAATGTGAAAAACGCTAAAATGCAATGGCGCCCCTGGTAGTTTTACTGTCGCGTATATGATGCTGCCTAAAATATAAGTGAAATTAAACAGTCAAAAATATAGTAAAGCTTTGTGTGACTGAACTTCCTACAGTAAAGCATTACCGAATTAAAACTGTAGTTTTTTTATCGTGCATGAAAATCTGCAGAAGCACGAGGGCGCATTTATACTAGAAATACGAGGGCTTCTGCAGATGTTAATCTGTGAAAAAGGTGCATTACACTATTCTTGCAAGTTAACGTCTGATTCTCAGTCCTTGATAAAGAAAACGGTTTCGTCATGCTTTTCACGTGCTAGTCATATGTCTTCTGACAGTCGTCATTGCGATTACATGGCGCGTTGAGTCACACACAAAAACGTGCAACAATGGCGCGTCGCTGCATGACTTTTATCCGTTAGTCTCTGCGTGCACAGTTTTTATGAAAGTATAGAGGGCTCGTGCATTGACGTTTGTAGTAGCACGAATACGCATTTACAGCACAAGCCCGCTGGTCGGGAGATTTAATATGCCCAGGGCTTCTGCAGAAGTTAATGCACGATAAAGATTGTTGCGTTATCAAAAGTATACGTCTAAATGGACAGATTCCGCGTTTAGTTATCGATACTTCGTGTGAAGAAATCATTGCCTGTGCTATGCTTTTCCCATTTACACTTCTACAATGCTATGCTATAAGCTGCTAAATGCAAGTTTCACTTTGACCATGATATACTATTTTGGCTGCTTATTATCATGATTACAATACCATACTTTTGACGCCAAGTTTTGCTTTGATAACGTTATACTACTGGCTGCTTAATTTCAGTTTTGACATTTATATACTAGATTCTATTTGGCTGTTGTTTTTCTGACTTCGACAATAATACCTTTTTTCTATCTCATGCACCTCATCATTGTGGAAACTGTCCTAGTACTGACTGATCAATTTCTCTTTGACAATACATGTATTATCCTATTACACAGTTCAAGCCATTTTCATAATCTTGAACAATTGATTTCTAATACTCACTTTTACAAAAGCAATCTATTAACTATTTGTCACTACCATACTGACTATTCTATTAGCAGCCAAATTCTATGCTTTATTTTGCTTTGATAAAAATTAGTCTAATTCCTTTTTAGTTTTTCTTCCTGTTTCCTCATTATGAAATTCAAGAAATCAAAATTTCACAATCAATAATTTAAAGCAACTTGGTTGAAATAAATTGTTACAGCTGAAGAAATACAACAAATTTATGAAATTTCAATTCATGACTTTATTGAGAGTAATTTGTTATGACAACACACGATATATTTACAACAAACTGTCAATCATATCTTCAGAATAGCTATGAGAAAAAATGGTTATATAAAAGTACAACACATAACATAATGGTAATGTACTGTAAGAAATATGGTCCAAGAAAATGTGAGTGAAAGACTGATAGTTTATTATCATGACGATGTTGATGATATATTAAAGGGACATGCTTTCAATTAAGTCCCTTCCTATTTCTAAAGTCAAGTTTTAACACGTTTGAATCAGTAAATCAAACCAGTCCTCTTCACTTCCAACTAGAACTACTTTCACACACAGGGGCTAGTCACATAATCAAATATTTTACATAATCGGCATATATATGTATATTAAGATATCTTTGATAGTATATAGCCCATACAGAACATAAAAAGAAATTTGTTTCAATCACCTGTGTGTTCACAATTTTTTTGACTGACATTAAATAGTAATTTGTGAAATTGTGGGCAAACTCATTCACTTCAGACTTCTCCCTTTTACTTATTGCACTTGAGGCAATTACAGCACTGAAATATAATACATAACAATATCTTTCTTAAGGATACAACCTTAAAAGCATGCCCCCTTAAAAAAACTCCTTGAATAATTTTCAATGATTAATTATGGTGATAATGATACATGACCAACTTTGTCTTAGACAGTGAGTATATTTATTGTGCTTACGTATACGTTTTGTTTTTGTTTCTTTAATAAGAAATGAATGACTTATGGTACTAATGAAGTATGAAGAATTCTGTATACAGAACAACTTAAATTATCTACATGGAAATATACCTGTATAAAAATGCCCATTTAATTACATATTCCTACTTTTTTAATTGTTAACTGCAGCTTAACTGCAGCTTAAATTTCTTAATCATGTTTATAACAAGTTTGTTCATATGAATTTAATGTAACCTTCCTTTTAGTTTTTTTTAAACAGTGCTTAACTGTTTACTGCAAGTACCAACCCACAGAAATGTGAGACCCTTTAAAACATATGCCATCATCTTTGACACTCTAGCTGAACAATATTCATTCATTAAATGTAGAACACTAACTGTAAAATATGATGTATGTGAAAAATTGAAATGAACAGAGAAAATGAAACTATCTCTACTGTATGAAATGATTACATCAATGGCTGACAAACTGTAAAAGTTTATCAGAATGACCGATGGGTATCAAATACCAAAATGTTGTTTTAGCTTTATAAACTTTATGCATCTACAAGTATAACAGGAGAACTTGGCAGATAGAAATCATATAAGTACAATAAATGTATGACAAATAACAATTCAATATGACAACTTGACATGTTTTAAGTGCTATTGAATGAACTATATCTATAGATGTAAAGTGAGAACTTGACAATTGTTTTAAGTTCTGTTTAATGTGTTATATTTATATAGTTGCAAAATGAGAACAACATCGGATTTAGTGCCACATCTATAGATGTAAAATGAGCACTGGACACCTGTCAAAGTTCTATTTTACATGCCATATCTATCGGTGTAAAATAAGAACTTGACACTCACCTGAAGTTCTGTTTAATGTGCCACATCTATAGTAGAGCATGTTACCATGCAGAGCATTTATGAAATGTTTCAAGAGTAAATTACAAACTACAAAAGTCAACCTTTATACTTGTATCAATGTATTTCACCCAAAAAAAACAAAGTAAAGAGAAAATTACAATGGTATCAATATTGTTTAACACCTTTTTACCATTTCATTTTGATTTCAATTTGCGCACATCAAAATTTCCTTAATTCAAAATTACCTCTTTAATATTAAATATTTTAAATGTCTCTTTTAATCCTGTAGATTCAATTATTTTTTACTAAATTTAATTTCTTCAAGCAAAATGTGCAAATCTGTGGTTTTAAATGTCTCCAAAAATTAGATATCCTTTAATATTAGTGTCATGGGAGCATAAGAAACTATTAATTAATAGACATGTTACAAACATTCTGTTTTCTACATGAGAAACAAGTCAATGTTTTGTCTTTAAACATCACATGAAACTATTCGCTACTTCTCAAGTGAAAAATGCAAACTGTGTTGAAAGGTGAGTCAGAATGTTATTTCCATCTATTTGGTCTAGAATCATTGTATTTAGTTTAATTTGATACATGAATTTGAACAAAACAGTAAAAATGAACTAATTTTATGGACATAATTTTGGATTTACACAGTATCAGTTTTTTGGCAGAGAAGAAACAAAATGGTTTAAAGCAAATTTCTGATGCAGTATATACAAGGCTTTATATATAAAAATTTGACAACACATAAAAATGTATTATTGTGCATAAATCAGTCAGATAAACACTTTAAGAGGTAGTCATACAAAATAAACTTAATAAAAAGAGATCATTATGGCATACTTAACTTGAAGGAAAATTAAATAATTGGATCGCTGGTATGCATATCGGATCGCTTGTTTGCGTGAAAAAAAAAGTTTCATCTTACAATAGACTTACTCCGGAATTAAGTATATTTGGGTTTTTGCCAGCTAATAACATAAGTACAAACAAACTTTTACAGTAACAGCTTCGAAAATTAGCGAGACAAGTTGACTACTGGTAATCTATAGTGATGGGAAGTGCACCATGAAGCTATAACAGTAAAAGTTAGTTTGTACCTACCGATTAGCCGGGAAAACCCCACTATGCCAAATTCCAGATAACGTATACTATTTATTAACTTATTGTTATTAAAACACAAAAAGTTGTCAATGTTATGTTTTTCATATTCATCCTATTTTATTCATTCTTATTTAAACAAGCAAAAACAAACAAAGCTTTTCAAAAAATTTCAATAGTGGTGTTCTACCTGAGCAAGCAAAAATGTGTTCAAAAATTTGGATAGCTTCCATCTGACATCATTGTTAACAATATTATGTCAATAAATGTTTAATAGGACCTGAGATAGAACATTTAGATATTAACATTCATTTTATACTTACAAATGAAATACTGAGAAATATTAATGAAATAGAATGCGTAATTTTCATTTCTGTAAATATTTATTTTTCACTGCAGTGAAACATATTTTCCTTATTTTCACTAGTGTCTTGCCAAACTACTTTCTTCTAAATTCAGCTCCAATATACAAAATTTAAGGGGAACTCAATTTTTTTCTGTAAATACAGGATTTATTTTCATTTTGTGGTATCGCCACTCATGAAATATTTACTTTCATACCACTTGATGAAATAAATCTTGTATTCATAGAAAAGACTTCCTCTATATACTGAATTACCATTACTTTCAACCAATGACTAACAACTGCTATTTGATGAATGATAAGTATTGGTGGGTATACTAGATAAATGTCATGATTTCATCAAAAAGGAAATGGTGTATTATGGTCAAAGTCTGGATAATTGAATAAATATGCCAATTAACACTTAGCCTACTGACATAAACTGAACCTACACATGTGACCAGTACAGACAAAGATCCGTCCGCACTGATATTCAATCGGAAATTATTTTGAAAATTTCCATAAAACTGATGAATGTTTGTCCAGATTGAAAGACAGATAAGATCTTAAGGGGGGAAACAAAACAATTATCACTAATTCAGCAATGTAGTGTGAATTATAACTATAAATTTAACTTATAAACAATTCTATCAAACTAGTGTCAATTTCATTGAAAGGCTCTTATTTACAGATAGTGTAGAAAATCTTCAAAAAAAATCCTTTCATTGTTTTATCATTATAATACACAGAAATGAACAGCTCAAATAATAATAGAGAACACAGCAAAAATTCTTCATTCAAAATTAAAATATTTGGTAATGGTTAAAAAAAGACCAACCTCTACATGTTAACAAGAACATCCCCAAATTAGCAATCAGACAGCAATTATTCCCTTACTTTAGCACTTGTATAATATTATAAATTACCGTCCAGTATTTAATGTACATGCAGTAACAATACTGTGTCTTATATTCACTAACATTCAATATCGAACAATCACAAGACAAGTACCTACATATGACAGATTAACAAAATTGAGCAGCGCCATGACAAAACCAACAAGTAGAGAAACTGATAGCAGACAGCATGGATCCTGATCAGACTCGCGGATGTGCAGGCTGGTCTGGATCCATGCTGGTCGCAAACGCACTGGTTTTGTCATGGCGCGGCTCAAATATCATTTCATAACCAGACAAACTCTTGTGGTATCATAACAGTTCTCATTTTAATTTCTTCTTTTTGGTTGAGTTTGAAGGCATTAGAACACTAATTAAGTTTATATTGTGAACTTTTTAGCTTGACTAGTTGATTAAGACCCCCAGGTACCCCTCCATGCACAATTTTTAGGCATGAGCTGGCCTTGGAGTAGAACAGATATTTCATAGTCTAGATGACTAGCTTTCCCAAAAAGCAGAATTTAAACCCTCAACTGTGCTGGGCACGAGGTTTGGTCAATGACCATAACCACTCGGCCTCAGAGACCCCAGATTCCTTCTTGACAAGTTAAACCCATATTCTTCAAAAATTAAAGTACACTTTTTTATAATTCTAATAGCTATGAATAGAAATCATTGAGTTATAAATTAATTACACAAAAAAATCACACTTGTGCTATAGGTCAACAATTCTAGTGAAAAATAAAGCTTTAATTGAACTTATTTTGTTCAACAAATAGTCGTATCAAAAAACATTTACTCAGATCTATCCTCTTTTGTTCATATAAGACAAATATAAAAACTTATTCAAGACAGTATTTGCAATCACCATCAAGTTTAGTTTCAATCATCAAAACATTACTAATGTCAGCAAAAAATGAAAAATGTTCAATTAAATTTTAACTACCCTTTTAATATATTTGCTTATTACTTAACAATGTAAACATGAGCCCATATTCGTAATTCTTACGCAAAAAATATTTAACATACAACAGTTAAGGTGATGAGAAAAGGCATAAAAATCATATGTATCATTGCCTTATCATTCTATATAATCAATGTGCTAGCACTTTTTATCTTCAGACACTTCTAGCACATCAACACTATAAATGTCAATGTACAGTACTGTCATATTTTGTTACAAAACAATTATATTTTATAATATATTTTTACAAAATTTTAACGACTGATGCATACGGGTCCAAAAACTAGCTTGAAATTTTTTGAAAAAAGAGAAACAATAACAAGAACATATGCAATAAAAAAATCTAACATAAAAAGGCACAGTAACTTCATTTGGGATTATATTTCTTTTCATGTTAAGTCCCATACTTGCACTAAACAATATCTACCTTAACTTTAAACAAACAATTGAACACATTAACAACTACCCTAGTTCAAAATAATAATGAAACAAATAGCTACCATTTGAGCAGCGTCACGACAAAACCAACATAGTGCGTTTGCGACCAGCATGGATCCAGACCAGCCTGTGCATCCGCACAGTCTGATCAGGATCCATGCTGTTCGCTAACCAGACCTATTACAAGTAGAGAAACTGACAGCAAACAGCATGTATCCTGATCAGACTGCGCTGATGCGCAGGCTGGTCTGGATCCATCCTGGTTGCAAACGCACTATGTTGGTTTTGTCATTACACGGCTCATTTTACTTATGACAGACAGGCACAACAGGTCTCGCTAAAAAAAATGTTTTCATTCACACTCTCTTCCTTTTTTGTTTCCCTACCATACTGAGGCTTATAGTCAGAAAATCAGTTTCAAAAACTTTAACATTTGATTGGCTCATTTGAATTTTAAACTGACCAATGACAGAAGAGCTTTTATAGACTGGTTTTAAATTTTATCATTCTACAGAAATAGCAGTACACCTTTATCTCAAAATGACTGAAGAAAGCAATGTTTGATGTAAACAGGTAAAATATAATTTCCAATTTAATAAATTGGAAAAAATATAATGCAGGCTTAATGCAATAAAGACTGTTACAAATTTTTTTATAAATAATTCTATTCAAATAATTTAACTCTTTTGGCCAATACCTGGATATCATATCATTAATTACACTAAGTGTACCAATTATTTTGCCACTCCCTTTATATTGTCCCACATCTACATCTTAAATTGCATTTTTATATCAAATGCTTGTTAGAATGGTATTAAAAATAAGAACTTTCAATTTTCCCCTAAGTACAAGAACAAAACTTAGAGTAACTTCCCTTCAGTAATAAAGAGTTACTGGCCTTTTGAGGAAGCTTTGTCTTCTAGGTATTTCTTTTCCCTCTTAAACAAAACTAAAACAAAAATTTACTATGTTTCAGATATGATTTAATCTACGATGTTTAAGACCCTGAATTCACCTTTCCTAAGTATATACCCTGTTTCACTGAGGTTCCAATTTTACACCGGTGTATACACCGGTAATTTGTTCAGGCTTTTCATGTCTTCCTCAGAATCATTCTGAGCAATGAACAAAGCATGCCCATATCCACCAGCAACATTATGAACGTAAACACCATCTATCGTTTTCACTTCCTGTGGCACTGTTGATGATTTAGCTTTGTTTTCACCATAGCCCTGTAAGATAAATACGCTTTTAAGATCAACCTTCTAATATTTATATTTTCTTAATAAACAATTCCACATTTTCTATTTTATGCATTAAAAATTTAAAACACAAGGGCCATGATGGCCCTTAATCGCTCACCAGGGGATATGGACTACATGGACAAGATTTAATTATCTGAACATTCCTAAGATTCATGCCAAATACCTAAGCTCTAACCTTTACAGTTTCAAAAGAGGTGACTCTTTAAGATTTCACTATATACATATAAGGAAAACCCATGACGCCTTTAGTCGGGCAAATTTTTAACCACTGGGCTAATTATTAAACAAGCTTGGTAGGGGTCCACTACATGATGTTACATGCCAATTATCTAAGCTCTAGCATTTACAGTTTCAAAGGAGATGATTTTTTGGAATGACTTTAAAAGAAGGATCACATAAGGATCATGCCCAGCTTTGTATTTGAACAGTCCATTCCAAATTAAACAACTTTCAAAATCAAAATACAAATACTGAACAACCAACAGAATAGAACCTGGTCAGACTGCACTGATGTACAGATTGGTTGTACTGTATGTCTAACTACATTTAAGTATTAACCAAACATTTATATGACAACCCACACTTACCAGTTCCCCATAGGTAGGACTAGCTCCCCAACTCACTACACTATTATCTGCTGCTATAACAATGCTCTTGTAACTGCAAATAAAGTGTTATAATACTCATTTAAATTAAGTTACAAAATTATAATGAAATGTCAACAAGAGCCACTTCAAAGTGGGGACCATACTTGATTTTTCTTATTTCGAAAGTTTTTGCAACTTATATTCATCACTTTCGAGTCCGCTTAGTACTGGTGTCATACAAAGAAACATGATCGTAAACCGATTAGGGCTCCATCTCATGATCCCTGGGTTGAGAGGCAGACACCTTAACCACTAGGCCACCACTCCCCTTTCAAAAGTCAAACATATCATAGGGAATATTTTAGTAAAAACATCATTTCATGTACAAAACATAATTAAAATTTTAATTATTTCATGTTGATAGTCAAGGTCACTTACAATTCAAGGTCATACTTACATTATTCAACATGTCTGTGTTGTCATAGATGCTGTTTTGTCCCAGGATGAATCAAATCTATCCATTATCATTAATATTAATTAATAACAGTTATGACAATTGAAGCTAAATTCAATAATTTGACCTTGTCAATAAAGGTTATATTTGAATTGTCTCGGACAGTTTTGTTGAATGTGTTCTTTTTGTCCAAGTATAAATCAAACCCGTAAGTATATAACAAAGTTAAGACATGTTATAACCAGACCGTGTCAGTCAAGGTCATTCAAAGGTCACGGTTATATTTGAATCAGTTGTCCAGGTTTTTTCAAATTTATATAACTTGACCGTGACAGGCAATGCCATTTAAAGGTCAAGGTCATGTTTGAATTATTCAATATTCCAATATTCTCAAGAGTTCTTTGTCCATGTATATATCAAATTGGTAAATAAATAACACTTACGGAATCTTAGTTAAATCTTGACGTTCATGATCATTTATAGGTCAAGGTTATATTTGAATTACTCAACCTGTAAGTTTTGTTTTTTTGTCTAAGTATAAATCCAAACCATAAATCAATGACAAAGTAATGGCCAACTGAAGCAAAATTCACTATTTTAACCTTCAGTGCCAAGGTCAAGTTAAGATAAATCTACTTTAATGTCTTGTCCAAAGGATTGTTGTAACCAATATAAAGGCAATTCATTCATTACTTACCAAAATATAGCCAATTAAATCAAGAATAACAAAATTTCCATGCAAAAAATCAATTAAATCCAAGACAGAATTGAAGTCAAACACCAATGCTTTCACAAACATAATTACTTGTCTATATAATAGGACGAAAACTTCATTAGTAAACTGTATAATGAAAAGCGTATTGTAAAAATTTAATGAAAATAGCAATCATACCAGCATCCAATACTACGTACACGCCATCCACTGAGGTCCTGCACTAGTTTTGGGTACATGTTGGCCTCTCCTGTAAGTTTAGTCATTCCCCAGAGGTATAATGCACCTGTAATACATTTAATCATTATATCTTTAATGATGATTAAATATTTTAAAACTCACTGTACCCACACTACAATCTTTCAGCTTACTGCTGTCAATGTAAGCGATTTTCCTGCTTATATAACAGACTCAGATAAAAGGCCTTTTCCAATTGAAATTTTCTTCTCAATCATGCAGTTTTCCCAAAAATCTGAACTTGAACCTGCTTTTTTACTTTCCAAATAAGCAATTTTAGAGATAATTTTTCCCAAAATCAGGAGACTTAGGCCTTTTCCCAATTACTGGAAAAACACTGAATGTATTAACACTACAATCACAATGATTTTGTGCATGCACCATTTTGTTTTTAAGGCAATTTTGTACCATATTTCATTTTTAAGGCAATTTTCTACCATATTTCATACAAGCATTTTGGAAGCATTTTTTAAAAAAATTAAAACTGTTTGCAGCAGATATATAGTTTATACACTTTGTCACTCACTAACACACCACTCACTTCACTGACAATATATGTGTGCACCAATCACTGTACTTTCACACCACACACTGAACTAGCACACCTTTCACTCACTACACCCCTACATTAAATAGTAATATTCATATGATTATTTAGTCACTAAAGTGGTGCGAATGTTTATGGAACACATTTTTATCAATTCTCTCACAAAACCAAATATACACACACACACACACACATGTCACTTGCCATACCTTCACTTAATTTATAGTACTTGAATCACAATGCACATATCCACAATACAAACCCATCACTTACCATATTCATTAAGACCCAATGTAAATGTTGAGCCAGCTGCTATTTTCGTTGCTCCCTTATTTGGCCCCTCAAACAGTTTGAGGAGGCGAGGCACCATTTCGTCCTTGTTATCAGCATGTCCTAGACGACCATAACCACCGAAACCCCAGGTAAATAGACGTTTCTTGGAGTCTAGTATTACCTGGAAAATAAATAAAGGATATTGAATGAGTGAAGGTTCAATACATAATACTTAAATGTATTGAACAAGTGGAATAAAATCATATTAGGCGTTCTTCTGGCTAGCATTCTATGGACCTTTCCGGTTTTTCGTAGCGGAACATTTAGCCACACCTTTTCCATTCATTGCTAGGTCAAGTTCTCACAAACAGTATCACAAACATAACCATGTGTTCTTTGTGCAAACCAGGTCAACCAGTGACTATGTATTAACTCAGTGTAGCAATTGGACAACAAGTTAGCCAATTTACATAAAACTGTGAACACTGGAAACAAGTTCAATAAATTTCGTAATGAAGCTACATAAATATGATATTCTATTTATCATTTACCCAAAATAAGAAGTGTTTACAGTGAAAAAGAATCACCTTTTCATTGACCCACATGTAGTTTAAAGCTAACAATTAGAGCATCTTAATGCTATGTTTGTTTAAAGCAAATGATGTCACATCAAAATATATGTGTGGCTGTGCAATATCGATCTTACAAAGTTGCAAAATCTTACAAAGTTGCAAAAAGAGATACAGGTATGCGATAAGATTATCAATATTTAATACAAGTGTGTTAATAGACAAATATAATTTACCACTGAAGGAAAGGTCTTCATTGTGCAGTGAAAATCAACTTATCTGTACCATACTTTAGTGCGAATTTTCAAGATATTCTTTCTTGATATAAAAATATTTTTTACACTATCAAAGTCTGGTCATAAACAACAGCTTTGACTGTACAAGCCAAGGATATATTGCACACTTGTACAGGGCTATTCTTTACAAAGAAAGCTATGTTAAATCACATACTGAATGATTTGTGCCGCATGCTATATCTCGCACTTCAACATCATGTATAGGTGAAATCCTGCCATCTCGAGCCTTTTCTATCCACACCTGCACTTTACGAGGTGACATCTCATTTCTGTATGCCAGTTTGTTACCACTAACAAAGTATTTACCATCAGTGTTATGACCTTTAAATATACAGACATATTATTAATAATGCGAGTCATAACCACAAATAGGGCTGGGGCGAGTATCCGAGTACTCGGATAATCACGAATCAAAGTGAAAAATCGAGTTTGAATATTCGTAAGCCCAGAGATCGTGGATCACGATCTTATTTGTTTATATACATTCACTATTTCTCACTCACTAAAAGTCGTGAAAAATACGATTTGAGTACAAATTATGGGAAGTTTACCTAAATACAATTTGCTGGTTAAAGACCATGTACCATGATGCCGAGCTAGGAAGTAATTGGTTTCAAAATACAAAACAAAAATACTTATGATCCAAAGAATAAAAACATAAACCTGGTTGCATATATGTTTAATGTTTAGTATTGTTTTTTAAATAAACATGTTTTTAGAACAAATGTACATGTTTTTATGGGTGTCTTGATAACAAAAGATTTGTGGTTCGATTTGTGAATCGTAAGTGCTAAATCGTGGATCGGATCGGATCGTCACTTATCCGACGATCCACACCCCTAACCACAAAATATATTAAACTGAACAAATAATAAACTCTAGAACAAATAAGTTTAGGCATAATCAGTTTCAATCTTAATTAAACTCCCACTACATTTCCCCAACCATGTTGCATATGCAATGGTTCCAAAGGAATTAAAAATTGTTTATTTCCAGACTGAGCTTACTGAGTGAGCATGACAAGACTTTCTATATTTTCAGTTTCAAAGTTTTATACTTGTATCAAAGATGGGATAAGACAGAGTGATTTATACAAAGCTGTCCCTTCAAGAGGTGGGATATTTCAACCTGTATCACTTTTCTATTATCATAAATTGACAGATAAAGACCTTAATTTTAAACATCCAACCCACAATCTAAATTACAATTTTTGGCAAAACACAGTCACAATTTCACAATTCCCGAGCTCCCTAGGACATGGATCATGTTTCCAAATACTTAAAAGGTGGTGCTGAATTTTGAATTTAAAATCAATCTCTCTTTCACTTAAAAGTCTTAATTCTCTAAAACAAATTGTGTTAAAAGGTAACACAGTCAAACCTGTGAACAAAGGTCACCCAAAGAGACCAAACATGACCATTATAGACAAGGGGTCTTTATTTGGAGGTTTCTTTTGTTCTATTAAAGCAATGAAGGGTTGTTGAAGAGGTGCCTCTATATTTGCAGGGTAATCTTAATTCTGAGGTGGTCTTAAATGCAGGTTTAACTGTACACAACAAGAGACAAGGCTATCGTATATTTACCTAACTGGCCATACTCAGGGCACCCAAATGAGTAAAGGTTACCGCGGATATCTGCTATCATACTAAACTCTGCACCACACGCTAGTTTTCTGATTGGTGGAGGAACCTTTTATAGTTTGATCTCTTTGAGCGTGGCTAACATTGTTAGGTGTTCTGGTTTTGCCCAGACCGAGCTGAGAACCACTTTTATTGTTCTCCTGCTGCAAAAAACAAACCATAACAACCGCTTGTCATGAAAAGAAAACAAGGAAATGCATCTCTTATAACATTGTCATGGGATGATATACCGCATATATTTGAAAAAGAATTTGTAGCAAATTTGAATGTATTCTAACTGGAATATACCATTTAATATACGACATTTAACAATTGCTGTAAAACAAGAATAAAATGTTCTGGAAAACAAAACATTCTGCTAATATAGTAGGTAAGATGATGATTTCATGAACACCTCACTTGCTTTCAATTAAATATTAATTAATATTCTGACAAAATTCTTTCAATCTAGGTATCCTGTTGTCAAAATATGAACAATAATTTTACAATCAAGAAACAACAAATATATAGCTTAATACACTTTCCTGGTCTTTTGCTCTAGGTTGGTAAAATCTAGAATTTTTTTTTTTTAATTTCACAGGTTTTTTTTTTTCAAAAAAAGGGAAGAAATATAAATTAATTGAAGAGAGGTATGGGGCCTTATTTTATACCCTTTAAAAAAAGTGACTCCTTTATATACCCAGAGTTAGTAGCCCCAGGATATGTTTTATTAAATATGAAAGAAATTCCATGTATTAGGAATATTGTAAAAAGCATTACAAAACAACATAAAGGGAGATAATTCAACCAAAGGGCCATGATGGCCCTGAAATCACTCACCTGTGTATAGGCCCCTGGGCCAATGCCAATTTTAAACCAGGGACTTTTATTTGAACAAACTTGGTAGACAGCCATTAGAAGATGTTTCATGATAAATATCTAAGCTCTAACTCTTTGGGGTTTTTAAAAGAAGATTTTTTTAAGTGTTTACTATATAGCCCTGAAATCACTCACCTGTATATAGGCCCCTGGGCCAATGCCAATTTTAAACCAGGGACTTTTATTTGAACAAACTTGGTAGACAGCCATTAGAAGATGTTTCATGATAAATATCTAAGCTCTACCTCTTTGGGGTTTTTAAAAAAGAAGATTTTTTTAAGTGTTTACTATATAACGCCCCTGAAATCACTCACGCTGTATATATAGGCCCCTGGGCCAATGCCAATTTTAAACCAGGGACTTTTATTTGAACAAACTTGGTAGACAGCCATTAGAAGATGTTTCATGATAAATATCTAAGCTTTAACTCTTTGGGGTTTTTAAAAGAAGATTTTTTTAAAGTGTTTACTATATACATATAGGAAAAAACAATGACCCCCCCCGAGGGGCCAATTTTGACCCCAAGGGCTTTTATTTGAACAAACTTGGTAGACATTCACTAGAAGATGTTTCATGCTTAATATCTAAGCTCTAGCTATTTGGGGGTTTTAAAAGGAGATTTTTTAAGGTTTTAATATATACAAATAAGGAAAATCAATGACCCCCGGGGCTGGGCCAATTTTAACCCCAGGGCATTTATTTGAACAAACTTGGTAGACACCCACTAGAAGATGTTTCATGCTTAATATTTAAGCTCTAGCTATTTGGGGTTTTTAAAAGAAGATTTTTAAGTTTTTACTATATACAAATAAGGAAAATCAATGACCCCTCGGAGTGGGGCCAATTTTGACCCCAGGGCATTTATTTGTTCAAACTTGGTAGACACTGACTAGTTAATGTTTCATGCCAAATATTTAAGCTCTAGCTCATGCCGTTTTCTAAAAGAAAATATTTTAAGTTTTTACTATATGCAAATAAGGAAAATCAATGACCCCCGGGGCGGGGCCAATTTTGACCCTAGGGCATTTATTTGAACAAACTTAGACACCTACTACAAGATGTTTCATGCTTAATATTTAAGCTCTAGCTATTTGGGTTTTTTAAAAGATGATTTTTTAAGTTTTTACTATATACAAGTAAGGAAAATCAATGACCCCCGGGGGCGGGGCCAATTTTGACCCCAAGGCTTTTATTGGAACAAACTTGGTAGACAATGACTAGGTGATGTTTCATGCGAAATATTTTTGCTCTAGCTCTTGCGGTTTTCTAAAAGAAGATATTTTAAGTTTTTTCTTTCGGTTGCCATGGCAACCAGAGTTCTGCTTGGAATTAAATTCTTTGAACAATTTTTAAAGTTGACTACCAAAGGAACATTCCTGTGAAGTTTGGATGAAATTGGCTAAGTGGTTTATGAGGAGATGTTGTTTAAAGTAAAAGTTTACGGACAGCCGGACGCCGGACAAAAAGCGATCACAAAAGCTCACCATGTCACTTTGTGACAGGTGAGCTAAAAATCAAGCATGGTACAATGTAGCATTATGGATCTTGAACACTGAATTTTCTTTGCTTGTCTCCATTACTATGTAATGTTTTAACCAAATTCATTTTCAATATTTTCCAAGAAATACTCTGGACAAGCATAAAGTATTATTAAGAAGAATGTTCTAAAACTAAGAAACGAAGAGTTATGGTTCTTTAACACTGCACTCCCTCTCACTGGTTTATGTGAAATGTTTGCTGCCAGGACATACCTGTAAGAAAGGTGGAACAGCTTTTGTCAGTAAATACGTAAGAAACAGATTGCTACCCGTACATGTACCTACCTGTAAGAAATAGTGAATGGTTGCGTCCACATGCAGCATCTACTATATTATATCCAGACAGGCAGTCTACAATAGTTGGCTTGTCTACGCGGTTCAAATTTCCAACACCCAATTGTCCTTTTTCATTTCTCCCTGAAATATAACACCAGATCATTGCAGTCACACACGAGGTAGTCAATCAAGAAATCAGATTTAGAAATTACATAAACTCTGCTTTTTATGCCCCCCCCCCCCCCCCCCCCCCCCCACCCTCCCGTCTCCTCTCCCTCCCCCCCCCCCCCCCCTCCCCCCCCCCGTCCTCCCCCCCTCCCCTCCCCCTCCCTCTCCTCCCTCTCTCTCCTCCCCCCCCCCCCCCCCCCCTCCCCCTCTCCTCTCCCCCCCCCCCCAAACCCCCCGACCCCCCCCCCCCCGCCCCCCCCCCCCCCGCCCCCCCCCCCCCCCTCCCCCCCCCCCCCCCCCCCCCCCCCCCCCCCCCCCCCGAAAAAAACACATTTTTTGTGCATTTTGGTGTACAATTATGTAAAATTACCCTCAATATTAATTTTAATGAGTTATGAACTTAAGATGCAAACATAAATACATTGTAAATTTTGAGTTCCAAATATTTGAGAATTGTAAGTATATTTTTTTCTCGCATGAGTACAAATAACTTGAGACATTGTCTGTTTTTTTTTCTTTTTTCAAATGGACTATTCCAAACTGACGGGAGGGCCAATCCATTACACAAATATGGCAGATTACATTTAAAAGTAAAAACCATTGTAGCAAAATAGTAATTGAAAGGGAAATGAAAATTATATCCACTATAAACACATGAATATAATTTATGAACAGGGAAATGAAACATATTACAGACAAGGAGATTAAATATATCACATTTAAAAAGTTTTTTGAAAACATAAATAATCTTTAGAAAAAAAAACTTCCCAAACCAAACTTAAGTTACTTTATGTTTTATAGCAACAGCCATATATTCCAGATTACAGCCCTATAATTCCTGGTGAAAAAGTTTAAATACCTACAGATTACTGATTAAATACCTACTGCATACTTTTTTTGATGATCAAGTGGGAGATTTTACTTCAAAAAGAGGGAGATTTTAGAATTTGCAATAAACAAAGAAGGAAGTTCTGACATCAAAAATAGGGAGATTAATTTGTAAAAATACCCCTTATTTTAAGAAAAATCTTTGAAAATATAGCTGCCAAAAGTGGGAGTCTCCTACTAAAAGTGGAAGAGTTCACATGTATGCTACTGTCAATACCTTTTGATTATTTAAATATATTCAATACATATTTTCAAATAAAAATGACCATGATTTTTATATTGTTCTTTTCTTTTAAAGCCATACACATAATGTGAAGGTCATATGACTACATTTCAGTTTTCTGGCGAAATAAGAACTAATATGCCACTTCATGCATTATTTTGTTCCAGAGCAGATATTGTAGTAGAATCACCAAACAGGGTTGTCATTAACATTTTTTGCAGAAGGTTTGTTTTGAAATTGAGGCGGTCATTTCTGTGTTTATCATGCATAACAAAGAGTGTTTTCTTAATTTTGAGGCGGCCCATAATGCATTTGAGACAGGCATTTTGGCCTCCTGCCGCCTCTTAATGACAACCCTGCCAAACTTCTTTAGGCCAGCTAGATAGTGTAGTTATATCAGCAACTAGCTAGTATATGAATATACATATTGAGCATGCTCAGTAACATTTCTAGTCAGCATCTCAGTGTTAATGATTTCAGGAAAATAAATTTACATCCTGTAGAGTATACACATGTTGTGTTATATCACTATTTTGTGAAGTCTACTTGAAAATAGTATAACTCCCAACAACAAGTTACAAAACAGCAACCCCATCTGATGATGAAAATCTATTCACTATCTCTGAAAATAAACTGCTAAATTAACAAACTTTTCCTACAAAAAAAAAACACACACAAAAAAAAAACCACACACACACAAAAAAACAACACAATAATATTTCAAAAAGATTACCAAATGCATAAACTTTGCCTTCAGTGTCAATCAGGAAGGAATGAGTACTGCAACACCCAGAGACAATGGTACGGATTTTCACATCTGAGAAATCGGCAATACGGTGAGGTCTCCATAAATTTGGGCCACCTTTGTTCTTAGCTACAAAATGCAATCATAAATTGTTCTCTACATAAATATCATAATATACAGATAACTATTTCAAATTTGTAAAAATAAGGGTGCGTATAAGGCCCACTTTTTAACATGGCAACTTTCCAGCTTTAATGGTACAGACAGACAACAGGTGGGTCTTAATGCAATTTTTCAGTACAAAAAGCCACCTGGCAGTCTAAGTGCATAAGTGCCTCAGTATTCTAGAACTTACTTTTTGTGAATCATGCCAAACTAGATGAAAAATCAAATGTACTACTTACATGATTATGTATTTCAAGACTAGAAATGTGTCATCATGCCACGGATGCCCCCGCATGCAGCCAAAATTTCAGATGGTGCATTAATTATTTTTTTCATTTTAAGTTCAAAGCCCTTAAAACTTTAAAATGTTAACACAAACCATTTTCATACAATGTTCAAGACACTGAAATTATTCAGTTTTAACCTTTTAAAAATAACATATTTCATATTTGTAGCCAAAATAATGGCTAAAAGTATGAGTGCTGAAACTGAAAGTACAAAATTTTTCCAACATTCAGGAAAGATAAGTTGAACCACAACCAAATTCATACTTAAACTGCTTATTCCTAAGATGTATCTATATTATTTTTTCAAAGTGAAAGGGACATAACTCTGCAAAAAAAAATCATCAAAACCATGACCAAATTTCAACTTGACCTGCCCATTCCTTTGACATATCCATATGTCAAATTTAAGTTGAATATGTAACACTGTTGGGTAGATAATGAACAGAAACTGTAAATTTCATATTATTTTCAAAGTGAAAGGGGCATAACTCTGCCAAAAATCATTGAACCATGACCAAATTCCAACTTGGCCTGGGCATTCCAAAAACATATCCATATGTCAAATTTGAGTTGAATGTGTTGTACTGTTGGGGGAGATAATAAACGGAAACTGAAAATTTCATATTACTTTCAAAGTGAAAGGGGGCATAACTCTGCCAAAAATCATTGAACCATGACCAAATTTGAACATGACTGCGCATTCTTTTGACGCATCCATATGTCAAGTTTGAGTTGAATGTGTTGTACCGTTGGGAGATAATGAACGGAAACTGAAAATTTCACATTATTTTCAAGTAAAAGGGGCATAACTCTGCCAAAAATCATCGAACCATGACCTAATTCGAACTTGGCCTGTATTTTCTAATGACATATCCATATGTCAAGTTTGAGTTGAATGTGTTGTACCGTTGGGGAGAAAATAAAAACGGAAACTGAAAATTTCACATTATTTTTCAAAGTAAAAGGGGCATAACTCTGCCAAAAATCATTCGAACCATGACCAAATTCGAACTTGACCTGTATTTTGTCATGACATATCCATATGTCAAGTTTGAGTTGAATGTGTTGTACCGTTGGGGAGATAATGAACGGAAACTGAAAATTCTCATTATTTTCAAAGTAAAAGGGGCATAACTCTGCCAAAAATCATCGAACCATGACCAAATTCGAACTTGGCCTGTATTTTCTAATGACATATCCATATGTCAAGTTTGAGTTGAATGTGTTGTACCGTTGGGGAGATAATAAACGGAAACTGAAAATTTCATATTATTTTCAAAGTAAAAGGGCATAACTCTGCCAAAAAATCATCGAACCATGACCAAATTCGAACTTGACCTGTATTTTTGTCATGGCATATCCATATGTCAAGTTTGAGTTGAATGTGTTGTACTGTTGGGAGATAATGACGGAAACTGAAATTTTCATATTATTTTTCAAAGTAAAAGGGGCATAACTCTGTCAAAAATCATCGAACCATGACCAAATTCGAACTTGACCTGTATTTTGTCATGACATATTCATATGTCAAATTTGAGTTGAAATGTGTGCAACCGTTCTTAAGATAATGAACGGAAACTGATGATGACGGAATGACAGAATGACGGAAGGACGGAATGACGGAACAGGGTAACACTATATGCCCCGGCCATTACATGGCGGGGGCATAATAAAAGAATTATATTTCAACTTAAAAAGTCACATTCAAATATTGTAATTCCCAGTTCAAAGTCATAGTGTATTGACTTAAGTTACAATGCTATCAAGTTAATATTCTAAAATCAATCCTTTCATTTGTAACTAAGGGCTGTAACAAGCCAGCCCTATAACATTTGCATCAAAAATCAAAATTTCATGAAAATAAATTTCATGCAAAATATTATCATACCCTCTTTTGGCACTTGTTTTCTTCCAATCAAATCCCAATTAGTTCCACCAGAAATAAGTACTTCTCCACTTAACATCGGTGCTTCAAGGGTCTGTAAATATAAACAAGTTAAAAAAACTTATTTAAAATTGGTATGTAAATATATACATGTACAAGGTATATGACTTTTATATATTTTAAATATCAATTTTAACACAGCTGCAGATAATTATTAAAGGATTTCTAGTGTAAAGTCTGTAAAAAAAAAAGTTACGGTTAGCAGTGAATAAATTCAATAATGAGGATTGGTTGGTTTACCAGGAACAAACTTTTTTTAGCCCTATGACAGAATCATGGTCACGTTTTAACAACACGCACAGGTGAAAGTGATTTTAAATGAAACTTTTTGTACCTACTGCCGAAGTGACACTTAGATTTTGTCTTGTTCACACATCTGCATGATTTGATATAAATGCAAATAACATTCCAGCGGATTAATGAAAAATACTGGAACTACTCATATACCAGTAAAATTGATAATCAAGTCAAAACTTATAATAACCATTAGCAATATCCGGTTATAGGCCCCCTGGGCAGATTAGTTCACCCAAAAATCATGATCTTACAGATGTTTTTTTTTTCCTTAAATTTTCTTTGGTTCAGGTTAGTCAGAAGAAAGGGCAGTTATCATTATGCGATTGATTTCCCTTTAAAGCATGTCAGTGCATAAATTCATTCAGTCAGTTATTTTATATGGAATGAACGAATCGATATAGTGATTTTAACGGTCTAAATGTATGAGTTCATTCCGTAGTTAAATCCCATATGTAGCCCTTGCTAGATGATTCAATCATCTATATGATTGATAAAAAACTCAATTCTTTCATGATTCACTACGCACACACATGGTAAGTAAATCATGGAGCTAATTATAGATGGAGAAGAAACTGTGACGTCACACAGTTAAAATAAGAATCGGCGGAATTGTGTTCACATAAGTTTTCATATGTCGAAGAATTTTCCAAGATTCGATGCATCTTGGGTAAAAGTAGCCAAAATACCGCCATATTGAATTTCCGGAGACACACAGACAAAAAAATCGAAACATTTTCTACTTATATAAGAAGCAATAGTTATTTATGGTAAAAAGGTACAATACACACTTTTCCCACAAACATTTCTCCGATGAAAATCTATGTTGACTATGTTAACAATAATTCACGGATATCGCCGAAGTTTAACAAGAGAGCGACAATCTGCGAATAGCGGGAAAACCTGATTATCATCGAAGCGCGCAAAGGATTGTGGGTCTGAATCAGACTATCATCTATTTTCGGAGCTTCCTATCCGTTGTATATAAGTCTGTAAATATGTTGAATATTTTAACGCATTTGAGTGTGAAATATTCTAAGCGCCTAAATGATCCAGATGAGTGAGGCTGACCACAAGTCTAAGCGCCTAAATGATCCGGATGATGGCTGTCTTAAAAAAAAAGATAGAATTTATTGCCACAGGGGGCAGATAACCAGATATCGCCTAGCCATTTTATACTCTGCTATATGTCCCTAATCAAAAACAATATCTTGATCTCATTACACCGACTTGTAGTATTAGATTTGGTGTGGTATCATAGAAAGTTGATGTCAATGGCAAAAAAATGAAAATTTTAATAAATAATTTAGATCAAAAATCGAAAATGTGTAAACATACGTTCAATAGTTACAATGAACATGCCCAAAATTACATAAACAAAAACGCACGATATCGTAAGCAATTTCCGGTTCATCGATTGATGCAGCCCCATTTCCATTGTTTAGCTCGGTCTCGGGTTCTGACTCAGATTCCGAAAATTCATCCTTCTTTTTCTTCTGCTTTTTCGCTCTGGGCTTCTTGACAGTGTCGTTTTCAGGATCTCGCTTCTTTGGTGGCATAATTCCAAATGGGTTATTAAATGATCTTTAAGAAAGTTTCTGTTTATTTAGCTCGAAAGACAATGCCGCCAAACTTTTCGTGTGTTTTGCTTTTTTGTGCCGAAGTCGCGAATTCTACCGGTAAAATCGCGCGAGATTTTGCTGAATATGTAACAAAAAGGCACGTGTCTTTTTCGCGAGAAGGAATATTTGTTGGTTGAACAGTACTAAATTTAAGTTTGTGACCATTTGTAATAATTCAAGTAAAAAACACAGGCACGAGTATCGGACCTGGGAAGAAAATATGACCACATTGATAACCTTTACAGTATGTTCATCTTAAATGTGTCAAAATCCAAAAAGAAAAAAAATACTACTAAATAGTTAAGAGAAGGCCGGAAAACTAATATATGAAACAAATGGATCAAATGATTTTGTCTTAGAAAATACACTGATTGTACTAACTTGAAAGCAGCTATATGTAATTAAGGATATGTATTTAATTTTGGCAATGTTTTTGTCTGTCTTTATGTGCAGTAGGCGGACAAAATTTGTGTTCGCAAAATAAAAAAAATCATTGGTATTTCAAAATCAAAATTTTGTAAGAGTATTTTTTATTAATGCGCTCGTTTGCTGATATATATTTCATGAACGGGAGCGGTAAAGACTTGGGGTCGGTCTCCTTTGGAAGCTTAATACAAACGTGAAATAGTGATAAAAGTTTATTTTTTTACTTATCTGGACAATTGTTTTCACAACGTCCCGAGAATTGAATCCCTTGCTCGTAGTCTCGAATCTGGAGTTTCGGCCTTCTCTTAACTATAGTATATTTTTAAGGAGGCAATTTTTTACTCGTGCCTGTGGTAAAAAAATACAAGTATAAGCATTTCCAAAAATGCTTGGAATCGCTGTTCAGCCATGAATATAGAAATAATATTTCTTTTATTGCCTAATATATGTGCATGTGGTCAACACATAAAGCCAACAAAAATACTTGATTTACCCTACCATTCCGTTCTTGTCAAAATATTTTGACGCGCTCAGTTAGATTCTGCTGGGTCAGAATGTAGGAGATATTGAGAAAAATATCACAATAGCTTGACTCGTAGTATTCTATTCTATTCTATAAGTTATACTACATGCGCTACTTAATAAGTACGTGCATCAATTGTTTTGTGCCAACTAAATTTCCAGATCTACCACGAGTAAACATACGTTTACGTTTGCTTGCAACTGGTAAAAAAGTATTTTTACATCTTTCCCTATTTTAAAAAAGGTAATTTTGAGTAACAAAGTAAGACTTTAGACTTATTATGTTTTTTAAAATTCACCATAATCTAGTAGCCATTAGCCTTTCCACCTACTTTAAAACTCCATCTAGGCTTACTAGACATATGCACCCCCTCTCTCTTAGGAAAATACAGGTCACATCAGACTACCGTAAGTTCTCGTTCTTCCTCCACTGTATAACACTTTGGAACCAGCTCCCAAGGAACACTGACACCCCGCCCGATCTAGATCAATACAAACAGGCAGTGGTTAAGATACAGTATTACTTGACTTGTTGTGTTTTTACTTTTAAATCTTTCTTTCACCCTTACTAATAAAAACATTTTAACAATGACTAGAAGTTTTCAATGTCTCTCACTGTCCTGATCATGTTCATTTTCAGGTTTTTACTTTCTCTCACACCTTTATAACACACCCGACGCACGCCTTATTTCCTGCCTATAACACTCGCAAGAGGGATTGGCAGTACTCAGAGATAGATATTTATGTGACTCCAATGTCCGAGAGTTTGGAGTCTCTAACTTTCAAATGGAAGTCCCGTTTCATTCGTTACTGAAGTTTTTACATGAGTGTTCTTGTATATGGTTTCATGTTATGTAACAAAAAGTAATTTTGAGTTACAAAGTAAAGACAATGTTTAAAATTGAGCAATATAACATTCAGTTATTTAAACTTTTTTCTACCTTAAGTTCACAGTTTTCTTTCTTGTTTCGAAGCGTTAAATACCGTGAACTAAGAGCAGCACAGTATAATATTTAAAATCCTACCATGATATTTTTTAATGACTTCACCCTGTATTTTTATCCTTTTATCTTTTAATTGATGCACATATATGTTATAATATTTTAGACCACAGATATATAAACAATAGTCTTATATTAGCTCCATGTATAGACTAATGCTGTTTTTCCCTGACAGCGCCTCTCAGTCATAATCTTCGCGTATAAACGTTCTTTGCGCTTTTTATTATTCATTTGGGTTCGTTTATAAATTTTGCGACAACAGCATTGTTTTACGGCAAAAACATCTGCACGTGTAAATTTATCTAAATTTTCATTATTTTTTTAGAAAACCAGTAATCATGGGACGAAAAAGGGATCCGATGGACGTAAAGTTTACTGGAAAGGGCCGTAAAGCGAAGAAACAGCCGCCGCCAATGTTTGCTAAAACGACAAACGGTATTTATAAATGTGTAAAGATGATAGAAGAAATACATGGAATTATTGGTTTTTCCATGATTATGTTGTGTTATATCATCATTCCATCAACAATAATTAATATGTTAACACTATTTAATGTCACTCATAGGGAAACATGTCGAAAAGTTCTGTTGAATTTGCATGCTTTTAAACAATTCAAATTTCAGGCAGATCAGGCACTAGTCTATAATAATCAGATTTTAATATGAAATTAGGCAAAGCCTATGAACGGGAAAGTCGGTGAAAAGATCCTTTCATTTTTATCGTTTTAAATGTGTCATTCGGTATTATATGTACCCTCTTCCATTTTCACTCTGAACACTCGTCCATTATTATTAATCCGAACGTTGAGATTCGTTCCATTATCGGAAACGGAATACACCGCCTTTTATCATTGAGTTACATTGTAAATGGCAGCGCCTAACTGGAACTGACTCTGACAATTTCATTGATAGGTATAGAATTCTTTATATTTTTTAATTGTTTTTTATTTGATTTTCTTTTGAATATACATGTGTAGTCTATAGCCAGGCAAGCCAAAGCGGACCCGGACTTTAACTTCCCCGTATGAAATTAGGCAAAACCTATGAACTGCGAAGTCTTTCATTTTTACTTTATATTTTCAGTTTTAAAGGTATCTTGGTATTTGAATTTTTTATGCACTGCTTCCATTTTCACTCGAAATGCTTTAACAATTATTAAGTGGAAAAATTGAGCAATTTTTTGACATCTGTTATCAGATTATACTGTCTATTATTGTTGAGTTAAATTGAAAAAGTGGCGCTCAACTAGATATGACCCTGAAAATTTCACTGATACGTCTATATCTATTTATTCCATTTTTTTTATTAAGTTGCATTAATTAAAAGGGTAATTATTTAACATAAATTGTTCCATATACCATTGAATCAATAAATTTACGTATTTTATAATCATTTTTTTTATAAAAGATCGTGAACGCACTTAAGAGTCCCATTTCAGGAAATGTACATTTGCAAAACTTGATATTAGGATATATGGTAATAGGCAATCAGAATGTCAATTTAAATGGGAACCATATTGAGACAGGAAACCAGAAAAAATGGTACCATGGCATGCTTTAATAAATAAAAGTGCAGGTAGCCTGCTGGTACTGATTCCTTGATTATGGAAATTAACATTTTCTGATCAAATTGTTATTATATTCAGTATGTTATTGTTCATCCTTTTTTGTATAGAAGTAAGAGGTTATGTTATGTTTTACAAGAATGACAGAAGTTATCAGTTTTTAACTTACTTTTGCAGATGATGATGCTGAGAAAAAACTAAGCAGTCACCAGAAGAAAAGGTACATACACTTTGTTACTTGCTTTGTTAGTAATTTGCCCAGAATGTGTGTGTGTGTTGGCGCATTTCAAATTGCATTTTAGATTTTATCTTCATCAAACTTTATCAGGATGTTTCTTGTAGTAACGTCTGCAAACTATCATCAGAAGTTAAAAATCTTATATGGGTAATATCCGGTAAAGTTGGGTTAAAAGTTCAGTCACCAGGTCTAATCAAAGTAAAACAGAAAAAACTTGATTTTCTACTAACCCAAGTATCATAGCTTTTGATTAAGATTTTGCTTGCAAAAGATTTTGCTTGCAACTTTAAGTTTCCCATCCCCGTAAATTTTTTAGCCAGATGAGTGAAGTCAAGGGCATTGGGACCCTCCTGTAGTTCTTTAAATCCAAGTTGCCAACTAGGACACCATGCCATATCAATAGAAAACCTTTCTTGTCTGACAAAATAAGGGGGATAAACAAGAACTATCATGTGACTACACATGCAAACAAACACAGTGACCTTCACCCTTGAGAGTTGGTAGAAGGTAATCAGTCAGGTATTTTTATATTTACTCCCAAGGGAGAAAGACACTGTTTGTTTGACTGTGTGCTTTGCATTTGTGTTCACATGCTATTTTTTGGGAAAGCTTATTTTGGTCAAGTATCAAGGGTAAAAAAGAAGTTTGCAGTATTATGTTGATGGAAAATCTTGAGATTAGAATGAATTTCAACTTTTAGGTCACAGAGTTTTTGCTGAGGTAAGGATATTAAGCATAGGCCAGATGAGGTGACAACTATAATTAGGCTTAGATCTAAGTTTTTACTTCTCATGATAGGGTTGGGTAATGTGTGCACTAGCATATATCACCAAAGGAAGTTCCATTCTTTTCTCAGGGATGAAACAGCCATCATAGCTTTCTTGAATTAAAAACATTTAAGAGGAGACAATCAAAGTGAAAATTATTGTTTCATTTTCAGATTAAAAAAGCGGGCTGAAAAGGCGGAAGTTAGAAAAGAAGAGAAAATAGAAAAACTGAAAAACAAAAAGGCAATCACTAAAAATTTTGAGAATAAACATGGAAACCAGGTAACCTCAACCAAGGGAGACAACAAGGGGAAGCAAAATAAACTAAATGGTAAATTACAACAGAAGTATGCTGGAAAGCAAAATGGGAAGAACGAAAAGTATCGGCAGAATCTGCAGAAAACACTGAAACGAAAGTTGGACGAGGATTCTGACGAAGATTCAGAGGGTAAGTTCTTTGTTTGTTTCAGTGATTTAATTTTGATTAGTCTTTATACTCCAAGGTACTGTTGGTTCTTGGTTTGATGTCTTTGTTTAACATTAAAGATTGAAGGAATAAAGGATAGGGAAGGTACTTAGATTTAGAATGAATTGATAATTGGAAAAAAATGTATTAAACCGTGACATGTCGAATATGTGAAATGGATTGGCCCAGCTTTGAATTGGAGGGGATTTCAAATTCACTATTTGAGCTACCAACAGTAACGAGTTGGTCATGTTGTTCAGGTTGGCCTTGTACTATACTGGTGGCAGTGTGAAAGGCATATCACTTTCAGTTCCAACAGGTTAAGGGTTAGAAATGTATTACATGAAAAGTGGATTATTTTATTTTAGAAGAATCTTCAGAAGAAGAGGATGAGGATGAAGTGATGGACGTTACTCCAACTAGCAAAAACAAACATTTAATGGTAGGTGATTTTAATGAGCTAAATCTTAATTGGAATTTTATTGTGAATTATTGCAAGTTTTGTTGAAACTAGATTTTTAAAGCTCAAGAGTGAAACAAGCTGTATGTATAGCACATTCTTATCATTTTTAGCTGACATAAGATTAATAATAATTAGTGTAAAGTCATCCATTTTTATGTCACAGTCAATTTTTATTATGAGATGTAGAACTAACAAGTTACTAAATTACTGGAGGTTTGAGGACATGTTTAGAGTATCTAGTAACCTTATATAATGTCTTGCCATATTTCATCATATGGACCTTTTATCACCACTACAGTGTAAGTGTGTTAGTTACAGAAAGCTGACTATATAGTGGTTCAAATAACTTAAAAGCTTTTTTTACATTAAAATCTTTATATTAAATGATGTTTAAACAAAGATAATGATAAGTATATATTAGTACAAAATAAAAGAAAAGGGTCTGGAATAATAAATATTGTGATGGTGAAAATGTTGGCAGTTAAGTTTAGTTGTCATTAACAACTGATATTACCTTTCCATTTTATTTTTGAAAAAAGAATACTTTTTCTGTTCACATGAGCAAAAAGTGGTTAGAAATGGAAATTTTTGATAGCATGAAGTTTGACATGAGTTATCCACAAGGGTGGTTTTTTACAAACTTTTTTGGCATCTTCAAAATTGAAATAAATGGTACCAGTCTGAATCACAACTAGGTCACATTAGCTAAAAATAGACTTAAAAGAATAAATTCCTTTATAAATTTCTTCTCAGAGTCTTCTGTCATGCATAGAGCTTAGTTAATACATGCTACGCCACCTTGTGGTCATCTACAAAATTGTATAATACTAAATAGATGCCCTTGCTTGGTAAAGGCCCTTATAGGAAACAGACTATTTACATCTTTTCATTAGAAACTGCTATGTCTATAGCTTAGAAATTTGGTATGTAACATCACATTGTGGTCCACCACAAAAAATCATGCCCTCAGGGGTCACTTAGTTTATATATAGACTTTTATATTGGAAGGTTTATTTATGTCTTTTCTGAAAATGCAACTTTCTGAGTTAAGATATTTGGCGCTCAGAGTTTCCTTTTGAACTGGTACAAAAGTGATATAATTCTTGGCAAAATGGGCCTACTCAAAATTGACATAACATTTGCATTGAGATCATTACATTTTCTAGCAATGGATGATCTAAGGTAATCAAGGCACTCTTGTTTAAAGTCAGGTTGGTAGTGTATATTGGCTTGAACTTTTTCCTTTGCAGAATGAAGATGCAGATAGTGATGATGATGATGAAGAAGATGATGATGATGATGATGAAGAAGAAGATGATGAAGAAGAGGAAGAGGATGATGATGATGATGAAATACAGTTTGATACCAGTCAACAGTTAGAAGCAGGTGATGCTTCAGAGAGTGACGATGATGATGATGAGGAGGATGATGATGAGGAGGATGATGATGATGATAAAGTAAAAGGATATACTGATGATAATAAAGCATGGCTAAAACCTGCTGGGAAAGGAAAGCAACTGTTGGTAAGATTAAAAAAATGTAGTTTAAAGCAATTCCAGTATTCATTTCTCACTCTAGTCTCTTATTTAGTTTTATGTGTGAATGCTTTGGCCTACAGTCCTAACATTTGGTATGTAGGTTGGTCATGAGTTATTAATGGCCACAATAGATTTTGAGGTCATTTGATTAAAGATCAAGGTCACTATGGCCTTGACAACAAAAACCTTGCTACATTAATAACTATCGAATGTTGTGGCATACAGACCTAAGATCTGATGTAGAGGCCAAACCTGACTAGTAAACCCCTATTGGTTTTAAAGGTTATTGGGTCCAAGTTCAAGGTCAATTTGTTCAAGGTCAAGTGACCTTATCAAAGAAAATGTTTTTTCATTACAGATTTAAAAGGCATTTTCATTTTATGTAAGATGAATGTGTTTAAAGTCACTTTTACATTGCAAAGTGGACAGATAATCAACATCATAGTGACCTTGTTAACTGTCCTGATCTTGAAAATGTTGACATATAAGAAATCCATGTTACATGACTAACTGGTTTCTATAAGGCGGGGTGAATATATGTTTTACAAATATTACTTGTTCATGTAAAACTTATTTCTGTCTATACTGTATTTCAGACTGAGGAGGACAGTGATGATGATGATAGTGATGATATGGCTGATGAATTTGATGATGACAACTCTGATGATAGTGATGATGATGACGATGAAGAGGGGGATGAGGTAAAGTTTTAGTACATTATATAAATTTGAAAATATTCATTACATATTCATCTTTTACACAAGTTCTTGCACTGTTTGACACCAAAGAAATTGAACAGGATATTGTGTAATATGAATGAAATTTATGCAGTTAAAAAAGTTTTAACCCGTAATCTAATGGACTTGCCCTGCTTTGAATTTGGAACAGTCCATTCAATGTTCAAGGGATTACAGTGTCTAAATATAAAAATAGAGCTATCAACAGTATAGAGCCTGGTCAGACAGCATGGATGTGCTGGCTGGACTCACTTTAAACTGATGGCAAAGGCTGAACACTCTTAGTCATGGCAAAGTAATGGTTAGAACTATAATGGTGTAAGCTTATTATATATAGATTAAATTAACATCACCTTAATGCAGTAACGGGTTAAGTCCTTCTAAATTAAAATAGGAGTTAACCAGTTCTTGCACTAATGTGATGACAATATGTGAGTTTTTTGTTGTCTTTTTTTTTTAACTTACAAAAAGAGCAGCCATTGTAATTACCAATGTATCTGTATTTCAATGATTATGTTTTTATTGGCACATGTGCTGATTCTGTTTTTTATTACATGCTTTTCGGTGGTTTATAGAAATATATCAGTGATATAAAATTGGTAATTTCACTGTTTGAAACAGTGAAATTACCACTTTGATAATTTCACTGTTTTGAATTTAAGCCCCGTTGTTTTAGTGAAATACCAGCGTGCACAGTAACCAGCGTGCACAGTACTGGGTACCAACTTAATGACGTGACGTCGTAAATGACGTCACGTTGTATTATTATTTGGCGCGCTTTTCATTCAGTATTAGGTTTAATGTCTTTTTAAAACGTTTCTTTGCATGTAATAAAAAGAAAATTTGTTTAGTTTAGTGTAAGATCAAAATATATTTCACCTTGTGAACACCAAAAGTTCACATTTCATTGTGGCTGCGCCTATCTTGAAATATACGTTTTGGTGCTCACTCGGTGAAATATATTCCGATCTTACACTGAACTAAACAAATATCCTCTATATATTTAATGAGAGAGAAGTTTTAAGACTTGTGAATTTTGTATTATTTTTTTTTCGCTGCTAGATGTTACCTGTTGAGAAAGCAGCCAAGAAGTTAAGGAAGAAAGAAAAGCAAGATAAGTTAGTATTTAACACATTTTATGATAAGTCATCTGTCATTTATGTTTGTTAATGTTCTTTCAAATCTTTTATTGATATAATTTTGATATTAAGTTAAGTCTTGTTAAAATTTATAAATGGTGATGCTACTCATGTGCTTGTTCCTGCCAGAAATAAATGACAAAGGAGCACAAGATGTCATTTTCCACTACTTAAGCTGGTTAGTCTCCATAATGACTTTTACTGTGTCAGTGTAACATGAAATCCAACCAAATAAAACCTGTTGGTTGAATGATCACTAAAAGAAAAGTTGTTAAAATATAGAGGAGAACAGGTTAGAACTAATATAGATTACAGGACAATCCCTGTTAAATTGCCATGTGTGCTATTTTATAATTTAGTAATATTAAAATAGTTAAAATGTCACACTTGCAAGCATTTGTTCTTTGCCACTGCTGGTCCCAATCCCTTTTGAGTTGTTTCAGTTTCTTTTTCATGCCATCCAACTAGTTTAGAAGGTCAGTGATTCTATTGAGACTTCTCCACAAAGATGGCAAAAGATAGCCATACCACATAAAATAAGTGCTAGGTGAGCTACAAAATCAAGTGCAAAAACAATCGTTGAAAGTCTTTAATACGTAATTATAACATTTGTGAAATATAAATATTATATAATGAGATGACATGTTTTGACTTGCAGGAAACTTGCTGAGGATGAGTTACAGACAAATATAGCACAAACAGAGAAATACACACTACCTAGTGGACAAGAAATAGAGAAAGAAAATATCCTTTTATAGAATTACCATAGTAACCAGTCAATGCTCTATAAACAGATCCAAAATCAAGCTTTAAATTTATTTAAACATAAAATCTAGGGTCTTTAACCCATTACTTTATGAGCATTTTGTGAAAAATGGCTATTTTCATTGAAAAGTCTCCTGTTACAAGTTCAAATTGCTATAAAACTATAAAAACTGCTTCAATACTAATCAAACTTGGCACAAATGTTAACTAGACCATTGCCTTTGTAACAACATGCTCAGTCTTAAATTTCCTGTTACCATGGCAACGAGGGGACATCTCAAAATTGCCAAAAAATCACTATTTTGCGTTGATATTTTCCATCAAAATTGATTTCAAAGTGCTGCAACTTCTTAATGGATTGAGATAGAATCAAAGGCTTATGGTAACACGTTACCTTATGATCGACCTGGGGTCATTTTTAGCCTCTCAGAAGTCCAACATTTTCTTGGCGAGGGGGACTACCGCCCCCCTTCAAACCTCCCCAACAGAAGGGGGCACACCTTTTGGATGGGGGGCAGCGTCGAAAAAGTGGTCACTTTTTTAAGCAATATTTCTCAAACAAAAACAAGTGTTGGGGTCTAAATAAGGCATTTTTTCACCATTTGGGACAACAAATAGGGGGGTGGGGGAGGCGTTAAAAGGCGTTTATATAAGGTAATGGGTTAAGGCAGGAACTGTTCTGTAATCATAAGCTTATAGCGTAGCCTTTAACCGGCTGAATTTCAAAATTGTTCTTGTCCCTCTTTCATTTTTGGAATGTCCATTATTAACTTTAGGGATATGTATATGAAATGTTAAAGTTAGTTAGCCAACAGTAATGGTTAGATGTGCAGGATGGCCTGGCTCTATACCAATTGTAGACTGACCACTTTTACTTCCAGCAAGTTAATAATTAATTACAGAGTCAATATTCTGATTTGATGAAAAATAAAGCTAAAGCCTTAAGTTTTCACATGTATAAATGAATTAGTCTGATTTGTAACTTGGTGAGAAATGGTCAATTCTCAATTCAGTAGAATTTATAATGGATATTTTTTTACCTTTATATAAGGTGTTTTTTTTTCACTGTCTGCAATTTTACTTAGGAAAATTTGTTGTAAACAGTTTTTCTGATTTTTGCTTGTAACTTTTGAACAAAAAAGTTTACTCTGAATATGTTCTTGAAACATTGAATTTAATATATGGATTATTGTTTTTGTTTCTTAAAATTCTGATTGAGCAGTGTGGCCCTTCAGTTTTCTGGACTTGTGAGTCTGGTTATATATGAATTAGAGATGCCTTAACATTTATTTACCCGCCACTTCACCAGACCTGGCTATGATTCAACACAGGATTAAAGATGTTATGCATGTGCTTGCTGACTTTAAAGAGAGAAAAGAAGAAGGAAAGTAAGCATTTTATTTTGTTTTAAAAAACAAAACTTGGTGCAAGCTGCAGTTATATGGGCCAATTTGATCAGTGGAGAGCCAGTTTGTAACAGAAAGCTGCAGTTGTATCAGAAAAGATCATGTGATTCGAACAGGCTGCGATTTGAACTTACGCCCTCCCGCTTACAACCTGAAGAAACAACACTATAAACCTGCTTACCACCATTTTTAATTTGTTACAAAAAATGAAATATTTGAAATAGAAATGAGTTAAAAGTATTGGCAAATTTTGATATCTTATGATAAAAGGGGACTTATGATTAAATTGTTATGGTAATGTAAATCCTTGATAACTTTGCCATATGAAAATAAGGTGACAGAAATAGAACAACTCAAAGTGTTTAACTTGTTTGGAGCTATGAAAGTTTTATTATTTTTAAGAGCTGCTGTAATATTAATCTGTGATTTTAGTGGTATGATGATGAAAACCCATTAACTCTTTAATTTGTATAACTAGCAGTGGTAAGTTTTAGATAATAGATAGGACTTTACTGAAATCTGCTAGGAAAGTGGAAACATGGAAGAATGATAATGATTAAATGAGTCATTATTTTGTTATATTACAGATCCAGACAGGCGTATATAGGGCAGCTGAGGAAAGATCTATGTCTATACTACAGTTATAATGAATTTCTTATGGAGAAACTGATGAGCCTTTTCCCTACAGAGGTAAGCAATGATTATATAATCTTAATTACATACCAGAATTTTATTATTAAAGGGACTCCATTCAGTTTTTTTTTGGCATGACGTGACTGGAAATATTTTTTCAAGATTTGTGTATCATTTGATGTAGGACTGGGCCAGTAACTTGTGTTTAAATTTTCAGATCATCCTTCATCCTGTTATTCCAGAATAATCATTTTTATTGCAAAAATGAAAGTGTTGCAATGGTTTATACTCAAATTGGACTAAGATTTGCACACAAAAAAAATAATAAAATGGCCAGGGCATATAGTGTTACCCTGTTCCGTCCTTCCATTCTTCCGTCATTATCAGTTTCCGTTTATTATCTTGGTAACGGTTGCTCACATTCAACTCCAATTTGACGTTGGATATGTCATCGGGAAATGCAGGTCAAGTTATAATTTGGTAATGGTCTGGTGATTTTTGACAGAGTTATCCTGTCCATGATGAAATTTTCAGTTTTGCCTTTCATTATCTCCCCAACAGTTTATAACATTTATATGTTTTTTTAAAGTAAATAAAAGTATTATAAAATTGTTAAAATTCCTTTATGCAAAAGATTTCCAAATATGGTGGATTCAGTTCTGTTCCCAAAAGGGAGGAAAAAAACAACATTTTAATTATATGCCATTGATAATTCCTCCTTCTAGATTGTGGATTTCCTGGAAGCAAATGAAGTACCGAGACCTGTTACTATACGTACCAACACGTTAAAGACAAGAAGAAGGGACCTAGCTCAGGCCCTTATCAACAGGGGAGTTAACCTGGACCCTATAGGGAAGTGGTCAAAAGTAGGCCTGGTTGTTTATGATTCACAAGTACCCTTAGGTAAGTGGATAAAACTTAAAGTTGCTGGCCAGTGCAGACCACGCTCAAACGGCATAGTCTGCGCTGTTCCCTTTTAAGTCAGAACTTTTAATGAAACTTTACCTAAAAATGATAAACTTTTGTTCAAAGATTGACAAGTCGATTTAAAATATTTATTATTTAGTTGTTTAAAATAATGGTAAGTTATCATGATAAAAATATAACATTTGTCTCTTAGTATAAATATGCTTTAAAATACATTTTTATGGTAAGGCTTTTTTTTTTGCTCTGTTACATATTTTTATAATTCGTTGTTTTCAAATTGTCTATGGGACATTACTGTTTCCAAGTTGCTCCTTCTTTTGAAAGGAAGAACTTTATATGGAAATTCATCTTTCAATAACTCAAACATTTTTGTCAAATAACTCAAATGTCAAATAACTCAAAAATTATTTGTCTCCAAGAAAACAACCCATCCTAAGCAACTTAAGTTTTTGCTGGGTATAGAACATAAAATGTAGCTTACAAACATTGTGAAGGATTAATGTGTCAGGAGAATGACTGCCTTGATGTTATTTTATCTAAGGAGAGATTTTGTTCATTGAAATATGATACACTTCAGCGTAATGGTGAAGGAAGACATTAGCTCTTTGTAAAAAATATCTATCTACAGATAAACTGTATGATTATTCTCACATAATGTATAGATCAAATTTTGTTAATATTTTCAGGGGCTACACCAGAATATCTGGCTGGCCATTATATGTTACAAGGAGGGTCCAGTTTTCTCCCAGTGATGGCTCTGGCCCCCCAGGAAGGGGAGAGAATCCTAGATATGAGTGCTGCACCTGGTGGCAAAACTACTTATATAGGTATGATATTATATTACATAGACTTATTTTCCTTGGCACTTGGTTAATAAGCTCAGGTAAAGTCCTTTTATTGTCAAAACAATATTTTTGCTCTGCCTTGTAAGAAAACAAGTTTTGGAATGATAATTTTACCTAAAATATTACACACATGTAAAAGATCTGAAAACAGTATGTTGTTTGTAAAGAAAGTATAATTATCTTGTTATAGCTGCATTGATGAGGAATACAGGAATGCTGTTTGCCAACGATGCCAGCAAAGATCGGACAAAATCTATCATTGGTAACATACACAGAATGGGAATAACAAACACTGTCGTGTCTGATTATGATGGTAGACATTTCCCAGAGGTAAGTTTTACATGTTGAACCAGTAATCTGTTGAAACTGGAAGTGATAAGCATTTGCCAGACAAGACTGAACATGCATGATGTCTGACCAGACTCTTAACTGTTGGCTGAATAACTTCAAATTTTCATCTTAATATTCCCAATATTGATAATGGACTGTTCTAAAAATGAAAGCTGGACTTGTCCATTTAAGAAATTTGGGTTAATTCTCCTTTATTTATTATTGATCTGCAGATATGTTAGATAGTGATAGTAATTATTTCTGAAAGGTAAAATGCAATGTCACTATTTGTTGAAAGATGCATATTTTATGAATAAATTTTTACATGTATTTTGATTAAAGAAAAAAAATATTGCATTACTGTAAATCTGCTATAAAGAGCTGTAAGGTAGTGTTCAAATGATATTTTTGCGATAAGTCTCTCCTATGAACTCTGATTAAATAAACCTATACTGTTATATGTTTGATAAAATTCATTGAATATTTCCAACAAGACTTGAATATAAGTTTTCATTAATATTTGAAATAGACTACTTAATATAAGTTTCCATGAATATTTTGTTATTTAATTAATCAGGTATTGAAGGGATTTGACCGTGTGTTACTTGACGCCCCATGTAGCGGCACTGGCGTCATTGCGAAAGATCCTGAGGTGAAGATAAATAAAGATGAGACAGATATACAGAAATGTTCGCAGTTACAGAAAGAGTTGATCTTAGCCGCCATAGATTGTTGTGATGCTAATTCTAAAACAGGAGGATATATTGTATATTCTACATGCTCTGTGATGGTATGTTTTATAATGTTCAGTTATTTTTCCAGACCACAAATTATCCACTTAATCCCTGAAATTTTCAGTATCATACTTTTGTATGCTTTGTGGTTAAACAATAAGTTATCAATCAAAACATCTAGAATTATAGATTTTGTAATGACAGTAAAGCATTTATTTGAAAATATCATATTATGAAGCAGAAATAAGCAAGTGAAGGAAAGGCAATCTGTAGGAAAAGCTTTTTTTGCTAGCTTTAAGAACTGGATATGCAATAGCTGAAATATAAGGATGACATTTTGTAATTTTGCTGTTGGGATCCAAAGTTCCTTACAGGCTTTCAATATCAAAATACTTCATAAGGGGTGCAATAACTCAAGTGGTTTAGTTGCCTGTCTCTCAACCCAGGGATTATGGGTGTGAGTCCTAATAAGGTCAGTACCATGTAAAATTGTTTTCTCAAAGACACCAGTACTAGTTAGTTCCTGGAAGCAGGGGGCATCCATGGCTGAGTGGTTCTACTCGGGTGCCTGTTCATGCCTGACAAAATGCATGGAAGGGCATCTGAGGTCTTCTTCCAGCAGTTATGCTGAAAAGCTACCATATGACCTATACTGGCTTTGAGCGACGTAAAACACAACTGATGGACTTGTGCGTCTTTTATCTGAACAAAACTTTCATTTTTAGGGAAAATTTCAAAATACTGAGTCGTTACAAAATATGAAATTTTCCCTGAAAATGATTTTACATTGTAGTGACTGAATGGCAGACAGGGCAGACTGGCATGATGCCAGCTGATCTTGATCTCATCTGTACTGATTGCATGGATAGATTCTGTAGTCAGGCTAAGGGATGAAGGCTTTAATTGAATATCAGAACTGAAATAAAAATTATTATACATATTATATTTTTCAGGTTGAAGAAAATGAATGGGTTATAGACTATGCTTTGAAGAAACGTAATGTTAAACTTGTCTCTGCTGGTATAGATTTTGGGAAGGAAGGTTTTTCTAAGTAAGTTTTATATACTGTTGATGCCATTTAATTGTAAACCTACAGAATAAGTTTGTTATGTAGAATTAGTGGAATGAGGTTTTTTGCTTCATTTTTTTACCATTTATTGATAGTTTGACATATTTCAATACTGAGATAAACTGCCAATAGGAGTGCTCAGTGTAGGCTAATCTGGCTATATACTGGTGGTATAGCCAAATTGCTACCATCTCAAGTACTTAAGTTTTACTACAGGAAGAGATTTAGATGTTTACATCTTAGATCAACCAAGTTTATGCCCTTAAGTCATTGCCTCCTGGTAAAGGATTGAAAATATTGTCAGTAGCATACTCTCAACTACAGCTTCCACCAATTAAAAAAAAAAAATTTTTAAATTTTTTTACAAAACCTCATTTGTTATTTTTTTCAGTTTTGAAAAATTCCGGTTCCATCCTAATATGAAGATGACTAGAAGATTTTACCCACATACACATAATTTAGATGGATTCTTTGTAGCTAAATTGAAAAAATTCTCAAATAAAATCCCAGGAAAAGGTGAGTTACCGCACTATATAAGTATATTATCTCTTCTCTGTCTATAAAAGAACATTACTATTTTCATTTTAATAACTTATTTTACAATATTGCATTAAAAGGACAGGTATTTAAGTTTCAGGATTGATTTATTATGTTATATGCCAGCATTTTCATAATTTCCGTAATTCAAGGGCCATAACATCCTAGTGCCTGTTTAATGCTACAAGTTATAGAACTTGCAAATATAGTTTCTTAAATATACAATATTTTTAAATCGTCTTTGTTGATTTCACTAGTTTTATAAGTTATTATTCTTGTAAAGTACTTTGTATTTTATCTTTATTTTATTCCTATACAGAGACAAGCAAAGATGAAACTATTGGGGAGCTAGGGGGATTTTTCAAATCAGAAAATGAACAAAATGAAGGTAAGTCAAATGACATGTAGTTATTATATATTTTTACAGAATGTCTTCTATTTAATGCATATAATTCATATTAAATATAGTGACAGCTCTATAAAATGTGTATAAAATATTGAAGTAATGATACTCTAGAAGATTTTCTATTTTTATAAGGCTATAAAGAACAATGCCGCAGGATTAGCCTGGGTAAACCTCCACCTGTATGAAGACTATTCTGTTTGATTATCAGTTTGAATATTGAACCCTTAGCCTGCTGGATGCAACTGAATCGACTGACCCATGCTGCCAGTGCAGACAAAGGTCAGCTCGCATATCCATGCCATTTGGTCATGCTCTGCATTATTCGTTAATCGGTCAATACTTATTTTGAATTTTTTTAATTATGGTATGGGTCAACAATTCTGATATGTAAATTCTATTAATAAACCATGCACAGTTCCATTTTATAACATGCATTATTATTAATTAAGTTTTATTTGGTTCAGGCAATTCTGTATTAAAGGTGTTTTGAAATTTGAAGAAAATTGAACATACTTGTATATACTGGTTTAACAAGTGAATACTTTATGAATAGAAATCTTTTTGGCCAGTTTTCTTCATATGATATACATGAAGTACATTGTACTTCTAAATGTATAATGTTTTAACACTGTATTTCTCAGTGAATTTCTAAGATGGTTGTGCACAGCTTTGAATTTTTAAAAATTAATCCAAATGTTAAAATTAGCTCCTTCTTTTGTTATCATAGAGAAACAAGAGTCATTAGAGGTGAATTCTGATTCAAGTGGAGATGAAGGGGAGACTGATTCACCTAAAAAATCTGAAGACAAAAAGAAAGGAAAACAAGAAAACCAGTCAGAGGGAGAAACAGGAAACACAAAGGACAATAAATCTCCACAAAGACAAAATAAAAAGCAGAAAGGACAGCAAAAAGGAAAATCTTCAGATAGTAAACCAAATAGTAAATCGTTTTTCTTTGCCCGCAAGAAAGGAAAAGGTGGGAAGAAAGGAGGCAAAGGAAACTTTAAAGCAGGGAAAAATAAGAAATTTAAATCAGGTGGACCCAAAAGATAGAAGTTTGTTGTTGATATAATTTTGAAATCTAAATTATAACAATAGGGCTGTTTGTAGCAAATCCCAAAATTGCTGAGCCAAGAAAAACTAAAGAGAAAATTACTTTTTAGTGAATTAATGTATTGACACTGATTGAGTGAGCTGAAATAATGAAAGAAAATGGAAAAAATGAAGAAGAATAATTCTGTTTTGAAACAAGAATGAAATATATTGATAAAGATGACAAACTTTTGCATGCTATTGTTAGAGAATAAAATTATAATTACACAATGAAGGTTGACTTAAATCCACCATGTTGGAAAAGATATGCATATTAAAACTGGGGAAAGCAGAAAATAATTGCTTTGAAAAAGTTTGATGTAATGCTTATAATGAAATTCTAACTAGACTGTAATGACTGATTTAAACAGTCACCAGTCAATAAATCAGTCAGCATGTATTCTTGCATAAAAAATGGAATCTTTTAAATGTGTCCATGTCCTGATTCAAATGTTATTGCATGAAAAAAGGGGCTTCAACACCCCTCAAATGTGTTTTTAATGCATTTAATTTCTGAGGGAAAGTACATTGTATCTCAGCCATGTACATTATATAAAGCCCAGCATTAAGTTGATTTACAATGTATACCAACTAGTGTGTTAACAGTTTGTGTAAATGATGGAAGAAAAATATTAGGATTCGATTCAGATTACATGTCAGTAGATAATGGTATATTTCTATGATATGAAGTTATGTCTTAATAAATCATTTTATATCAGATGTTTTATATTGCAATCTGACAAAGTATTTAGCTAATCTCTCAAATGAAAAATCTTTGAGGTTGTTTCTCCTCAAAATTAAAAATTCTCTGCTGGAAATGACCTTATAGTTCTTTTAAAAATGCATATATGTGGGCTGAAATACATTGCTGGCTACTTCAAAATATGTAGGAGTGCTGCAAGTATTCAGGCATATTATTAACAGTGTTGATAGGGTTTTAATCCTACAGATAAAACTTTTTGTGACTGAATTGGGTAGGGTTATTTTTGTTAAGATTTTATTATGTATTTGTTAGGTATACATGTTATTGTCACATTATAAATGAAATAACTTTATGTAATTAAAACTTTTTTTTATGAAATTCAGTGTTTAGTTTTCTTTATCTTTTATATGGGCTGGGAATTGGTCTATTTCAAAAAGTATTCTTATATGTACTTCAAGTTAACTGTGTAGAATCTGTGTCTGCTTGCCTCAAGATTCATGCTAATTGCCATAAAGATTTTGAAACTGTATTATAATGTAAAGTACTTTCAAGTGAACAAAGAAAGTAATTTACACATTGCATACAGTACTTAACAATCCACATAAATTGCCAAAATGAGGCTAAAATATGTAAAAATAGCCATTACTGTGTTAGTCAGTAGTGAATACTTCAAAATCAGTCTTTATTTGCACATAACATGTAAATTATTACTTGAATCTTTTACTTTTCTTTAAATGTTAGTACATTTTTCTTCAAGTTTGATTTTCTGGAAATATTTTGGCTCATCTGGAGGCATGCAGTCTTAAACGACATCTCCTAAGAACTAAGCTTATGTCATTAAAACTTAATAGGAATGTTCCTTGAGTGATACTCTTTCATAGTTGTTTGAAAAAATTCTAATTTATACAGAACGCTGGAGAAAAACCCAAAACCTATGGTCTGATTTTGATAATATTTCACATAAGTGAGCTTTGGGTAGCAATCTTAAAAGATTGTTTAAATGGCTCTGCTTAGTTAAGTATCATGGCCACTAGAAGGCATGGTCTATACTCTCTATATATATCAGAAGAGGTTTCATCAAAATTAACCCAAATATTTTTAGGTTAAGGCTTTTCATACTGAAATTTTTTTTTAAAGTAAGTGGATGGTTGGATTGTAATTGAAACTGGGCATGAATTCATTTTATAACAAATTGATAAAGAATCATGTCAAATACAACAAAACATGTTGCATGTTTTGAATTACGGCCCTGTGTAATTTAAAAAAAGAAAACATTTTTTTTTTAAATAATATTAACACCAGTTTCATTCGTGTTTTACAAGTGATAGGTTTTATTGAAATGAATCTTGCCATGAATGTGTAATTTCCTGTATAAGTATATAGTCAAGTGACCCCTCGGGCAATTCCTAATGATTCATATCAGTTTTGTAAAGGTCTATAAAGCAATACTTACATGTATTTTCCTATAGAAGTCTATCTAAGTAAGTTATTCCCAGTGTGGGGCCAGTTTTAATCTAAGGAAGACTAAACCTAAGTTCTGCACAGTGTCTCATAACTAATATTTCTGCCAAAAAATATTTTAATTTCTTTCTATCAATGTAAAAGATACTGAGTGGTTACATAATTTTGAGATTCAAATTCAAAAGTGTGACCTTGACATGAAGGTCAAATCTGCGCTCTGCATGTCATCTCAATATGGTTAACATATTTGTACCAAATAGTTTTAATTTCCATCAACTGGTATAAAATACAAATCAGACACGAAATTGCTAACAAACACAAGATGGACTGACGACCATAATTATATAACGATATATGGCAAGATTTTTATGGGCATGTAAAAATCCTTCAAAAATTTTATCATTTCAATATTTTAGTGTATATCAGAACAATTTAGATACAGGGAAAGTTTTAACCATGTAGCTATTGTACTAGTACGTGATGCAAGCCCCGTATATCTTAGATAAGAAGTTTACAAGTATTGAATAGGTTTGGAAAATTCCCTGCTCTCACATGACCACAGTTGTAGGGAGGAAATTTTTAGTCCTAGATATAGGACACATGATAATGAAGACTATTGTTATCAGTTATCAGTGACATAAAGGTCAAAATTGTTTTTAAAAAAGTATATACACCAATAAAAATTGAAATATAATTGATAACCTATACAGATATAAGATAAATATGGTATGTAAGATCAAATGGATTGGTCACCTGAGAATGATATTGTCAGTGTAATTGGGAGTTCATTCAAGTTTGTTCTTGATAAAAGTATGCCTTGAATATAAACCACTTGTACTTCTGCAGTTGGTTCAGCAAGAAGTGATGACTTTTATACCAAGCACTAAGTTTTCATATTAGTTCTTAAATGATGACACTGATTTGCTCCTTTTTATAGCAGCCATGGAATTTTTTTTTTGAGATTTCTGTATCATTTGATGTAGGTCTGGACCATTTAACTTGAATGCAAAATTTCAGACCATTTGCTCGGTCTGAATTACCAGAATGATAATTTTTGTTGTGAAAAATGACCGGAAAATGAAAGTGTTGACACATTTTTAACTCAACTGACACATTTTTAACTCAAGTGACAGACTAAGAATCTCATAAAAAAAATTATTTCAGATTTAAACGCGAGTGTATTTTATATTATCTTTCAATTGGTGTATTTTCTATCATGTCCACCAGTTGATTTATAATAGAATTTCAAATCATATACTTTCAGACTTTTTGACATTTTGAAATATCAAGCATTATTTTCTTCTTTTATAAAAATGTAAAATAAGTATAGAATGAGGTGTGTGTGTGGGGGGGGGGGGGGGGGGATTTACTATTTATAGTAACAAAATTGCCTATGATTTCAACTGATAACGATCAAGTGTCACATGATTATGAATCTGGGCTTGAAAACTGGCAATCATAATCGGCCTGTAAAACGTGAGTAGTTGAACAAACAGAAATAATGATGTAACACTAAATACATGTTTGTCATCAAAATAGCTTGCTGTAAATGGAAAGTAGGGTGCAAGCACTAATTGCTTGATTTTATGAGAACTGAAGCGTAATTTGTACAAACACAGTTTTATTGAAATTCAAAGAAAAATTTACAAATTCATTCTGAGAATTTCGGGCAGGAAAGTGATAATCGGCCCTGAAATTATTAATGCCCTTAGATTGAAGCTCTCAGGAGTCATTATTCATTTTGCAGGCGGATTATCACCTTCCAGCCTTACTCTGCTGTTTATTAATCTCTCAATAGTATATATGGCTACAGTCGGTGTTTTATGTAATTATTGTTGTCCCACCAAGTAATATTTTGTTATAAAGATGTCCGACATGTTATCCAGCTTTGCATAAATGGTTGTTTGCAATATTACTCTTGCAACTTTGGTTATATAAGATTATAATTGTTTATTCTGAGCCATATAACCAATCTAACTCTGGTTATATAAGCTTACAGCTGTTTATTCTGAGTCATATAACCATTGTAACTTTGGTTATTTAAGCTTATAACTGTTTATTCTGAGCCATATAACCATTGTAGCTTTGGTTATATAAGCTTAGTTGTTTATTCTGCACCATATAACTATTGTATTTTTGGTAAGATAAGATTAAAGCTGTATTCTGAGCCATATAATCATTTTAGCTTTGGTTATATAAGCTTATAACTGTTATTCTGAGCCATATAACCTGTCAGACATCCTGTAAATATATAAACAATTTTCTCCAGTAAGAATAGAAATAATACAAAATTTTCAGTTTTCATATTTTTTTATTTGTTCCATAAAGCATGTATCACAAAATTATCAAATATTGCCCTCATTAAGTAAAATATAATCATAAACAAAGATAAAAAGCCAAGACTGTTGATTTATGCTGTAGGAATAGTTGTTTTTTTTTTAAGTATTTTTTTTAAATGTAAAATGTAGGAAAAAATATACCAAAATGTACAAAACTTAATACTATACTTTAACCTTGTATTACACCTTGTGTAATCAACATCAAAATAAAGTGAATGGATATTGTCTATTGAAGATTAAGCAACATTCACAAATAAATACAAAGTCCAAGCTTTTCAAAGAACCATGTTCAATATAATATAATGCTGAAAAAATATTAAGTACATTGTGACAATACAGACTTCCCATACAATATAGCCTAGAAATCATTAATTACTGCACACATCATTAATTACTGCACACAAACTACCTGTTCAGGGGGGATCTCATTATGATCAGAGCCAAGATAATTATTTAGCAGCATGTTAATTATGGCTGGTGCTTTTATACCCTTATTTTCTAAAATGTCTAAACATAATTCAACCACTGTTTGTTACAATAGATGCTACCCAGAACTCGGCAAATGTGGGTTTTTCCCATCAAATCCCCGGGTACAAATTAACCTTTACCGTTATAGCTTCACAGTACTCAGTTATTCAGAATGAAGTGGTTAACTCGTTGCACACTTATTATCGCTATATTTAATAAATTGTTGCAAAATGACTAGAGTTGCAAATGGCAGCTCATCCCACGTTTAGATAGCATACTGTAATTTAAACATTTCAACTGATTCATTTCTTCTTTACCCTTACCCTGCTGACTTTGTGTAATGGACATGCCCAGCATTGAATTTTGAACAGTCCATTATAAATTTAAGGGATTACAATATCCAAATACAAAAATTTAGTAACCAACAGTACAGAACCTGCAAGACTGCACAGAGGTACAGGCTGGCCTGGCTCTATACTGGTGGCAAAGGTTAATCATTTCTGGTTCCAACAGGTGAAGGGCTAAACAATATTGTAAGATGTAGCCAGATAATATCATCACAAATGTCTAGTTAAGCAATCATGTAAAATAAAAGGTTAAAGTAACATAATGAGATTTTTTTGTCATGAGTAATATACATAGCACACAAAACAACAAAAAATAATAGAAAAAATTTCATCCCTTAAAAGCACTATAATACATTAAAGACCAGCAAAGATGTAAAGATAAAATCTTGAGACACAAAAAAAAACTATCAGTTAGGTTGTCTCTTGAAACAATATGTTTTATAAAATGTACAATTATCTTTCACAAAAAGATTTAATGATATAAATTATGACTGTTATAGTTTCTGAACCAGATATTCTTCCAACAATTTATCTGTATCGCCTCATCATAGTCTTATCAATTCCATATGTTAATATTTCCACTAAAATAATTGTCTGCTATTATAACTTCTCCTGAACGTATCAATTTCCAGCTCGGTTTGCCAACAGGTCATTATCCCCTGTTTCCATGGCAACTCCATTTTCAGCATCATCATTGTCTGCTTCTCGTCCAGCCAATTCCAACATCCTTTCAACAATCTCCCACAAGCACGATTCTTTTGGGAATTCGTGATCTACCAGGTTTACAAGATAATAGTTGTCATGGATATTTCTTATTATGGCTCGTGATCGACTACCCTCGGGATATAAGTTGCCCCAGTTCTTTACCCACAATGCAAACGCCTCATCCTGTAAAAACAATCAGAAATGTACTCCAGTATGAAAGTTTCCTTCACAACAACATAAATGTTTGTAAAATTGAAAAAAAACTTAACACACTTGTAAACTTCAGATTAAAACTTTTTAGGATCAATTGGCAACATGCTTATTCCTATTCTGCCTGCAGATCCAGGTCAGCGTGCATGTTTCTGCAGTGCAACCACATCAAAAAATGTTGAGTATTCAAACTTATGATTTTGTCCATCAAAATTCCCTAATGCCAATTCACTATAGACAATTCTATTTATTTAGCAAAATTAGTAAATATCTAATTCTTGCAATATCTAATGACAGTATTGTTTAACTGTCACTTATATTTGTCAACCCTATTTCCATATACAGCTGCGTAAAAGGCTCATTAAGTGGCAATGTGATTTGCAATTTACTGAAGTATAGCAATTTAACTTAGAGATGGTAAACAAATCATGGCCATTCTAAACTCGCACTTATTTATAGTTATACTGTAGTATTTTAAGTGAGAAGTCACTTTCAGAAGAAACAGGTTTATATTATAATAATCATATGACTACTATAAGAAATTGAGGCTAAAATGGGAACAGACAAAAAATCTGGACAAATGAAAATTTGACTGCGGGCATGAGAAAACGGCCCTTAACGTCATTAACTTTTTTCAATTGACATATTGAATTCTTAAAGAATGTTTTTAATTCTTTAGCTTTTGAAATTAATAAAAAAAACTTTTGAAATATGCTTATTGTAACCTATTCATATTTATCTTTAAACATTTCAAGGGTAATTCACTTATTTATTTTTAACGCCATTGACAACATTAAAGTCTTGACATCATTTGTATAATGATGTTAAATGTTAACGATCGTTTTCTCGTGCCGGCGTTCAAATACAAAAAAATTTACAGCCCCGCCCCTCACCCCCTGGGGGCGGGATATGTAGTTGAAGCGTCTTTGAGTAAAATTTTGAAGTTATCTTACCTTCCATACAGTGAATGCTATTGGATCTACAACAGTTGGCTGTATAATTTCTTTACCAGGGAACACTCCCCATGTTACAGCTATAGGCTCATCTTTATCACAGTTTGTGTAATCTGCCTCCCCCTAAAATATTTCAAAAATATATGACTTGTTATATTAACCATTAATTTTCAATAATCTGATTTTCATACAAGAGGGCCATGATGGCCCTGAGGTCGCTCACCTGTATATAGGCCCCCCCCACCCCCGGGCCAATTTTTACCCAAGGGCTTTTATTTGTTTATTTGAACAGACTTGGTAGACACCCATAAGAAGATGTTTCATGCTAAACATCTAAGTTCTAGCTCATTGGCTTTTTTAAAAGAAGATTTTTAAAGTTTTTACTATACACATATAGTTAAAAACAATGACACCCCTGGGGCAGGGCCAGTTTTGACCCCCGGGCGTTTATTTTAACAAACTTTGTAGATATTTGTTTAAAGATGTTTCATGCTTAATATCTAAACTCTAGCTATTTGGGTTTTTCCAAAGAAGATTTTTAAGTTTTTGCTATACACATATAAGGAAAATCAATGACCCCCCCCCCCCCCGGGCCAGTTTTGACCACAGGGCTTTTATTTGAACATACTTGGTAAACACCCATTAGAACATGTTTCATGCTAATTATCTTAGCTCTAGCTCTTTGAGTTCTTTAAAAGAAGATTTTTTAAGTTTTTACTATATGCATATAGGGAAAATCAATGACCCCCTGGGGCGGGGCCAATTTTGACCCCAGGGCTTTTATTTGAACAAACTTGGTAGACACTCATTAGAAAATGTTTCATGCTAAATATCTTAGCTCTAGCTCTTTGGGTTCTTTAAAAGAAGATTTTTTAAGTTTTTACTATATGCATATAGGGAAAATCTATGACCCCCAGGGGCGGGGCCAATTCTGACCCCAGGGCTTTTATTTGAACAAACTTGGTAGACACTCACTAGAAGATGTTTCATGCCAAATATCTAAGCTCTAGCTCTTATGGTTTTTTAAAAGAAGATATTTAAAGTTTTTTCTTTTGGTTGCCATGGCAACCAGAGTTCTGCATGGAATTAAATTCTTTGAACAATTTTTAAAGGTGACCACCAAAGGAACATTCCTGTGAAGTTTGGATGAAATTGGCTCAGTGGTTTATGAGGAGATGTCATTTAAAGCAAAAGTTTACGGACCGACGGACGGACGGACGAACGAACGCCGGACGAAAAGCGATCACAAAAGCTCACCCTGTCACTTTGTGACAGGTGAGCTAAAAAAAGGCTGTATTAAACAGTAAACATATTGTATGTGGAGTCAATTTAGGAACTTTAAGAACCCTTTTTAAGTAATGGGGTAAAAATATGAAATAGTAAAGTAAATTTGGTCATCTTAAACCTTTGAAGTGTGAATATTATTATACACATTTCTTAACCCTGACCACCCTTATTATATTAGACTGATCTAAACGGAACCATTGATCATTTTTTGGGGGAAATTTCATAATAAGTACTGACAGAATAGCGTAGACCATGATCAGATGGAATAGATGTGTTGGATGATCATGGTCTGCACTGGTCGCATGTACAAGCTGTTACCACCAGCAGGCTAAGAGTTAAACAATGACATAATTATATTCCCTTGGGAAAAGGATTTGCATTATTGCTATTATTGTGTTTCTGCACCATGTAACTAATATCAAGCATCAAATATGTACAGAACTTACATTATAGTTGATTATATGATAGTTAACCAATGGGAACTCTGGCAAGATTTTCTTCAGTGCCTGTATATTCTTCTTGCTGGTGAAAAACTCAAGGTAGGCCTGAAATATAAATAACACAAAAGTTTGAAACTACAACCCGATTTTTTTTAATTTTGCAGAATATGTACAATTCTACTTTTGAAAACATCTATAACAGCTCTATTGTGAAAGCAATGTGATAAGATAAAAACATCACACATCTATTTTTTATTTTCTACTAAATGCCTCTGACCAAATAAATACTCATGTTAGATAAAGATTCAGGACCTTTACTGGCATTAATATTTATTGACTAATATTTATTTTATTTAATTTATACAAATTTATTTCAGTTTGATTGTGTTGGAGGCTATAAGCTTATTAAAACACTTTCAAATCCATTCCTGGAACCAACCAGTACTAGGCTACAAGTAGAAAGTTTTTTGCTTACAGAAACAACAGATTGTTTATTGCTCATAGAAACAATGGCTTGTACCTGACGGGGTTTGAACCCACGCAGCCAGCAATCCTTAGATTACTAGTCTGACTTGTTAACCACTCTGCCACACTGACACTAACTTGAACATTTGAAGACAGAACCAGTTAGATCACCCATTCTCCACTTTAAAGTACTATATTAATGTTACCAGCACAAAGGCAGACAAATAAACGCTAATTTATTTCAAAAATAATCTTCTGATTTTTACCTTTTGGTATATGTAGCCGTTTGGAGCGCCCCAACCTAGATTTGGATCAGCCGAAGGTGCTCCATTAATGTTGGGCTGTGAATTGATAGTTAGAACACCACGTTCATTAATGCTGGCCAGTTTGTCCGTAATCAAGCTGGTCTCTGGAGACAGTTCATCATCATTCCATGGCACTTTTGTCACCTGGTAACGTAATACAAAATTCCTTTTTAATATTTATATTGGTATTTAGAAATTTTGTCGCGATAACTGTCAAGTTAATATATTATCTTGCAAATGATAATTTTTTTGTAGCATACCGCTATAATAAATTATTATTCAAATGAAAATTTAAACTTGTTTAAAATTATTTTCAAAACATGTTTCTGTAGAAAGAAAACAGGACATAGAATTTATATAAATTTACTTGAAAATATCAAACATATAATTATGTGTAACAGACGTATGTAAGAGATCTTCTAAATTGGATCCTTGAGCTTCATCATACTAATAGACAAATTGTTTGAAGTGTTATAAATGAAATAATGATCTCACCTTGACACCGGCTTTGTTAGTTTCTCCTGTGAGATAATTTCTGAACACATCATAAACATCTTGTTCACTCTCCAACTCTTGGCCCCATTGTTTCAACAAATCATCCTGTGTAGCCTTACTCTTTAGGTAAAACAAATAATAATCTTGAAGTTCATTGAATGCTGCAGCAGACGAATTTCCCCATCGTCCGTTTGGAAATTCATCCCAGTTTGATGTCCGGTGTATGTAGCTTTTTGGTCGGCACTGCCAAAATATTGGTCGGATTTCTTCAGTCATTCTGTTACAGTTAGCTGTTGGTTTCCATGGCAACGGCCTCCATGGGTCTTCTGACCACATCCCTAGTCTTTTTAAGATTTCAATTGTTGCAACTTCCCTGTTCAACGTGTAAAAATGAACTCCATGTATATAACCGGTCTTGAATAACTCTTTCGCCATTTTCACCGTCAAGTCAACACCGTAATTTCTAATGGCTTCATCGTTGTCTTTTATTGGGTTTATATCATCGATTATTTCCTGCGGCACTTCTAACCGTGACAATTTAACTATGTGTCTGAGGGATTGGTATGCCTGAAATATATAAAACATCAGATACAAATAACTCAATAATTGTACCATGAAATATTTTAGGTTTTTAATAGAAATCATGAATAAATCTTAAAAATTCTTAACATATGTGAAAATGTTAGGTTACTTCATTCCATGCCATATTAATAATTAACTTCTTAATTAATCAATCATTTCTGAAATATTTTTGTTGAACTATAGTACGCGGTACATCATAATTTGACTTGTGCCTTTTAACTTAGTACAGTCACTAAGCAAAAAATCCTACTTACAGTACATTCAAAAACCTTTCGATATAATTATTTTTGTACCTTCAAATAGGCATGTGTAAGCTATTTGGAATATAATAATAGTATTCTTGACAAAGATTTCTTTATATGTGTAAAAACACGCAAGAATAGACATAGTTTATTACAAAAGATAAACATAAAGGCCTGTTTATAAAGACAGCCTGCCAGACTATATGAACTGGTTCAGACAAGAGGTGCATTATTTTGTCAAGATCCATGACATATTTAAGCACTCTTTCCTTCATTTGAATGTGGTTGTCATCCAGAAGTATTGCAAAAGTATATCAATGTTTCAAAGAAAAATCTCGAAGTATTCAGTGGTACAAAACTAGGATTAACCAAAATTGTGATGGTGTGCTGACATTGATGCCCCTGTGAATAGGATAACTCCGTAAAATAATACTAAAATATGATACTAAAGCTTAACTCCTATAAATACATACTTGGATAGGAAGAAGTCCTGGCATTATAGGACAGTCTATTCCAATAGCTCTACAGTCTTTATAGAATTTGATAAATGTCTCGGCTTTGAAGAACAGTTGTGTGATTATAAAATCTGCTCCCGCGTCAATTTTCTTCTTCAAATTCTGAAGGTCCTCCTCGTAGGACTCACTTTCTGGGTGACCAGTAGGGTAACCTGTAATACAGGACATTTATAGAATTACCTGCTATATACCTTTAAAACACACCTTAAACTAATGGTTTAAATGAGAATTGGGAAAGAAATGAGACAGCCTTGTTCCATTGAAGTATCTGCAATTTATGACCTTAATCTGTTGATTTATATAAGTATTCAACTCAATAGACAATCAATTTTCAGGATCCTAAATTTTCACTTCAGGATCCTTAATTGAATTTTAATTTATGGATCCTAAATTTTCACTTCAGGATCCTAAATTTTACTTCACGATCCTAAATTTTCATTTCAGGATCCTAAATTTTCACTTCAGATTCTGAATTAAATTTTCTCTTCAGGATCATGAATTTCCACTTCAAGATCCTAAAGTTCACTTCAGATAGATATTTGGTATTTTTACATTGCTTTTACTTCTAAAACATTTTTATGCTAAACAAATAATAATTCTTAAAAATATGAATAATTATGAACTTTGAGTTTATTTCTCACTTTCTTAGATTTTTTGTAGACTATTTAAAAAGAAATTAATACTATAGATTAAAAGAAATGATATTATGACAGAAATAGGAAAATTGTAAAATTTTACTTACCTGCTACACAAATGACGAAGTAGTCCCCAAACTCTTGTCTGATCAAGCTGACAAGATCAGAGGCATAGTTGAGACCACCCTCCTGGTATGTCCAGTTGTCAGTTCCATCTGGAGGGTCTAAAAATAGAATGAATAATTGAGCCGCGTCACAACAAAATCAACATAATGGGTTTGCGATCCATGCTGTTCGCTTACAAACCCTATTACAAGTAGAGAAACTAATAGCGAACAGCATGGAGATCAGACTGCGCGGATGCGCAGGCTGTTCTGGTTCCATGCTGGTCACAACCCATTATGTGGGTTTTGTCACGACGCGGCTCAATATCTTTTTAGGTACAGCCATCACATTTTAAGGAGTAATACTTTGCATGCTTCAGGCATCTCAGAACAAGTTTGAACCATTGTTTCAATATTTCTAAGCGCTGCACAGTGAACAAGAAATGCTGTTTTCAATTCAAAGACAATTTCTCAGTTCTTGCAGCATAAAAGAGTGCTTCCAAAACTATCAATCAGGATGAGGTGTACTTAAGGTGTACTGGTATCCTCCTGTGTACTTTTTGAAATAGTATCACAGCATTGTACATTTTATGAAATAAAAAAAAAACAGTTATGAAATCAAGCTAACTCGAATTCTAATCTGTTAATTAAATTTATGAAAGTAAAAAGTATATTCAACTCACCCCCTCTCAACGCTAGAAGGTTCCTAATGCCCAAATTTTTGGCTTTGTGCAGATTTGCCTTCAGCTCATCTATACTTTGATCAGCACATGTTATGTGAAGCATGGTCTCTAAACCACAGTAGTTTAACATGGTAGAGGCCATACATGTGGAACTCGTAGGCTTCTCAACATTGGCAGGGTCACCTGCTGGATGCCATGTGATGTCACAGAACAGGGGCTTTCCACTTCCCATTCTCTCAAACCTGTACAAAAAATATAATTAACTATAGATTAAAAGATTGGGAGGGGGAACAACACATCAAAAACACCAGGTCGGTTTATATATTCAATATAACTACCGGTTTCGGGTAAGATATACCCTTCATAAGGTTATCAAATAATATCAAAAAATATAATTATTATCATTTAGTAATCTTTTTAGACATGGCTCAGGCTTACTTAACAAATGTATAAAATCATTATGGCTGTTTTTTTATTTATTGTTTCATAATTGCTGAGGCTAATTCACAATTAATAAAATCCATTTTCAAACAAGTTGTTTCTATAATGGAAGGAAAATACCTTTATGACAGTCATCCTAATTAATGGATATTTGGTATAATATTTTCTTCCTTTTAAAAATTTTTAATACAAGTGTCCCTCATTATCAAACTTGCAAATTTCATTACTTTAGTGAACATAATAAAATTTTAAAAAATCTGTTACAATTTATAAAAATCTGTCTTTTAAATTGTCTTATTGTTACTAGTAAAATAAATTTCAAAATATAAGTTATAATTAATCAATAAAACAAAAAGCAAGATGCACATTGTACACATACATATAATCTGAGAAGATGTCCCAGTTACAATAATTAACCCATTCATTTGGTTAAATTTATCATAAAATATGGGCTCGTATTGATACACACACCATAAACGAAAGTGAAAGTAACAAGTTTGCTATTTTTAGCAACCATGCTGTTACTATATTAAGAAGCACGAGGACACTGCATGATTTGCGTTTCCGCTCAGTTTATAATCAGTTTTACGTTGCATGATAATTCAATTCAATAAAGAAATAATAAAAACAATTACCTTGCAAGCAAATTAACAGCTCCATTGATGGTTCTTGCAGGGAAAAACTCCAGAGAAAAGAATCTTGCACCTTTGTTGATCCGTTTGTTGATTCGATCAATTAGACGCTTGTACCGAGGCGCTTTAGGGGAACTAGGACGCACTGGAGGACTGTCAGCTCCGTCTTCAATCTTCATTTCGCTGTCTGCAACATCCCCCGAACTTTTTATTGCCACTATCTCGGGCATACTTAATTAGAATCTGCATTTAGAAAATTATCTGGGTTAAAATCTACCGTTAAAATATTTTTTCCCATATATTATTGTATTAATTCATTTTTAAGCGTGCACTCCACATTATTAAACGTTATCTTTTCAATTTAAACGCGGATAAATTTAAACGCAAGAAAATTGCAATGACATCTATATAATGACTTTAAAAATTATTCTATTTTAAATTCTTCTCTTTTAAATTTCGTTTAAATCTATTCATTTTTTTAAAAATAAATTCCATCTCTACATATATTATATAAGTACATATTGAACAAGCATCTTTTACTAAATGTAATTTTATGTTTGCAACGAAACTGCAAATATTCATAATCAAAATTATAATAAATAACAGTTATCAATTACTCTTTTATAATAAATTTAATAACGGACAACAGTCAGAATTTATAATATTTAAAAGAAATCTAAAACCGTAATAGCATAATAACACTTTATCCCGTTATGCTCCTCTATAGTAAAGTATCTGACAGCCGGCTGTAATTTTTCTGCACACAAGTAAAACATGCATACAGATCATAACAAAGTTTTGCGAATGAAATACTAGAGTAAATTTAATCTTACGTAATTCTAAAAGTCCTGTATTATAAACGAATCGTGCAGCGCTAATTCATTCAATATATTAAATACACTTTTCGGCGTACTCCTTCCTTCCCGTTTTGAGGTATAGACTAGAGAGACAGAAAATTTATTCGCCCGTGTATTTATGCACAGATTAACCAATCAGAATGGAGAACGAATGTTAGTTCACGTTGATTATTATGTAGGGTGATTAGGTTAGAGAATGAGTCGATTTAACTGATTTAAAAACTTTTCCTTCACTTGTACAGATAGTTGGACATCTAAATGAATTCCCTTTAGCGTACATATATATTACATTTAAAGACTGAAGGTTTTTGTTGGATTTATAAAAGTGTATGTGAAACGTTTAGACATTATTCCGATATTTTTAAATGGTTTACTCCGATGAGGTACTATAGGGTTAACTCCCATTGGGAAACTATAAGTCGCTGTACCAAATTTACGTTACGGAAATTTGTCAATTATTTAAAAAAAAAAAATAATAAACAAGTATATTTTGTCTCGCTGATGTACATTGATACTTTAATTAAATAGTAAAATCAACCTATAGTAATAAAATGTTTAATAAAGTTTAAAACGCTGAATTTTAAAGTAGGTATACGTACGTACGGCAGTAACGTTTTGGCGTTTACGTTGTAATGACCGTTCATTGTACGTTTCATTGAGTGGGTTGCCTTTGCTGCAATTTATTCATTTAATTTAATTAATAAAAAAGTCCATTGAGTTTCTTGCATTGATAAAATTCATGCAACAATCGACCAGCTTAATAGCAGATTTTGGCTTAAACTGGGACGTACGTATATATAATGTAAAAAATATAGATAGTAAATGTTGATCAAAATGTTTGTCAGTTCAACACATATCATTTATCAAAAGTACATTTTGGACAAGTGACATTATAACGCCTCAAAACTATATTCTCTTTATAGATATTGAAATATAGTATTATACTTATAACAGAGATCTTGAGATATTATGTTTGAATATAAATGCTTCGAATCTTTGTTTCGCGATTTCAAGCAATACTGATTCCCTTGACCATTTGCACATTAAAATATTTATGTCTTATTGCGCAACAAAGTAGAAAATGATATTCAGATCCAATGAATTGACTAGAACATATTGTACATATCATTACCCGTATAGCGGCCCACTTCAGTTTCTGAGACTGGTGTATGTGTATGTTTTCTCTATACATTATTCGTTACATCATCTATTTTTTTCGTGGCAAAAATCAGATTTATTTTGCTTATTATATTCTAGCTTTAATACGTTATAAAGTGACAAATAGGTATGTTGTGTCCTTTATAAATTTAATTCAAAATTAAAGCATCACGCATCCAGATTCCTGCTAATTTTCATGAAAATGTTTTTAAAAAAATGTAATAAAAAGTAGAATATTGTTAAATGAACAAAGAAAATAACACCAAAACTTAGAGACTTAAAACTAACCAAAGTCGATGTATTATACAAACATGCTACGGTTGAACGAGCGAGTCGAGCGTTTTATTCTGACATAATTATTTTACCATTTGACCTAAAAGTCAACTGGACCCAGCGATCAAAACATTGGTTATCCGCTGACCAGCAAAGGTTTGCCCGTTGCACATACATGTATATGCTGTTGCTCAAAAGTTAACCAAAGACGACTTAAAGTGCGTTTTTTCCCATACATTCATCGTACTTCGAAAATTTCTTAATATACAAAAATCAGTATTTGTTCTGTCCTTGAAGATGTGAAATGTACGGTGGCACAGAGGTGACATGTGTTTGTTTATACTTATCTCGTGCACACGAGATACTTTATCGTGATCACGAGTTACTAAATCGTGTGCACGAAATAATAAAGTGGTGCGCACGAGATACTATGTCGTGGCACCGAGTTACTGTGTCGTGCGAACTGCGAACGAGATAACTCAGTCGTGTGCACGATATACTATGTCGTGGCCACGAGTTACTTAGTCGTGTGCACGATATACTATGTCGTGGGCTTCTTCTAGGAGAGGAATTTTATAAGTCACGTTGTCTTTCATTCTAATCCTGTTTTTTTAAGTATATTTGAATTGCTCTCTGTATATTGTAAATTGTAACATGTACAAATGTATATTTATTCTGAGAAATAAAATATGTTTAAACTAAGCCGTGGGCACTTGATACTAAATAAATAAAACACACACACACACGCACGCACGCACGTCACCTCTGTGCCAAGTTGCCAACGTAGAAATGCGTCGGGTATAATGTGCGAGATGTCACTTCACTAATAAAATTTATTTTTACCTCGACGCTATGTAGGAGCGATTTTACATTCCATAAAAAATAAATTAATGAAATATTAATTAAAGTTAAGAAAGAAAATACTAGAAGACCATCATTGTATAGGCTTTCCGCCGAAAAGTAAATAATGAAAGATTTTAGATTCTAATAATTAAAGCAAATTGTTAACTTGTAACGATTGTGATATTTTCTACTTTCTACAGATTCGATTGAAACACTATTAGTTTTATTCGATATAAATGATAATCTTAATGATAATTATAAAGGTAAATTTTTCCTTTTTAGTAAACATTGTGCTGTTTATAAGTGATTTAACATGCCTTTCATTACCGTGGATTCGAATCCCGTCAGGGTATTTGGATTATTGCATGTGAAGAAGTTATCCAGCTTATAGAACGTCGGTGGTTCTATTAAAGTGCCCGCTCGTGCCTGAAATAATGCACGAAGCGACGCCTAAGGTCTTCGCTGTAAAGTCGCCATATGACCTTTACAGTGCCGGTGTGTACAAGAGAAGAGGAAGAAGAAGAAGAAGAGAGAAGATAACAAAACAAGAGGGTCATGATGATCCAAGAGAGCTTACTTCACTTTATACATTATACCTCACTTTATAACATATGACGTTCATGACGTCGCAAAAAAAAACAAAGTGACAGTCATACTCTCCCGAGTTTTCTTTTGTTAGTGTAACAATAGCCAGATTTGATGGTGGTGGTGATGTAACACAGAAAGAACTGAGAGCCTGCTACTATCCGCACTTTCTTGTGATTTTTTCCCCTATTAATAACGACAATAAACAGGCATATAGACTTATGACGTGAAAGGAATTAGTGACTTTTCCTGTTTGAGTATTAATACAAGTAAATGATATGGTAACGTACAGTAAATTATTTATCAACTGAAAACGAGCATTCTTTAGCTTAGAAGAGCTATCTATGCATCAGACTGGAATTATTTATTTCACTTTTGTAGAAAGTTCCCAATGACCATTTCAGCTAAGTTTGGACAAAATCCATCTTGTGGTTTAAAAAATTGTGAATGATGGACACATTGCCTTTCTGAGTACTTTGTTCTGGGGTGTACTAAAATGTAGTTTTTTGGTTTGAACTTGAATTGATTTTTAGATCCCTGCTCCAAGTGCACGTGACACTCCTAGTTTGGTCAAAATCCATCTTGTGGTTTTAAGAAGTTGTGAATGATGATAGACGGCAGACAATGGACACATTGCCATCACAAATGCTCACTTTTGAGCACTTTGTGCTGGGGTGAACTAAAATGTAGTTTTTGTTTTGAACTTGAATTGAATTTTAGTCGAGTTGATTTTTAATTGAGTAATATGTTTTAGGGGCGTTCCTCAGACTGACTTCAAACCACTTGTCCCACAGCGCTGTGAATTCGAATCCCATCAGCGACTAAAGAGATTCTTTCATGTGCACGAGGAGCTAGCCTTCAGAACGTCGGTGGTTTTACTCAGGTGCTCGCTGTGCCTGAAATAATGCACGGTGGGACACCCGAGGTCTTCCTCCACCGGTAATGCTTGAAAGTCGCCATAATACCTTAACAGTGTTGGTGCGACGTAAAACCAAACCAAAACAATGTTTTTAAGATAAACTGAATTATTATTATTAGGTTTATTACTGAATGCTGTTTCTGTTACACTTTTGAACCAAAACATAATTATATTCACAGCCTGCCCAACGCGTCGGTAGTTATACTCAGTTACATGTTAGTTTTTTGCCTAGAAAGATGCCAAATTTTTTGTAAATACATGTAGCACAAATAATGATTTTCCACTGAAAAAAAAAATTACTGTCTGTTTTTTTTAGGTAATTTAATCTTTGCATATGAAGGGGAACAACTTTGTCAACAATAAATTGATTGATGATAAAATCAAATTTAACCCGTGTTTTGTTATAACATAATTACATGCCAATTATAAACACAATCACTGAAATCCTTCAAAAATTTTGCTTGAAAAAAAAAACTGTTAAAAAAAAGATGTACTTTGTTTGTTTCATTTTACGCCTCCCCCCCCCCAACAGTATTTCAGTCATATAGGCGGGTAGTTCCCTAACCATCGTTCCTGGAGAGTTACACCAGTACTAGACTACCTTCCTCCGTGCTAAACTACCAAAGAAAAGATGTACAGACGGACGGACAACTCCATACCATAATATGTACCAAAGTTTCTTTGGTTGTGTTAAAGTTACTATAACAAGCTTATAATAATCATTTACATACAACTACGAACTAAAAAGAACATTATGCAAGTTTCTTTCATTTATTGATTTTTTAAATATTAGTTACACATACAATCCATTATTAATTGCAGCATTACATATATCTTATACACGATTTTACAAAACTTTATATGAACAATTACATACAAGTACTTTTTTCAAAAGAATGTCAACAATCATTGCACTTAGGCAATGTTTTTAAAAACCAAAATATTCATGTGCAAATCTTTCTTAAGAAGATTTTAAAAATCAAGAAAAAATGGATAGCAGCTCTCTAACATATAAATTAATCTAACTCTGTTGATAATTTAAAGTCTGTTTTCCGCATTTATCTTTCTGATATAACTTTTTTTTCTTCCAGTGTTGCTATTTCCAGTGGTCATTTTTTTTTTAAATCTTAATATTACTTGTTAACACATACTGCTACTCTGTTGAAAAATACAATATAATTTCCAAATTATGTATTTTAAGGTTTTTTCCCTTTGATTTTACTGTTTGACTTTTTTCTAACCATCAGCAGTAACATTACATGAAAATATTGAATATGTATTTAATACATACAGCAATTGAAAAAGTCTTTGAAATAATAAATCCATTGTCTAAATTCTAGATAAAGCACGGGTTTCAATCCGTTTTTAAAGTACATATCTGCGAGATGTTTTTAACAAAACAAACAGTTCATTATGTTGTTTAAATATCCATACATAACTCACTCTATCACATTATTATTACATTTTCACAACAATAAACTTGTTACTTCTTCTGTTAACTACCTTCATCTGCCTGCAAATAGAAATTTTGCTTTTAACAATACATAGGATTTGGTTATAAACATTATCCTTCTCAGAAAAAAATTAAGTATATGCTATCATAAAGGAGACTATGGGTACCATATATATTTTTAATACCACACCTGGCCCCCAATATTAGCAGTTTACTAGTATTATAAATCCAAGGAATTTTTAACAAATTGTTAACACCTTCCACTTTATATAGTCCAGCAGAAAATTCCACAGAATTTGAAACAGTAAACAGCCTTTCTACTTTGACAATATTTAACTTTTTTTGTACTTTGTAAAGCCAACCTTGACATTTATTATAGAGATTATATGTTATATAACCTTTTGTGAAATATCCGTATTGTATGTATATGGCAAATTGGAAATAACTTTGTCAAAATACATGTATTGACATATGAATTTGGTATATACACCTGGAAATAAGTTAAGCACACCATGCATTTTGCCTCAATTTTGACATGACCACAACTGAAATTTTCAATTTTAGTTGGGCAATGGTAGAACCACCTGTAGTCAACTTGCAACAACTAGAACAAGCTTCTGCACCAAGAATGACAAAATTTTCCTCAAAATCATATTAGTCGTCTTACTGGTAGTATGAGAAGAAGGGTTGAGGCTATCATCATGGCATGTGGCAGTTACACACGTTAAATTAAAAATTTGGCTACATAATGTCATTTTAGGTTACGTTATCAACATTTACGAAAAATATCCACCAGTAAACGTTTTGTAAATGCCCCAACGCCATACTTGTAAGCACTTACATTTTTAGTAAAAAAAAACACACACACATTTGCTTATGCTTCAATAATTTGTTTAAGAATAAACTAAACACATAAATTTACTGGTTTATGATTACTAAATCGGTATCGCTACTTATCAAATTACTATTTCTTAGCTCAATCGTCATCTCATAACAATGCTTTCAATCACAACCAATTTTATATTTCCGGGTCGTGCTTAACTTATTTCCAGGAGTATATTTGTACATTCAGCAGCATAAAGATTCAATATTTCAATTTTCAAGATATTAATGTTCTAAAGATTGCAATATAATCTTGAATATTTCAATATTAAAACTTCAAATTAAGAATTACATCCCCTAATCAAGGATTCTCAGGAAACCAATGCGAAAACAACTTGGTATGAAAGGTGAATTTAATCAGTGACAAAATACTGAAGTAAGTTAAAGGATTTCAATATAAATTTGCACTCAAGGATTAATGTTTGTGAGAAAACAATTTGTCACCTTTCAAATACAGTATTAGTTACTGGAAGTATCAAAGCTGATGACTTACAACTTTTTCACTTAAATAATGGTTTTTAATTGAACAAACCATCCAGTCAACAGCTAAGCAACAGGAAAAATATCCTTAAAAAGCTCCCTCTTTTTGACTGTTTAAATTGCTTATTTTACTTTTATTAGCATTGTACTTTTAAAAACATAGACTGAATATCTTTATCATCAAAGTTGAAATGAAAACATTCTGTTGTATCTTTATCATCAAAGTTGAAATGAAAACATTCTGTTTGTATCGTTGAAATGAAAACATTCTGTTTGTATCAATGTCATATACTTACTTTAACTAATTTTCCATGAAGAATATATGGTGCTTGGAAGTCATGTTGACAATTTGAATAACCCATTCCTAAACCAAACCCTGAAAATAAGGTAATTGGCCATGCTTTCTCTGAAAACAAAACAAAAAAACAAAACAAATAACCATTTCATTTCTTTGTATTTTCATAAAACATGCCTTAAAATCTTGATAGAGGCCTGCAAGATAGTGACAGATATCAAATATCCAAAATCTAGGCCTTCCTGGCCTCAAAGTTCTTAATGGAATAGATTCTATGAATACCAATAATATTTAGTTAAATAATATTTTATTGCATATTTTGAACATGATTAATTTACACAATCTAACATCAATATCTTAAGCATGAATATAATGTACATACAAAAGGGTTGGACCAAAAGTTATACCAACATTATCTAGGGTCCTCCCCTGACCAATGATATGGTTCATCAAAAGAACATCCGTGCCAAGACAAGCTTTATGAACAAAAGCCAAGTATTAACAAAATAAATATTGTTTAATTAAGTTTAGTTATAAGATTTAAAATTTTACATTTTTAAAAGACATTAATCAGTGATGATGTGTAGTTATAATATTAAGACACAAACTTTTAAACTTTGTAAAGAAATCTCTTAATTGCAATGGGTATAAAACAGTCAACCAAATTTCTGAAACTCATAAAACAGTCAACCAAATTTCTGAAGAGTTTCATGTCTTGGCTGTCTAAAACAAATTACAGCAAAAATAGCAACCCATTCATTGATACACAGAAGTACTTACTTTTGAAAAACAGGACCGAAAATATAACACCAACACCAGCACCTGTCACTGAAAAAGAGAGAAAAATCACAATTATAGATTATATGATGATGATAATTCTAATTATTTTCATAATGAGACGACGATAATGAATGTTTACTCTTGATGAAGAAACAACTACTGTCTGATGACTGAATTACTGTGTAATAAATCTAAAATGTCCAAAAAACATGGACTTCAAATAATTATGTCAAGACAATTAACAGATATCTAATAATTTCACCAAAATCTTTGTCTAGAATAAAATACACCAGTTAAGGGCTTTATTATCTCATTGTATATGCAGCAAGCCTTTGTTATGTATATAAGGTAGCTGTTAGCAACTAAAGAGAGCACTTCTGGCTAGAAGAAGCTTTAGGAAGAAGTTAAATAAAGACAAGGATGAGGAATCTTGATTTTTATGACTGAAGTTTAAATTCAGAAAGTTTTGCAGTTTATTCTTGCATCTCATAAACCTTTTGTTCATGGGAAGGAAGGAATTAACTTTTTGTGCAATGACCGCAACACTTTGAAGTCTAAATTATTATAAGTCACTACTGGGTGCATGAAATATGCCATCTTCACAGTAGCTAACAGAAATCACTGCACCCTGTCTCGCAAACATAGAGAAGTCAAAGTGTACCCTTTTTGTGATTAAAAACATGTGTTACTTCCTACCACTGTACCTTTCTTGGGCTGTATGTTTTAACTTGAATCTTTCTTGCAATAACAGGAAGAAGATCTTAGTATCTGGAAACACATCTTCGTATGATCTCAAAAAATGTTACAAGATGAATTGGATAAGCAGTGATTTTCCTGCTTATATAAAAGATTCCAATAAAAGGCCTCTTCCCAACTGAAATTTTCTTATACAATCATGCAGTTTTCCCAAAAAATCTGAACTTAAACCTGCTTTTTACTTTCCAAATTAGCAATTTTAGCAATAATTTTCCAAAAATCAAGTGGCTAAGGCCTCTTCCCAATTGAGTGAGAAAAATCAATGATAAGCTTGCAATATATGATACAGTGATCTGAGGATTAAGGTGCTTGCAATCACAATAACTAATACACATTGAATTTCAGAGGCTTGAAGTAAAATCATACAGTGATTCAGTTTCTACACAGAAATTTTACTGTTGGGGAACACAAGAAAGTATGCTTCAGATGTTGTATGAAAATATTGTCCTTTCCATGCATAAACAAAATATTCACATTCTTTACTACATGTATCTTTCATAACAACATCCTAATGTATGAATTAACAAGAGCTGTGGGTAGTACAGCACGCTGGACTATTCTCAATAGTAAAACAGAAGCCTGGATAATCATAAATGATAATGTATAAATTACTAAGTTTAAAAGAGCCATAATGCTGTCAAAATCCATGTTAAGAGTTATGGGCCTTGGGTAGTGACCTCCTAAATGGCTCCTATTGTGCTCTCAAATAAGTGTGTAAAGTTTCAATCCATTTCCTTTAACAGTTTTTGAGATACCAACATGCATACATACAAAAACTTCACCAACATGTGATGTGACGCCTGTGTGAGTAAAATAGATCCTCCTATTCTTAGTACAGTCAACCTGTAACAAATTTATACCTATGCAGTATGGGCCTAGGGCCTACTACATTTTCACACCCTACTCCATAGCAAAACTCCATAATCCACATTGATTTATGGTTATGACACCCAGGAAACAGTCAACTAGCACAGTGATGTTTTTCAGGGCCATTCCCCTCCCAAAAAGTATATATTTTCCACCGATTTCTGAAGAAAAAAACCTTTTAGAGTAACTTAGGGCTAGAGGATTATAGTTTAGGCTTTTAAAACATTGATTTTGCTGCAGACATATTCTAAAAATGCTCCAGGAGTTTTTTCTATTGTATATTATTGCTTCAGAAAAAAGACAAAGGACGGGGTACATCAAAGACAATTAGGTACGAAAAGGGTTAAGTACAAATCAACCGGTAAATGACTTCGAGTGGTTTGTTTGTAAAAACAACTAAATACTTAATTTTGACATTTCATTGCATATAACAAATATATTATTTTCTACTTTATAAAACCATACCAAACTTAATTGATGTATCGGCTAAGCAGCGGTCCCACTTTTGTCCTAAGACATCTTCTGACCTCACTTCTTTGGTCGCCATTTTTATGATGCTTCCGAATAAAATTTGTATGCATCGTTGTCAGCTACTTTAAAGTCAGTGGATGGATGACTATAACTTATAACTATGAAATTTAAGATTATTCCCTCTCATATATCTTATGAAGACCGTTCAGATAAGATTTGTTTGTTTTGAATTTAATGTGTAGTCTAGCTGCAGGCTAAGGGACATAACTGATGTTCTAGTGATATCACTATAAATATATACAGTAAGGTTTTCAATGATGAAAAAAGAGAGACACTGTAAGTGTTATAAGAATTTGCACAAGTACTATCAGAATAACATTAGTCTCGAACTTGATCCCTTAAATGTTTCTGTGACATGCTAAGGTATGGAAATCTGTACTGCAGTACCCTTTCTTAAGTTCAATGTTTTTAAAAGTAATGCATTATAATCCGTACTTACTGTCATATGCAAAGGCATGAAAATCATAAAGTATCCCACTTACAAGTAGTGTATGCAGTTATGCACACTTGTACTGTCTGCTGAAATCAAATATATCAGTATTCAGGAATACCATAACTGATATATATGACAGCAATGTTGGGGCCTTCAGCCAATATACATTTAGCAGACAAGAGGTAGAACTCTGAAAATGTTAACTGTCTTTACTCTGGAAATGTTAACTGTCTATACATACATGTGTGGTAAATATAGCTCTAATAAGTAACAGTTCTGCCAACACCAGATTCACATGTTTACTTTTTCACTACTGTATAATAATGGATAAAACATTTTGTATAATCATATTTTATATAATAATTATTATTTATTTTCTTCCTGTCTACCAGACATCATGCTTTCTTATCATCAGAACTTGATGAAGTAATATATAAGCATTTTTTAAAGTTAGATGCAGACTTTTGATTTTTCAGAAAACAGAACAGAATGAACACAGGCCAGTGAAAATCCAGAGATTAAAGATTGTACCCTGTTTAAAATTTTTAGTTGAAAAAAGGTGCAACCAGCGCATACAAAGATCAGCTAGTATATTCATACTGTCTGATTAGCTATACAGTGTTCACTAGTGAGTACAAACATGTATTTTTGAAAAATATCCTAAAAATGATAAATGTTTTTGACCAGAGTGAAAGATGAGTAGTGTGATAAGTCCATGTCAGACAGCAAGATAAATGCCAAGCCAAACAAAAGAAGTCTGTCAAATCAAATTTCATCTTTTATTTCTTTTTTTTGCAAAGTAAATACAATACTTCATTGATGAAAATGGTGTAGACAAATTGTGAACATTTGTAATAAAATATAGCAAACCGAGGGTTCATAGCAACACTGTCATTGTCTTTTCTTTAATCTTTCCTCGAAAGCTGCACCATTCAGGCCATTTAACAAATTAACAAATCAAATTTAAGAAAAATGTATTGCATCTTCAAGAAATATTACCTATCTACATTATATGCTGGAGTTTATAAGCAAAATATTACATAATTTACTATACATGTATATATCACTATATAACTAACAGAGAAAACCCAAATTTTGATATGTTAAAGTTATTTCTGTAAACAGCATTTGGAAAAGTTTTGTCACTTTATTTGTAAACTTATCTACACTTTGAACTACATATTGGAAAAACAAATTTCCTTGAAAAAAATAATTAAAATATTAAGGAGAGTTGCTCTTAATTCTTCTAGTTAAAACATTATTGGATTCTTTCAAATAGTGACTTCTGAATACATGTACACTCAATAATTACAAATTCTTAAAACAAGTTGCCAACAAAAAATCCAAAAACATCTTGGTATAAGTGTAGTATAGAAGAAATAATATTTCATATAACACTCTTCAAAAATGAAAGAAATACTTGTAGATTATACTAAATATAAAATTCATTTGTGACATCATTTGTTAAATAAACATATCCCGCTTTGATGAAAAGGCTTAAACTATATAGTCAAAGGTGAGCAGGTTACCTTTCCTCTATTCTGGTGCAATACTGATGTAAGAATAGCTTTTAACCCATAACCTGCCATATCTTTTTAAACAGCCTTGTCCAGCTTCCATTTTTGGAAGTGTCCATTATCAATTTTAGGGATATCAAGGTGAAAGTTCTTGACCATACTACATGTACATGGTAGTGCAGGCTGGCCTGGCTCTATACTGGTGGCAAATGCTAATCACTTCAAATTTCCAAAATGATGTGTGTTCATTGTCAGAACAAATTCAGAATATTATCCAGATTTAGCAAGACGGGGGAAAATGTTGCAAATCAATTTTGCACATAACATGTACAGATTTCATTGACACTGTGCTGTATCAAAAGTATTTAACTTTTGCCTTGCCGTGCTTCTTAACAATATAAAAGCTGTTTTTATAACTATGATGAATTTGTTGATATTGGATTTATATGCTCGCTATCACTACCAATGTCTTATAGACACCAAGTTAGGTGTTTTATCTTAAATAGATGTGTAAACAAAATATATCAAGCTTAAGCAGAATTTGAACACAATAATTTACTTCAAAGTCAGACATACAAAGTATTACGCCATTGCAAATTTAGTACATTTGTACTTAGTCTTACTTTACACCTGAGTTGCCTATATTTGTATATTCCTTAAAATCTATTTATTTTTAGTAACAATAACTATGTAAACATAGAATAAAAGCCATATTTCCTAACAATGCTGATATAAATTATCATAAACAACATTAAAAACCAAATTTTGTGAACATTTGAGTTTGATATGTTTATAAATACTGCTGAGAATTTTTGCATAGTTTTCGACTTGCATGATTAAAAGTACGAAGAAGTATTTTCAAGTGTTAAAAAAAAGTTATTTCTGTTGGGTTTTTATCTTGATTATTAACCATTACCAAGTTCAAAATTTATTGAAAATTAAAACCCAATTTAGTTGAATTATTGCCTTTACTGTGCACTGTTCATATTTAACGTTTCCAAGACTTGCAGTTACTGTATTTCTACAATGTTTCTACACAGTAGCAAGAGAATTTGAAATAAAGAAAGAGAAAAAAAAACAACTAAATTTTAAAAAGTTCATTTGATATTTTTTCTGAATAGTTTTGTATTTAAAAAAATTTGCACATACCATTCCATTACAACTGACTATGTTATAACCAAGTTTTGATAATAATAATATAAGATGAAATGAGAAAGCAAGCCACATTGTATAAGCTGAACATAGAGTAGAGAACAATTACCATGAAGAAAATAGAGTGTCGGTTTTTGTTCTCTTACATCAGGAAAACAAACATTTTCCAAATCCTAAACAGTTGCCATTTTTTCCCTAAACTGTTATAAGAATTCACAATTTACCCAGTCAGAATTCAAAATTTGGCTGTTAGAGGAATTAATTTCATTCCTAACAGGGTGGACTCAGACCTGTTGACATAAGGGTGAAAGACATTGCTTTTCACAAATTATTCATTTTTCCTTAACTAATTCTAGTATGTATATAAAAATCAGCTGTTTATAGGCTCCATTCCTTTTGTTTTGACAATGTTTTAGATTTTTTTCCCAGAAAATGTTGTACATGTGCCATTCATGTATTGTATTTTATACTTTAAAAGGAATGCCAGATACATGTGCATTACATTTAAGGTTTAGAATTAAAATTTAAATGATTTCGCGATGAGCTGAATGGATGCTTTTTCTTCATCCCCATTAGTATTAGTAAGAGCTTCTAAAACGTCATGGCGATTATATCCCTTGTCCACAAGTCTTCGTATCACAGGTTCTGAAAATGTGACAGGAGCTCCACTTGCTCCGCCCCCTTGAGCCATAACATTTCCTGAATTAGTTGACTGAGAAATATTTGCACCATTTGAAGAAGCCCCACCACTTGAAGTAGATTGTCCATTGTTCTGTGGTGAGGATGCTGTAAATAATTTATGTGAATCACTTTTGCTTGATGTGCTTGTGTTTGAACCTCCTGAAATAAAAATAAGAGAGAAATTCACAAAATGACCATCTCCCTTAACACTAGAGTATACATTTTCACAAAATGACCATCTCCCTTTAAACTAGAGTAAACATTTTCACAAAATGACCATCTCCCTTTAAACTAGAGTATACATTTTCACAAAATAACTAGCTCCCTTTAAACTAGAGTAAACATTTTCACAAAATGACCAGCTCCCTTTAAACTAGAGTTTACATTAAGTTATAACCTTGGACCATGTAACACTGAACATAAATATACACATAACAAATTAAGGCAGAAAGATTACTTTCAACTAAAATATCAGCCTTAAAACTGTAGGTACCAAAGTGATTAACCTTCACCATCAGTATAGAGCCAGACCAGCCTGCACTTCTGTGCAGTCGGACCAGGCTTTACAATAGTGGGTCAATTTGGGTGACAAACTTTAAATTTTTGATCTTGATACTGCCAAAGTAGATAATTGACAAATTTTTAAAAATAGAAGCCAGACAGGTTTATCTAAAAAATTTAGCAAGTTCATTAAAGGTTTATAAAAAAAAACAACAACAGAAATGCAACATAAGGTACCATGTTTACGATCTTTAAATCATTTGCCAATCCCCTCTTTAATGTTTTTATTTAAGACTTGCACAACTGAACAATGATCGCCACACTATTAAGATTTATTAATTTTTGCATTTGAAAATAGTACATGTAACAACATCTATGAATGGCAAATCCAGTTAAGTGATGGTTGTAAACCTGTTAGCAAAAACATCAACACTTAAAAATTGCAAAATTTATGATTAACCTCCCTTATTCATGTAGTTAACAAAATGAACATCTGCTGTAAAGGCCTTAAACACATAGTCTCAAACTAATACCGAACTTGAAATCAGAACATTAACTTGCCATTGCTTTTACATGGTTTATTAGTGAAGGACACAAACAGTACGAGGCCAAATCAATTTCTATTTGGTGTCTGAAACTTACAAGAGGGAGTATGTACAAGGTATATGAATACATGTTAGTAATACCCCACAAGAGTGTCTATTAAATATATTTAAAAGAGCCTGGTTTTAAATGTAGGAATTGCTGATTATTTTTTGTTTAGTTTTTAAGTAACACAAATACTGTTAAAGCCATATGGCAACTTTCTAGTTTTACTGATGGAGGGAGACCTCAGATGCCCTATTGTACATCATTTCAGACACAAGTGGGTGTCAAATAGAACGACCTGCTTTTCAATAGTAGCACAATATGAAGGAACCTATAGTATGCTGAAATTTGGTGCAGTTGTCCTTAAATAATCATGCTTGAACACATTTATAAAATAGAGTATTTAATTCAACAAAGAGTGTTAGATTGAAACATGTAAGGTGCGGTTTAGAGGAATAAAATGTTAATTAAAATTATTAAGTGATTTTAAATATTCCATCATAACTAAATTAGTTTAATTCCCCCATAACTAAATTACCATAATATAATTCATAAATTGAGTGATTGAAAGTATTTCCTCATAACTGTATTAGTAATTGCAACTTTTCCCTCATGTGATTGTAAATATTTTCTCATAACTTAATTATATGATTTCATTAATTTCCCCATAACTAAATTAAGTGATTGCAAATATTCCCCCATAACTAAATTAGTTACGGAAGGTAACAACAAACGTGAACTAAAACAGGACAAAGGAAAAAACACAATACCTATAAATATAACAAAACAGCACTGAAACAACTATTTACTTTCTGTTCATAGCTGAAAGAATTAAAGTAGTTTTTTTTAAGTTGCAACTATTTAACAATCTACTTCATTCTTTTAAATAGAAGTCCCACAAAAATTCTCACAAGATTTTGCTACAAATGAAGTAAGATTTCTACCTGTATACAGGATTTCACCCCCCCCATCCACCCGACCCCCAAAAAACCCAAAACAAAACAAAAAACATTTTAGTTCAGCCGGTACATATATATAATGTACTACACCCTTATTTCAACATTTACTTCAAATTAAAATTACAAAACAAACCATGCAGGCAAGCATTTTTGTAGCATACAGTATCTATTGGCATTATAATACTTTTTTTTCCCAGAATATTTCTATATTTTTCTTTATCATTAAACAGCCTACTGTATTAAACAAACACCAATGATTTTTCTCATTATTATACATGTATACAACTCATGCTTAGATACAAGATCATATTACTGATTGTCCACATTTATGTGTGTATTCTATGATAAAATCATTGAATAGAAGCTTTGATAAGCTTTGGTATTAATTTTCTAATTTGCGAACATTTTATGAAAGTTTGCTTATTGAACGTTATAAGTCACAGTAACACTGTAAAGGTAATATCATTACTGGTTGAGAAAGTCTTTGGGTGCCTCTTCAAGCATTAATTCAGACAGAAGCAGCTACCTGAGTAGAACCACCGATGTTCCATAAGCTAGATAGATACCTATCTCACAATGAGGGAATCTAGTCTTTGACAGGGTTTGAACCCAAGTTGTAAAGGGCAAGTAAAGTTTAAAACCACTCTGTCATGAATTCCCCTTTTTTTACTTATACTTAAGACCATGCTCTCTCTCTCTCTATATATATATATATATATTGTTAGCTAACCAAATTTAAATTTTCATCATCATATCCCTAAAATTGAAAATGGACAGTTCCAAAAACACAAGTTGGACAAGTCCACTACACAAACTTGGGGTTATCACTATAGAAATGTAAGCATACCAGCAGCTTCCTCTGCAGATTTCTGTAATGCCGCCGCCAACTGCTGGTCTTCATCCGGTTCCTGAGCTTGATTGTTGATCCGAGCATGAGCCGGAAGCTGGTTCTCCGGTAAAAATGGAGTCCTGGTTCCCGTAGTACCAATAAGCAGTTCATTTTTTTGTAAGTCTATAACACACTGTGGGAAGAAAGAAGTACTTTAAAGTGTCACTCTTATAAAATGCTTCCTCCTTTGAAATTTGAAATTAAAACCACAGCAGTTCAATATCAAGGAGGACCTACAGTGCCTCTCATTCAATGCAGACAGAAAAAGGCACCTATTTCTTATTATCAACCTTTCATAAGACAGCTGTTTGGCTCTCTACAATAACAAGATTGCTTTTTTTCCAGAAAATAAAAATTACTAGAAAGGTACATCAGTTGAAAGATAACCACATAATAACACTATGCACATTCCTAAATTTTATACATAAAACTAGCATTACTAAAATTGCTTATTACTGATTACATTGGAAATTTTACTACATTTTACATACCTGGTGTCTTTTTAACATATCTAAACCTAACAGCATGTCCATTGGTTGGTTTTCTAAGATGGAGAATGAGGATTGTAGAAAATCATTGCCTATTTGAATTTGACCTGAAATTTATAGGACTCTTTTATAAATAAGAGACAATCATAATGTTTAACTTTTAAAATATCTTATAGAGGTTGATATAAGATCAGAATAACAAATTAAGTGAAAAATAGTTATTATATATGAAGTATACAATATACTGCCTTTATACAAAGTCTTAGACCTTTTGTAGAGTGTTTCATCACAATAACGCATGCTACTTAATTGGTGGAAGAAGACCTATTGCGCCTTTATTATCTTTTAATTGGCACAAGTGGACACCTGAACATAATGATCTAGAGAAGTCTAGCTTGATAGCTTCCTAATTTCATCAACCAATGAAGTTTTGTATCCAAAAACTGGTGAATGTTAGCTGTTGTCATCTGTCTGTCATGAAGCCCCTACATGTTGAGATAACTTTCCTTAGTCTCTACATGTTGAGCTTACATAACTAAATGTGAGTAGTGTTAATCATTAACATGTACAACTAAACCACACCATTCTTTGTATTATTACAAGTTCAAAACAAGACAAAACAAACACAGCCTCAAATACAATGACAATTGATAAGATAATTGATAATGTAAATGAAAGTTACCTAAATGAACCCTGCCTATAATGTTTTGTGTGCCAACACCTTTAGCGATACCTGCCCATCGTGTGTCTACTAGTCTCATTATACTACACCTTTCTGCACATGCCTGGCTCATTATTGTCATCTGTGCCCCTGTTAATATGAATTCATATAGATAATATAATATAACGTTTTTGAATTTCAGTAGGTAGAAAACTTTTATCTTTTTTAATCTAAACCATGTAAGATTGACTGAGACTTTGCATCATACAAAGTAATTCAAAATCTGAAAATATTTGTTACTAAGCCAAGAAAGATGATAAGAGACATTCAAAGATTATTTGGAAATTTTGATCAACAAGATATTATAAGAATATTTTTTTCTTTTTCACAAAAAGTAAAAGTTAATTTAGCTTTATTTTAATCAAAGCAAGCATACTTTAAATAACATATCTTTTATTAACAAACATATCTTAAAAAGCAATGCAGCCCAGTCAGTACAAGCTGTTTTGCCATTGGTTAATTTACAACAATAGAAATTTGGATTAACCAATCAAACACTTGTTTTTTAGACTGGTTCAAAAGTTCACAAATAATTAAGTTAAGAAGAAACAACAAAAAAAAAACATCAATTTTTCTGAAGAAGACTTAACGTTGAAAGCTAAAGAAAAGCATTTGTTTTCATTGAACTGATTATACAAATAATTAGGTTAACATACCAGAATCAACAAAAGCTTTGACTGGATGTCCATTAACAAGACAATCAACATATAACATGATCACCTGACCAAAACTTTCAGGTACAAACTCTATAGCTGACTCCATGTTACTCTCAACATTCTTCAACCTACAGAGATAAGGTTTATATTCTATATTATAATTTATATCCTACACATGTATGCCATTAATCAATTTCTAATTATAACAGAGCATTATGTTTTTGTAAAGACTGAGTCCTGACTTGAGTATGAACAAAGATTAAAATTTGCCCACATCTAAACAATTGCTGTATATGACATGTTCAATCAAGGCAAGTTTAATCTTGACATGTAAAAGAAGTATATCAAATACTTTGGAACTGGAGTTATGCAGCAATAAATTTTATTTCGAGATTCTGTCGTATTTAACATGGATATTGTAAAGGTCATATGGCAACTTTCAAGCTTTAGTAGTGGAGGAAGAGCTGTGCCATTTCGTGCATTATTTCAGACACAAGCAAGCACCCAAGTAGAAACACTTACCTATAAAGCTAGCTTGAAAGCATCATCACATAAGCAGTAAAGGGCAAGCAATTTTAGGTCAGCAACCTTTACAATTTTGCCTCGGAGGCCCCTTTTATTTCAAGAGATCTAAGAGAAAATACCACATTCCATTTTACTGCAGTTTGAATAGAAATTATTGATCAGATTAAGATAACAAATGCAGATATAATTTAAAGAAATTTAAGTTCTAAGCAAACAACAATATACATGTAAACAACAGTTCACACACAAATTGTGACAATGTACCTAATCTCTTCAGCTATAAGTTTTTGAGCTTCTGAAGAAAATGGATCCATCTGTAACAACCTGTTCCTTTCCCTCTCTTTCTCTAGTCGCTGGTCCCTCTGTTTTCTATACACTTCAACAAACTTTCCTACACAAGACAAAAAAGGGAATTAAAACATCATGTACATAAATTTGTTATGGATCTACATTGTACCTAATTCAAGCAGCAACAGACATACATGTGAATGCAATCAAAATCATCAGCACTTAATGAATAGAAGTGTGTTTATAGTATGAATAATTACACAATTCCTCTTTCAGACACTTGAAATTACTAACATTCACTTTACTAATTAATCACTCAGACTCATAAAGCCTTTATAGTTTTACTGCATGTGGTAATTTCATTCTATGAAAAATAGTACAATTATACATATGATTGAAATTGAAATCTTTCAGGTAAACTCTTCACATTAAAATTTTACTATTATGGAAAGAGCTTTACCAGTATCGCCACTTTCTAAGGCATCTGAAAGAGGTGGATTCCTTTCTTTCAGAAGTGCTCTTTCATGTGGATTGTTCTTTATAAGTTCAAGTATAACCAAGGGATCTTCAAGGTCTGGTTTCGGAGGTGGTCTGGAGGAGCCAGGCAACTGGATACTGCCAAAATCAAGTTGAGGAATGCCACCAGCTAAAAAATATATATAACATTTAAAAAAGTTACATATTAAGATCTATGCAAATGAAACATAACCTTAGGTTAATTGATAGAGGTCAGAATATGAATTATCTCAATCATGTTTTTTTTTTTTAAATACTAACATTTAATGGGCTTTTTTTCCTTCTAAAACAGGGTCCAATATAAGGCCCTTCACGATTCAAAATGGCACTTTTTTTCCACAAAGCGGCAGAATTTTTTTTCACAATTTCAAAAGAGATTTCACAAAATATTGGGACTTTGTCTTCGAAATACATTGTTTACCTTCCGGTAAAACTTGATTTACGCCATTTGCAATAACACAGAAATAGTATTAATCAAGTCAAATGTTTTTTGGGCATGTTAACTTGGTTAAATTACCGACATGAAGCAGATTTTACACAGGTCAGAAATTATAGTCAACCATTTCCAGTTTCAAAATGTCGCGAAAGGCAAAGTAATATGTCTTTTTTTCCCACAATTTTATGACATATCACGCTTTTCTTTTCAAAAAAAATGAACAGGCCCTGCCTGTAAGAATTAAAAATATATAATTAGTTACTTCTCAATGTACACAAAGCCAGATAGTCACACTATAAAGTTACTCCCAAATCCTGGCGTTACCAGGAAGTTGAAATTTAAAAGAGTGCTACAAGCTAAAGTTTAATTTATAACATCTGCATGTATTAAAAGATCTGATCTCTTCATCTCAAATCGTTTTGATTACTTTTTCCTTCGTCACAATTCTATGAAAAAACAGTCTCCATCATCCATATTCAAGTAACTTCCCTGTAATTTTAGCATGTAGCTTTCTGCTTAGTTAAGTGTAGAGCTGCCCTAGAAATTGACAGTCCATGCATTACATTACATAAACTTTACTTTCCAATCATCTAACTGAACTTCCATCCAGTCTGTTTAAATGGCAAATACACAATACAAAAGAGCTGTCACCCAAGTGACGAATGCCCCCGAAAAGGTTTCTTAAGCATGCAGGTATTATGAAAAGAAAAGAGAATGGAAGTAACTAATTGTTGAATTAGCATGAACCTTCAAAATATAAGTGTGACTTTGACCTTTGAAGAAGGGACATGGTTCCTGGATGCGACAAAATGTTATTATGAGATAGACATGTGTGCCAAATAATTTCAAAATCCCTCAATGCATGACAAAGTTACAGTCTGGACATGATTGTTGTGTAAGTGGGGACACAAGGACAGACAGACATGAGCCTTAGCCCCGATACATTGTCTTGATGTGGTAGACATTTGTACCAAGTTATTTTAAAATCCTTCCATGGATGACAAAGTTACAGTCCGGACATGAATGTGTATCTTCAAACTCTTCTCAAGAGAATGAGTACCTATAAAACTATAAATGTGACCTTGACCTTGAAGGTAGGGACATGGGTTCGCGACACATCGTCTTGGTAGACATTAATTTTATGCCTAGTTATTTTAAAATCCTTCCATGTTTGACAAAGTTACAACCTGGACACAAATGTGTGTACCTAGACTCTAATTGTGATAAAGTGATACTTCAAAATGATAGTGTGACCTTGACCTTTGAGGTAGTGACGTAGTTACGCATGACAAAGTTACAGTTCTGACACAAATTAAGTAGGGATGGACAGACAGATGAACGAGGTAGGGATGTAATTCTTGGACGCGAGACATCATCTTGATGTGGTAGACATTTGTGCCAAGTTATTTAAATTACTCAAACAACAATGTTACAAACCGGACAGGAATCAAGTTACTCTAATTGCAATAATGTGAAACTTCAAAATGATAGTGTGACCTTGACCTTTGAGGTAGAGACGTAATTCTTGGACGCGACATATCATCTAAATGTGGTAGACATTTATGTCTAGTTATTTTAAAATCATTCAATGCATGACAAAGTTACAGTCCGGACACAAATTAAGTAGGGATGCACAGACGGACGGACAGACGAACGAGGCAGGGATGTAATTCTTGGACCTGACACATTGCCTTGATGTGGTAGACATTTGTACCAAGTTATCTAAATTCCTCCTTGTATGACAAAGTTACAGTCCGGACATGAATTAACCTTTTACCCCATGAGCATATTGTGAAAAATGGTCGTTTTCATTGAAAAGCCTGATGTTACAAGTTCAAACTACTATGAAACTATGAAAAATGCTTCAATACTGATGAAACTTGTCACAAATGTTGACTGGACCATAACGTCTGTAGTAGCCTCAAAACATTTCTATATAAGGGAAAAGGTTAAGTTACTCTCATTGCAATATTTAAATGTGAAACTTCAAAATGATAGTGTGACCTTGACCTTTGAGGAAGGGACGTAATTCTTGAATGCGACACATCGTCTTGATGTGGTAAACATTTGTGCCAAGTTATTTCAAAATCCCTCCATGTATGACAATGTTACTGTCCGGACACAAATTAAGACGGACAGACGGTGCTATTATATTATACACATTTATGCCAAGTTATTTTAAAATCATTCAGACTGATAGGGGCCGAAAACTGCTAGGAAACCAGTATATGAATGGCTAATTCTGTATCTATAGTACATTGTATCTTCTCACTTTCCCTTTGTTGTTAAGAAAGCACAGGGCATCAGCAGAAGACTGCACAAAAAGATAACACGTACTGCGGACCAGCTGCCAGTGTTCTAACTAATGCCTCAGGGGAGAGGCCCTTTCATGTAGGCAGAGACAGCAAGGATAGTGTACTAGGGTGAATGAGTCTCTAGCACAGATAGGCAGCTTGTAAGGTAGGCCAACTGCTTTGCACCAACATCCCTTTTAAAGGCTACCTCCTTTCATTATTGTCTCTGGTTACTGTATATTTAGGTTCTCAATGACCACCGTACAGTTACCTGCTTGTGGCTCAAACTTCATATCTTTGCCTTATACTCCAGGGAATTTACTTGAGGTAAATTGTTACCACATTGTCCATCAAAATTAACTCTTTTAAGGGCATGTCCGGAGTCTGTACTCAACACTTTAAGTTGCTTTTTGTGCACTACATGGGCATATAGACACTCATTATGCATAGACTACATACATATATATATATATATATTTGTAGTATATTACTGCATAGATGATAGAATATAGACGGTGATAAACAAAGGGGTTGCCGTCTTTGAAACAAGAGGACAAATGTATTACCCATTCCACTTCCAGCTGCTTGTGGAGGAGACTGTTGTTGTTGGCTCCTAATATGCTGTAGCAAAAGCATATCACCATTCTTTATACCGTATGCCTTAAGGGTCTTCTTTTCGTCGGCAAGCGGACGGCCCTCCCATGTTAAATTGATATTAGCAGACGGAACACCTAGTTCAAATTCACACTGGGCCTTTAAGTTTTCAATCTCCAAATCTTCACTAACTTCTACATTCATTATTCTATCATCTAACGTAGTTATTGTCAAATGCATCGTGTTTTTCTTACACTTATTATTAATTAAAGATTACAAAGAACGCAAATTCGGCGAAAGCGAAATTACAAATCACTACATCCGGTTTTGAATTTGCTAAGTTTCTTACGAATAGAATACTTACGACCATCATCCTAACGCCAAAAATGCCAAATAATTGTGAGATTATTTCCCAATCTAATAGAAGTATCTTTCCCACATACTAGTGAGGGGTCAAATACATTCAAATGTGTAAAACAATCATCATGTTAATATGCGTTTACAGGTCAATAGCTGATTGTATAAATAATCATTTTAGTCAAATACATTTATACAGTACAACAATAATAGAACTTTTATGCATAATAAGTAATTGTAGTTATCTTATTATTGTTTTGTTTATGTACATTTAATGTACTGATATTTTATGTAATTGTATGCCTGAGAAGGCCCATGATTGGTAATAAAACATTATTCTGTTCTATTCTATTCTATTCTATAACGCGTGTAGACCTACGTTTGTAAAATATGGCATTTTTTTGTAGCACAGATATACATGTATATTTAGCTCCATAATCAAATAGATTATTAAATTTCGTCACTGAAATAAAAGACGTAAATTTACAGAAAACGATAATTGATAAAAACATTTCGAAATAAAACGATTTCATGCTTTAGAAAAAAAATGGGAAAAGGTGATCTATATGTATACATGTATCTGTGTCCCTTAGAAGCATGAATTACAACAAAACTACGTGTATATGATAATTGCAGACTCGGTTTGATTGAGTCTGTACACACAGACACTTGGGGTTTGGAGCTCAAAACGCCTTTAAAATCCAAATAAAATGCATATTTGTCAATCCCAGCACATGTACTGATCATATATATCAAAAAACTTAATATAAGCCGTTTTGAAAAAAATTCATATTTCAACATCTATAATAATACAATATATATAATAATGTATTATTATAGATGTTCAAATATGAATATGCTATGCTATGCTATTTTATGTCATGTTATTTATCCTGATTAATCATATCAAAACTGTTATTTAAGTTTTAATTTTTCATAAATATATATATCAATGTATCAATGTAGAAATATCTTGGTGACTGATATACACTGATATATAATTAGGTACCCAGCTTAATTAAAGTAAGACAAATGAAATGTGTTACCTTTTAAAACCGTCGACTATTTATCTTCGTGATTTTGTTACTTTTAAAGACTCTTAATATAAATTTAGTTATTCAGACTCTATGCAGAGATCCAACTACACGTACCAAGAACGGAACGGCCGTGCCAGTAAGGCAAAAAACTACTTGACATGGCAACATTAACTGGACATTCAATGTCTGATATTCTAATATATTTTTTCTACAGAATGGTAATAGGTTAATAGAACGTACATCATGTGGTAAGAACTATCCACGATATATGAAATTCTTCTAATAACTTGCCATGTATTCATCTGCGCACGATAACCGTTACGAAGTTCGTGAAAAACGTGAGTTTTTTTCCGTTTCTGATACATTTAAGTTTTCTCAGCCCTTATAATATTCTACAAATGTAGAAAAATAGCACCTTAAAATGACTCGACAATAAGAAAAATATAAATGTATTTTTAAAAAAAAAATGATGCAAATTTTCAGGTGTTTGATTGCCATCGGAAAAAATATATCAATTATAATTACATTAAATTAAGCAAAACTACTTCAAATTCAGGCGTAACTTTAAATGAGACATTCGAAACTTCTCAAACTTCGGATAAGGGTTATGAATAAAAGCCGAAATGTTCCGATTGATTCATAATAATATCGATATATTCTATAAAATAGCCTAAATTTGAAATAAACCCTTAAGCGACCACAGAGTTCTATAAACATATCGCAGACTTAGTCTGATAACTTTTGTTTCTGCCGACCCGTGCAAAGATTCCTACCCCGTGATTCAGTATTCATAATTTTCAATAAGCATACCTCCACCTGGACATATTTCATGTATATTTACGCCTACTTGTTACGACCATATATGTATATATGTTTGATAGACCCTATTACGGACCAACAATCGATTGCACATAATAACCTAGGAAGACTAAAAGTCTTACCCAGTTATAAGTTATATAATAATATATGATATTTAGCTTGTTTTTTATGGTTATAAATCGCGTTTGAACACAATTTACACAGCTACATTGGAGGAAAGTTCTTAAAGAAACAGTGCTGTAACTTTTCCGCCAAATTAGTCCTTGTTATGAGATAAAAACAACCCTACAAAACATGTCAATCTTAAAAAATGAGCTAGATGGGCTTGTTGTGGATAAAGTACATACATTGTAGTTGTAAAGCTTTTGTTTTTAGTCAAGAACATCTTCAGTTTAAAAAAGTACATGTATGCCATGAGTCGTTTTAAATTTCAATTCATTAAATAAAACTTCAAATGTAATATAAATGATATTTAAGAGCGAAATGGGGCTTGTTGAGTTTAGTTCAGTGATACTTGCCTTCAAAAGCAATGTTTAGATGTTGCATGGGGAAAAAGTTATTCAATATACAAAACCATTTGCCTCCATTTTTGCCGCATTCAAAAAACAATTTACTAGCAATATCCGGGAAAGTGTACACTTCAACGCTAACGTCATAATCTTACGAAGTGACGTCATCATTAGACGTCGTGAATGCATTACAAATAAAAATGAGAGAAAAGGGACGCTTGTCATGTGCTAGGTGCTCGGCATCTTTCCCAAACGTTAGTATATTGAAGTGTGATAACACAATTCTTGGTGAGTATGCCTTTCTGCTTTGTATAGCTTTTCTAGAAAGATCAAAGTAGTACAAAAATAAATATAAATTAAAAAAAATTTAAAGGAAAAGTAACGAAAAGCACCTAACACTTTTTCTTTCTAAAATCAAAGTTGGTTAAAAGCTTGTTTTTGACAAAAGATATACAAAAAATGTATATAAAAATAGGAGCTGTATCGCGACCCGGCATGATTTTAAATGATGCACGCACTTGAATTTACAGCATCGACCAAAATTACGAAATATACTAGTACTGTACAACAAAAAAATCACAGTGCAGTACAGTAGGGTGAGTAAATTGCAAATACAATTATAGTGAAATGTAATGAATTAGATATATTTTAATTAGATCTTTTAAATAATAATCTAAATCACTTCCTGACTTTTCCCGGATTTTCGTCAAAGGACTTTATTAACGGTTCTGTAAAATAGCTATATATGCTTCGTAAGAAGGAAATTGAGCATGTGCTTACAGGTATTACGTTAACAATGTGCAAGACATGTCACAAGCGGTTCCATCCAACTTGTACCAGCCATATCTCGGCAACACGACCAGGCGATCGGATGTGTGACCGTTGTCTGCATTGCCAAGCGACACTGGTATGCCCACAATGCTCCGGTATGCTACATGAAGATTCTTTGTTTTCTTTTGTTTTTTTTATATATAAATACTACACGATCTTTCCGCCGACTTTCATTGGTCAATCATGAAGAATTATTAGATGCAAATTTACGAATTGATTTCTATTTTAATCAAAAAGACAATTGTGCAAATTAATGGTTATAAAGACATAAACGGTTATATGACTGTCTGTAAACCGATTTCAAAAGCCTTCTGCCCTTTTCAATTACATATACTGTACACTGTAAAAGAAATCAATAATATTTTAAGCAACTCAATAATAACATTACTATTTTTATATCTATTCCAGGTCAGTTTCAATGCGCACAATTCTGCGAACCTTGCAACATTCAGATACACGATGGCCTACGGGAATCCCACCTGGATCACGTGCGCACGATGCCGAGTTAAATATCGCAAAAAAGAAACATGTCCTTCGTCAGGGTAGGCAATAACTGGCGATAAGACACCTTATTCCTTTGCTGCACATTGTGCTTCTTGTTTAAAAAAGGCAGGATCCTTTTAACATTGTTGTTCATACTCGGCTGTTTGTATAATACATTAACACTTAACCTGTTATAACCGGAAGTGATTAACATATGTTACCAGTATAGAGTCTGGCCCCACATCAAACTTTAAATGGACTGTAGGCCAAATCAGCAAGTTTAGGGCTGAGATTGTAACAAGGCTTGAATTATTACCGCTTTCAGTAAAACCCTTTTTGACAGAGTGGAAGACACGTCTTTTGTCAATACTTTTTCTCAAAAATATTAAAGCGTTCGGACATTTTTATGATCAGGTTTTGTATTTTTATTGTTATCACTTACAAGTACAGTGAACACACATCATATATACATGTACAAGACCAACACTGGGCTAAGTTTAAATTGTTTTAATTGTGGGGTGGTCTATATAACTTACAAGACGAAAATAACATTCCTTTTCTAAAATACTGTTTTGTTTTAAACAGGTTTTTGTTTTGCTACTTTTTGTGTCAGGAAAAAAAGCTAAAAAATGTCAATCGTTTTATTGTGTTTTGTTTTCATAAGTACTTGTCAGAATATTAAATTGATCACTATTTTTGTATGCCTTATTTTGTGCTAGAAATTAAATTGACCAAAATTATAATTTTAGTAATACATGCAGTCATGAAAGCATAGAATACATGTATATATATACAAAACTTAACAAGAGAACTTTAAAGGCCGGACATTTACGTATACGTCAGCATGCAAGTTTGGTTGAAGAGACATAATATGCCCATCAAAGTGTAAATGGTGTGTGAACAGAGAAAAGTCAACATCATTTTACATTTTGTCATAACTGTGTTCAATTTTATATTCAACTATACAAAAATAATCAATTAAAATTTCTATTAATGTCATTCGGAATGTATCGGAAACAGAGCGTAGCCATAGCATAAGCATACATCATGACATCTTTCATGTTACGCAGCAAACCGTTTCACCATAAAAACACCCCTCTGGTCCAAGCAGTTCTTCTGGTTTGTTGCACGGCGTCTTGCAGACGCATGCGCGACAACATTGCTGCAGTTGGTAGCCACAAAGACCTTGACCTATATCTATATCGAAAGAATCACACTCTGGTTTGCATGCGCATAATTTACAACACATGTCTCTGTTTTCTCCACACGTGTTGTGGTCTAAAAAAGCTTCGTGCATTTCACACTCTTTCTTACACTGACATAGTCCGTATAAATGGTCACTTCCGCTAAATGATAAAGGAAGTTCGTTGTCTTTACATCCGGGCACTGGACGGAACAACGTTGATTGCGGTTGACAACATAGTTTGTGCTGAAAGTAAAAAGACAAAATGGTTATTTCTCAAATGAAATGAATAAGACAAAGCGACAATATTCATTTATTATATAACATGTTAAATATTGCGGATAGCGGGCCTGATGTTGTATACTCTGATTCTTATCTTGTTGCAAAAATTGCCTTTTGTTATTCAATATATGTATATTGTTATAGACATCATATTGTTTAAGATTCTTGCATTTATTTAATCTACAAGCACATGCTAAGAGAACTCTTGAAATTTGTAGTGCCACAATTACTATAGTGTTGCCGGTTTTATTTCTAGAGTTATCCATCGCTTTTATTAAGAGGAGTGGTATTAACGCACCCTAGCGTCGGCTTATGGGGAACTCAACATTTAATGTGGTACATGTAAAATAATGAATTTTGAAACATCCGCAGATGTTTTCATGTGGCGGTTATCATGGAAGCTTCAATGTGACACATTAATTAGTGCAATTCCATGAAAAACGGCATATGGTCCCCAAGTAAAAATACGTGTAGTGACACTGAATAAAATGGAATTTTGAAAGAATTTTAAACATAGAAATTTATTTTGTAATATGTGTATCAATTAATCAGAATACATTAAAATATGCTGGAGACTTAGTTCGAGTTGAGATAATTCTGCTTTTTTATGCATGTTTAAAATCTTATCATTGAAATCTAGATTCCGACATAGAAAAAAGATCTCTCAGAATCTAGTTTAGGACGTCAAAATATTTTGACTAGGAGAGACTATACCCATCCATGTATAAAGCTACTTTTTCCGAAAGACGTGAACATTTGAAGAAAATTAACTTCTCAGTTTGTCATAAAAAACATTAAAAAATAATAAAACAAAAGAAATATATAGTTAGGTAAAATATAAGTGTACCAAATTAATGGGAATTAAAGTACATCTTATCTTCATTTATATGACATTCCAAAGAAAAAGAAGGAAACATTTATGGCCTTCGTGGCCAATTCCTATGCATCCAAACTCCAAACCGGTATTAATTAGTCGATAAACAACGCTGAGACCGATACTATTTTGTTAAACATAGTTACATTGAATCCAGGTGTTTTAAATTACTTACTTTATCTCCACAACTCTTTTTTCTGGCTTTGATTTCTTTTTTATTACAAACGCCTCTTTGGCATTTACATTTTGGACAACACAGTGTTGTATTTTCTGGACAATGGTCTCTCTTGTCTATGTTGACTAGATGCCAGTTTTGTGACGTCACTGATTTATTTTCTGCTAGCGTTTCAAACTTCCCTTCGTCAGTCTCGTCTGCTTCACAAGAATGCTTGCATTTACAATATGGCTTGCAACAGCGAACTCCCCAGCCACCCGGAAGTGACGAAGAATAACAGCTTCCGGAATTTACACGATCCATCGGACATCGGAACGTATTACACGTGCACCTGCCTGGAATTATGTAAAGAATCCGTTTGCTTTCTATCAGTTTTAAAGTAAGTTACATAGAATTATGTCTTAAATATTAAACTAGTCAACGTTCCCGATGTTTTGGTTATTTGAACTTTAAAAATCGCATATATTAAACACTTTTAATTAATAGCATTTATTCCGTAACCAGTCAGTACTGGTTTCAGTAATGAGATGAATTGTTTCGTGATCTTTTTACGCAAAGTATCATCAACCTGAACAGTAGAAATGAAAGATGTAAGAAATAGATCATGATGTTACCATTCTGTTCCGATCCTATACAGCAAATGATGCCAAAAACACCAACAGTTAATATGAGAATATATCCGACAAAGTCCATGTTTGTTTTACAATATAGGATTTCGTAATTTAGTGTAAGATAAATAATTATGTGGTAGTAAATCAAGTTCTTCTCTAAGCTATCAATTTTAAGACTCATAAATTTAGCTTAAATGAATGATTTACAACTTTACCCTACCATGCCTTCATAACTATTTAGTATATATGAAATATGACACACAGTACATTTAAACATTTAGTTTAATCAAGAACATTATTTTACTGTATATGCAGTACACTCAATAAGACAGCATGCTATCAAGAAGAAGTGACATCAAATCTTATGTTCTGACAAATCAAATAGAACTACCTGAATACAAATTAAAATACCAACTTAATTTGAACCAGAGTCTTTCAAATTCTACTTGAAGACCTCGGTTGAACAAACTATTCCACGAAAGTGAAAAAATATCTCACTTTTTTAAACTAAAATAAGGTTTGAATTTTAAATACTTTTAGATTTTAGAGTAAGTGGTAACAGAATAAAATTGACAATACAACACACACGAGAGCAAAAGCAACTAACTCAATTAAACAATGAAACAGATCTATTGTTGATTATATCCTGCTTTTTTACATAAAGTTAAGAAAAGATTACTTTGCTTCATATAATAAATTTACATCAACAAACGATTGTGACCATAATAAATTAAACAAAAAACAAACAAACAAATTTTAGGAAAATGTTTATTTGTTTTATTTGCATTTCCCGATTCGGGCACTGAAAGTGTTTGACAGTTTTTAAATTTGAGAATTATAAGTTTTATCAAAATGGGGACTATATCAAAATTACATTGTGTTTTAAGCCGAAAATATTATATTTGAGCTTAATGTTATGATCACCATGAAACAATTATAAGATATAGTCTACTGAATTCTGATGTTAATATGTAACAGTTCGCTCAGTTTTACAATATCTGGTACATCATTATTACTAAGTCAAACATTTAAAAATAATTTAACGTATTTCTGGAAATCATTAGCGGTCAGGGACATTTATCAACTATCTAATGAATAGAATAGAATATATTTTATTTCCAATTATGGGCCTTTACAGGCCTAAAATCATATAATAATGATATTGTACAAGTATACAGAACTAAAAACATAACATAACTAAAGTTTAATTACGATTAACAAACACAATTGACAAAAGACTTTGTAACAATAAAAAACTAAGACATACATTTTTATTAAATGAATTAAATTGAATAAAGAAGATCATGTAAAAAACTTGTAAGCCAAATGATCCGCTATATAAATTCATCCAGATGTTACTTTTTTAGAAATTCTAGTATAGATGAAAAACATTTATGGACAAAAATCTGGAAATAAAGTGATCCCTCGGAAGCATTAATCACAACAAAATTGCATGAAAATAGCAGACTCGGTTTGATTGAGTCTATAAATGAGGAATAATGAATAAGTGCAACATATCCCTCACGCCCCCTAGCACCACCTTGAGCGGTACTCCATTCTCAACACTATATAGTACTGATATCAATGATTCCGAAAGACCAGAAAAATATAACAACACTTCAAAGTGAAGTACGGGGCATCAATAGTATAATTTTTCTCACTTAACATTATACATGTATACACAGACTGTTCTGACCTATATAGAGTTTTAAAGTTTGTTACCTTTCCAGACGAAGGTGCTTTCAAAATCATAAACATAAAGTGGTCCCCCGTTTCAATATCTTGCAATTTGTAGACAAAATTTATCAAAGTTATTTTATGTTTTACAATGTCATTCTTTCACTTCACAATCAAGTTAGAAAAATGACAAATTCAATTTGAATGTACCTTATTTATATGACAAGTTTATTTTATCGTCTCTGTATCTATTAATTATACTTTCGGTGACATTTTACAGCCATACAACGCGTATTAATATTATTCTTATGCAAAAATGGACGCAATGTAACGGCGGTTCAAACATTGTAATTAATAATTGCCAGCGCCACCGAATATTAGCGGTATAAGAAAACGAATTCTAGTTTGTAATTCTATTTAGTTTACACACAAATTTGAGGAAAATAGTTGCTTTACACAAATATTTTAGAAAAAAAGTATATACCTATATAAATACTATTAGAAGAGGACCCGTTTATCTTGTTACGTTAAACAAAGTTTTGATTCGCAAAATATGTTTTGCTGTATACTGTAAGAAAATGACTTTACGAGTACGTTTGATTTGGTTATAGTAGAAATACTACTGTTATCAGAATCACTCGCACTTCCTTTTCTTAAATAAAAAATTAAAAATGATGAAATAAAATTTTATTGCAATTAATTTTTGTTTTGTTATACTTCACCTTTTATATTTTTTTCTCTAAAATGCAATTCACATGATTGCATACACACAGACTTGGCGTAGAAAATGTGTTACTAGTATATTAATTGATTTATGCAAGAGGTCTTTTTTTTTACTGAAGTTGACATTACAAGAAAATCATGCTAATTTGATTGTTAAAACAGAGAAAAAACGGAATCCCTAAAACTTTTTTGATAGTTTATTAGATCTTAAATGATACCTCTAATGGTACCATTCTTTCAAAATTAAATTTTATCGTGTATATGTCGTTCCGAATAATATGATTTGACGAGTCATTCATATCATAACAAGATGCATATTATCATATTCATTGTAATCTATATTAATCTGTTACATGCATTACACCCAAATAATTTGACAGAAACACAAAATAGAGGAAAATAATGGAGAGACCCGAACGTGCAACGTTTTTAATTTAAGTTTTTAAGGGATTCCTATTTTTGCTATATTATTTCACTATACATTGAATATGTCTTACTGTTTAATAACAAACATAGATTTCTTCAAACATGAACACATCAATACATTTCTCTCATGAGTACATTTCAAAAAGCGGAATAACAAAATAAGTAATAAATGTTTCTTTGTATAAACCATGCTCATAAATAACATATCATGTGTAAAATTTACAGAATATAATTCAAGAAACTAAAAACACAGGCAAGCAATTTGTCATATAGACTTGCTGTTGGTTGACATTAACCACTTCGGTGCTAATTCATATAGTTAAATGACACCAGTAATAAAAATAGTAAAGGAAACCGTGATCATTATTCAACATGGCGTGTTTTTAATACTAACTGGCGAACAATATATAAACTTACTTATACGTAAATGACAATATTGAGACATTAACAAAGTCCTGTGTTAAGTAAACTGAAAATTACATTTATTAAGACAATCGTATTTAATAACTCTAATACTAACTGTAAAAGTTTGGAGGCTATGTCTACATGTATTGAAAAGACTGAGACGTAGAAATATTTGCAATAATGTCACAATGCGATAGTCAGTCTATTATGTGACCATTAACCAGTTTCTCGGCGTCTTACGTTACGCAGTAAAGCAATATTACTTTTTTTCATGCGCTGTAGTCCTATTGGAACTACATTCACACGGATGATCTAAGGTTTCAATTTATGGTTTCTGGCACGTGCCTCGGTACGTAACGATAAAAAAGAGTACGATTAGAAAGTATGCTAACAATGGTCAGGTTCAATATGAAACACAAAATTACGGAATCAGATTTTTATTCCAGACTGAGAGGGCTTTAAATGCATCCTCGTGCTTCGCAGATGTTATTGCACGAAAAAGGATACATTAAAACTTCGTTTGGAAACGTAATGGTAATATTACAAGAAATAACTATCAACAAAGTATAACAAGATTACATGTATATGCGAAATATGGCATTTGTGATATTAAATAAAAATTGAAAAGTAATTCCGCTAGTAAGTCTCGACCCATTGGCGCATTAGTAATAACTGATTGAGCATAAGGCCAATAGAATACCCGGTTACAACATCGATGAAGCTATATCTGTAATATTTAATATTAACCCTATTCTTTCTTATTTCCGGATTATTCAATTTTATTGATTAAACAAGCATGTGCACTGGTTCAGTTTGAAAACAAATATATCGTATAGTTTTGTTGTGTTGAAAATAGTAGCACATCATTCTGGGAAAATGTATAAATTATGCAAATTGGAGCGAGTGTATTGATTCCGATAGTAATTATTCGTAATGTTAATCGCCAATGGTTTTGTGAAAAACTTTTAGATATTTGATGTGTATCTATCATTTTTTATTCACACTGTTTAATCTTCTAAATATTTTTAAATTTGTTATACAATACATAGAAACATGGAGTGATTATGTACATGTATTTTTGAAAAAAATCATCTTTGATATAGACCATGTTTTTACAAATTTACAAAAAAATAAAATAAAACAACAACAAAAAAAACAACAAAAAACAAACAAATAACAAATCCACAAACTTAAATACAGTTTTTTTTTTCAAGATTTATTGTGATAACAAAATGTAAATAGAACATAAGTGATTACAAATGAAAACTTTACAATTCTAAAAAAGAAATCTATATACAAAAAGAAATATATATAACTTTATAATTGTAAATTACATCAATTGAGACATTGATTTTAAGACTACACATTGTCAATTCATTTCAAAACTTGTAAGTTATGTCTACATGACTTTAAAAGACTGAGTTTAAATAAAGTCACGTCAACTCATTCGCGATGTCTAACGTTACCTGGTAAAGCAAACTCCTCGCTGCAGTTTCTTATGTTGCTCAGATCAGGTGACGCAAACGTAGCGGCAAGCATCCCATTTATAAGCAATACTTAGTAGTTACAAATGAATAAATTCATACGGATGATATAAGGTTTCCGGCGCGTTGCCTTGGTATCCATAGACAGATATATGCCACGATTGGGAAAGTAACAATTGGAATCGCCGAATCAGACGTATACTTTTATGCCCTGACCTGCCGAAACGCGATTCAAATGCTGAAGATGTTAATGCACAAAGAAAGGTACATTTACCCTCTATTTTGTATGGTAAATGCATTACATTTACGATGAAGTAATGTAACTAAGTTATAAATTAACTGTAATTGCAAAATGTTTTTAATTGTGATTTAAATAGAAACTAAATATTAAGTACAAACCGTACTCATTTTTCCTAATGTATAAACTGATTCAGCATAAGGCCACTGAATAAGCCGATAACATCACGGCGGAAGCTAATTTAAACTTGAATACCGACTTTGCTCTCCATTAAATAAGTCATTTTTGTATATAAACAAACAAGTAGGTTGAAAAAGCAGAGCGTATTATTTTTGTCGTCATTCTAGAAACAATTGCGTAAATTATACAGATTGGAGCGAACTGATTAAATCCAATCGGGTCTCGAGATAATTCGTAATGATGATCGCCTTCGTGTTTAACTTCTAGATGATATTTGCTTTATATGTATCTTTTTTATCTTTACACCACATATACTCACGCACACGCACGCGCACGCACACATCAAAAACAAAATCCGCAAACTGAAATGCAGTTATTTATGTTTGATTGCTATGACAACAAATAACGATATGTATATCATTCTCATGAAACACTAGTGGTAACAAATCAAAATGTTATTACTTGTATATACATAAAGAAATATAAATACGAGGGCTGTTCAAAAAGTTCGTGGACTGCAGCTCTTTTGTTCATATTTTTTAATTTACGTACACGATTTTACAAGAGACAAATAATTGAACATGTCCTTAACATACAGTAAAAAAATCAATACAATATGTTTACAAATAACAATTCTGTGAAAATTACAAATAACAAGGGGAACGCGATCCGGCGCACGCTAATGATAAAACAAAATGACTTTCGTGACGTCGAAATTTAAATTAAAAATGTCATCAGCGTCGTTGCTTCTGAAAGTACATTTTCGAGTGTTCAATGTCTCCGGATCATATAACCAAAACCATTTTTATGTGTGCTATGAGAAGCGAGAAAGAAAACGGTCACCTTTTCGGTCAATTTTTCGTATAAGGGCCTCGAGAGACGACCAGTTTGCGCTCTTTATTGCGATTTTTTTAGTAATATTGATACTTAATGGACAGTGTTATCAAGTTGATTCATTCATCAATTGGTGGTTTATAATATTAATTTAAAACCACAATCGTTTGATCCGTAAACAGTATGATTCTCAACAGAAAAGAAAAATATTTTATCAACTGACAATTATTATGTGCGTTAAATCACCGGTTAGCAGTTATTAACAAACAAATCAGGGAAAATACATGTAATACAACTATTAACTACATTAATTTATTGTAAATACGCATATATCCTGATGAATAAAAAAATATTCTTTAAATTTAATTGTCTGGTAAGAATTGAATGTCCAGACCCGATGCAGAAATTTAACATGCCGGACAGCTCGCAAACCTTTCATACTGTACATCCTCCTGTAGACATTTTGCAATTGACGTTGCACACGTCCTGACAATTTGCCCCTTTCTCCCTCGCCCCCTTCTGTCTGTGATCATGTATTTGCCGTTTTTGAATCCCTTGCGCAAGTTGAAAGCGAACGACTTGTTCGCTGACTCATTGCCCTTTGTTAAATTAAACACCTCATATGAAAATGAATGAGTTTCCGCAGTTTGATGGCAAAACTTTCCGAAAATGTGAATTTCTTTTTTTAAATCTTTTTATTTCGCAATTTACGCTACTGACTACTGCCACTCAAAACTTGTTTGTTTAGTCATTCAACGTCCAAATGACGTCGAATTTCAGATTTATTTAAACATAGTAGGGAAATTTCGACGTGCGCCGATGTCGCGTTGCCATGGTTATTAAAGTGCACATAATTCGTAAAGGAAGTAAAGGTTTAAGATAAAAGTATAACTTACTTTTAGAAATAAAGATACTCTTTCGATTCATATCAACTCAGGTTGTTTTTATGAACCAAGTAAAAATGACAGCAAAAGTCCACGAACTTTTTGAACGTAAATAGAAATAAAACTCCACTGACGAAAACGTTGGCAACCCTTTTTATTACTTTAGAAATTTTAAATCAATGGTATCCTAATATTGTATAACAAACTCTTTTTATATCTTTCATTTTCATTGCTAGTTTGGCTTTTACAAATCCCATTTCTTTCACTTTTGAAGTTTCCTAATAGCCACTTCTGCCTTTTCTTTGTTTTGTGCATCATTTTGTATATGAATTTCCGTTTCTTTTCTAGCCTAGTAACTTCAGATTTGCTCATAAACATTGGACTACTTCTAAGTCTCACTCCATCAATATGTTTGTATGTAGTAGTTGATTTAATAACGTTCAGGTACCGAAAACGATTTATGTTATTTACTGCTCCCTTCAATAAACGTAATGGGCATCCATGGCATAAGGAAAATCTATATCCACACACAAAGTCTTGAAAATGCGGCTGTAAACCATTAAACCCAGGTGGCATACTTTGAATTCTTATGAAATCTTTTTGGTCCAAAAGCGCCACCAAAATTGTAATATCTTGAACATTCTGAACTACTGTCCTAAGAGTTCTTTCCAGATATTGCATTGTGTTCCAAATATGTCGAAAATTAAAAGTTGAACAATCACTATTCATGCCATCTTGTACTAATGAAATCATACTTTTATCGTAGGGTAAATCTAATGCATTGTATATATTTTTCAAAAAATCATACTCACTTTGCCAGGAAAGATACCCATTACTTATACCACTCCAAAGTTTTAGTTCATTAAGTATCTTTATGATTTCACTTAGGTATCGGGTAAATCTACTACAGTTTGATATAATTTCACTTTTTAAAGAGGCATAGAACAACTTTTTTATCTCTAGATACTGTAGCATAAGTTTTTCACTTAAGTGTAAGCCTTCTCTTGCAAACACGAGATTATGAATTAAGAAATCGTTAACAGTCATAAAATACATATAATAAAATCCTTTTAGACATTGATAGTTTTTAATAAGTGCTCTATCCTTCATGGTGATCATTCTCCTTAAAGTAATGCAACGGAAAGGATTCTGTTTCCTCATTTGAGGAAAGTTATTATAGATATTGAGTAAAAGAAATTCTACAGCACTTCTCTCAGGGAAAATGTAAGAATTTTCCTTTGGTAATGAAGATTCGACCGCTGTTCTGCCAAACAACTCGGCAAAAAACATTGCAGTAAAATTATGAACGTTTCGACATTGTGTTATTTCACCCCCAAATAAATTCTTAACTGTTTCTATTGTTCTTGCCATTCCATTTATAGCGAAGAAATGCACTAAAGACAAACCCTTAGAATGGTTACTACAGAAGACATTTGCATTCAAATCCGATTTTCTGTCTCTAATGAAATCCGATAAAAATCTATCAAGGAGAGAATAGGTAACTAATTTATCACTAGAAATATACGGTTTAAACTTCGCAAACACAGTCATATAAAGTATATCAACAACAGAAACATTTTGAGTTACCAAAGATAATTTCTTTTTCATTAAAAAATCCGTAAGGTTTATAAAACCACCAATAATAGAGTAGTGAAGAAGGTTAAATCCATCTATGGTACTGCACTTCAAATTCTTAATGCGTCTTCCTACAGCAAAGGTATTATTGATAACATCAAACAATGTGTCATTGTAAGTCCAAGGAGCAGAGAATGCAATATAATGCAAAGGAGAACGAATTAGAGGTTGCCCACAACTGAAAAGTAGCGTGGGATTGTCATCGGAAATTATCTTTAATAATTGTTGAAAAATGTGCTCACGTTTGAACTGTTTTGCCCAAAACATACCATGAATTATATGCCCCTTGATATTTAAGGCCTCAATAAACGAGATATTTGCAAAAACACGATTAAGTAAAAGAGTTTTCGACAAAAACGGGCTTTTAACAAGAATAGCATAGAAGTATTCTAAAAGAAGTTCTTTGGTCTCCTCCTGCGTAAATAATTTTTGAATATTGATTAAACATTTTTCCCATGGGATCAACGACCGTCGTATTTCCCAAGACTGTGTATTTATGCTTTCATTACTGAATTGTTTGAAAACAGTAGATGAGAACAAAATCTCATCATTTGGTGCATAATACAAAATGTATTCGACTGGAGTTAACTTTAATCGATTTTTTGAATGTAGCATTTGTTTGTATTGCTTTGGTTTCATTTTCTGAAGATAATGAAGCAGTTTTTCGTGCCCATACATAACGATATAATGAAGTAAATTTTGCTCATTGCAATCAACATGTGATATATTTGTTAGCTTTAGTAAATATTTTTGACAACGCAGGGTTAGATTATTTTGAGGAAAGTTCGACCAGCTCTTAGCCTCGCACATGAGAGCATAATGCAATACGCTCCTATTGCAATTATCTTTGAAATCTATTAAATTATCACTAAATGCATTAGTAAGTGCCCTTAAACTCGCCTCTGAACAGCTTATTGCTGCAGAATGATACGCCGTTGATTTATTTTTTGACTCTTCCTCAAAAGCAGTCCTTCCGAATTTCAAGGACATGAACTTGATGAAATCCGTACTACTGTGACTAGCTGCATAGTGTATAGGCTTATTGCCAGAACTATCTGCTATATTCCATTTCAGAGTGACGTCATTTTCAAAAAGGTCAATCATTTTAACCCGATTGTATTTAGCAATTAAATGGGCAAATGTTGCACCTTCTTGACAAATATCTTCCCTCTTCTCATCAATTATAGTACCGGAACCGGCGATGTCTTGACGAGATAAAAATGAAGCAGAGGAAGAGCAGATATCTATATTTGCTCTTTTTTTCATGCCATTAGTAAGCTGGTATCTTCCATGCTTGATCGCAAGTAAGAAAGGTGTATAACCATACGAATCAACACACTCTGCTAAACGCTTCGTCTTTTTTGCAATATATTCTGCGATGTGTGAGTCCCCAGACCGAATCGCATAATGAAGTGAGGTTTCTCGAAAGACAATCCACCATGTGTCTAAAGGTTTTATCAGATTGTCTAAAGGCGAGGCGTCGCAGTTACACGATTTCATTATTTTACCTAATTCCCTTTCAGCAGTTCTGTTGGATATGCAACTCGGTTTAAATCCTGAGTCTAAATTTGTTTAACGATATTAAAATGTGAATTTTTTTGGACGCAAAATACAAACAATTGTCGTCAATTATATTTGACTTTCTAGACATAAATATTTTCAATATATCAATATTTCCCATCTCGCAAGCTATATCAATTGGCCGCTGCCCAATAACGTTTACAAGATTTAAAGAAATGCTTGTTTCTTCAATCAAATATCTTGCAATTTCTGTAGATCTATGCTGTACTGCTATGTGAAGAAGTCCATAACCAGAATAGAAAATTGTTTTTATCTCTTCTATATCTTTTTTGAAATCGCGTAGAAATAGCTTTGTATCACACTTCCTACAAGGATTCACTGCAAAATCACAGTTTGCACCTTTCCGCAGCAACAATTTTAGCTGTTTAAGATGCCCTTTCGCTGCTGCGAGAAATGCCGGACTTACTCCATTTTCATCTGTTATATCAACTTTGGAATGATGAAATAGAAGTAAATCAAGCGCTTCTTCAGACTCAGTCTTACTTATTAGATTATGTAGAACTTCCTTCTCTCTGAAAGACATCACCTTATTCATATTGAATGAATGAAATGTCTTTTGCAGAGTAACACTTTTTGAGTTACTCAGATGAATTACTAGCGCAATAATATCACCAGTGCCGTTGTTCTCCACAGTTCTAAGCAAATGTTTTGAAATTAATTCATGTCCTTTTGTAAGGGAAACTTTATATCTGCTGGAGGCTGAATTAACTAACCAACTGTGTATTGCTTTATGGCGTAAAATTACGCCATCTTCCGCCTTTATAAAGTAAGAAAGTTGTTCAAATTCCCGTTCAAAATCTTTATATGATATGTTGATTGCCTCACTATTTATTAGTATGTCATATATATCGTTTCTACTTTGAGGAGTTAAACTTGTACAAATAATTTCGAGAATAAGTCTAGCATTACTGTAGGTATTACCTCCTTGAAATTGTCGATCAAAATTAAGTTCATATATATCCTCTAATGAAAATGGTAGCTTAGGCAACTTGCCATTAAAGTCAGGACTCTGAACATATTGCAATGCATGAATAATGTACAGGAAGTTGCCTTCACCACTTTCCAGTATTTTCTGTTTTATATCAGAATAAAAAAATCGTGACTTTTCATTGTAAATATTCAAATACTTTTCAATATACTTTTTTTTTTTTTTTTTTTTTTTTGAATATTGTGAAATTGGTCGAGTCGTTAGCTAAAAGATTTAATCTCTCTAGTTTTTTTTAGAGAACTTCAGTTGCATTATGTCTCTACTTGTTATGAGAAATTTGACCCACTTTGGAAAATATCGTAGTCGTGTCGATATCAAATTCAAAATAAAATTTTCGTTTTTTGTTAAGTGAAAACATTCATCAAGAGCGTCTATTACCACAATCATTGTAGAATATTCTGATGTCATATTTTTAAATGGAATTCTAAACGCCTGATCAAAGCACGCATCTTGTTCCTTAGCACATTTTTCCTTGTCATATAAAATAGAGGAACTGGACATCATGGAAACAATATTGCCGTATTCCGGTAGTCTCATTGCAAATAACCCTACTAAACGCCTGATAAACCTCTCGGGTGACTGCGTGCTAGAAACATCGTATTTACATATGTGAAACGCAGCTATGTGTTCCCTTAAAGTTCTGCCCTTTTCACCATGTCTGGCGCATAGCAAATGGGAAACTATGGCCGACTTTCCGTACCCGAATTCTGCAACAGAGACTATTCCGCGTCCAGATGATTCGTCTTGTAAAAGTTTTCTATCTAACATTTTAAACAGCCAATGTCTCCCAACTAAAGTGTTAGTGTCTCGTACGTACTCTATTAATGGTAAATCTTGCATCCAAGGCAAAGTATAGTTTTCATAGACACATCCGTCTGCAAAAAGTAAAAGTCAACAATTACATTAAGAAATTGTAAATGTTTCAACATTTCGATAAATCCTAGGCCAGAATTTTAATATATTATTATAATTTTTCTGTACTTATTTTCAACATATTTGCGTGTACCTCTATCTTGTCTTGCGAATCGCTTTACACATATATGACCCCGTGAGACATTTAACCATGCACAATTCATAATCTGATAACTGTAAATCGGCTTTTGTCGTGTAAAGCATTGTAATCTCTATTTTAAACATATCCTTCAACCTGTCAAATTCATACTCTCCAAGGAATTTGCTGTATTAAAGTGTTCTATAACCTTTATCTCGGTCGTCTTAAACAAAAAAATCTATGAAAGGTATCTTAATGTCGCGTCTAATCTCCTAATCTCCTTTCTTTATCTGAAGGTCAACGCATTATTTTATGATTAGTATAACAACAGTTTGATGTCAATATTACGGTGACTGTACCTGCCTTTGACATATCAATATCGCAATCATCAGATATTATACTTACAAGTCATGCCAACTCCTTCATTGTTTGAACAAGGTATGGTCTAACGGAAGAACGGCGGACCAACCGACCCATATATGAAAGCATTCTTAGAATTGGAAGGCATAAAAACAATCTTCAACAGGTGTAATCATATTAAACACCCTTCAAGTATGGTTATTAGCAAATCATTTAAAGTAATGTCCTTTATTTTGCTATACTAATTTATTTAACTAAAAACAGAAAGCGTCAGTTAATTGAATATTTTTACCTAGACCTTGAGAATGATACTCTTTCAACGATACGTGGTTTGGTACAAAATAATACCATACACATCCTAAAAATGCAAACGTAAGCGCAAGAGTTGTAAAAGGTGTTGTTTTCCTTCTCTTCGAATCTTTTTTTTTAAAATTCCTTGAAAGTCTGTCTAACACCGTACCAGAATATCTGTTTTCCACCTCTATAGATTCTAAGTGGTCACATATTTCACTTAATGTGTGTTCTAATGATCTTTGATTTTCATGATATACAGCTGTTATTTCCTCAAGTACAGATTTGTCAATGGAATAGAATAAATCATCCACATAAATATCATCCAGTTTGCTTAAATATTCATTCACATTAATGTCGTTTGCGATGTCTTTATCTTTTATCAAATCTTTTAAAGCATCAAAAGCTTTGGCCTTTTCAATATCAGTGGCTTCAAAACTAATATTATGATATGTTTCATTTCTTGCAGCTCTAACGTTTTTAACTATTGTTTTATTCAGGTGAAATTCCCTACATTGCAGCCAAATATGACACTGTGTTGATATATCTGAAAACTGTATGGGATTGCTTTTTGTCCAGTCACCCGGCAGGAATACTTCGACAATGCTTTCATAAGAGTCAGGCCATTTCCATGATTCCGTTTTCTCCCAATTTACACTCCTTGATCTATTTACCCCCGACAGTTCTTTTTTCCACTTTGAGCAAGTTTCACACCATCTGAAAAAAAGAATTTGTTTGACATAGTCTATTAACATGAGAACAATTAGTCTACCACATTTCTAAAACATTTACTGAAGTTCACATAAATTGACTTAAAAAAGGTCGAAGAATGATATAGAACAATTACATAGCTGGAAACAATACAATTAACTTCTTAAATGTAAATTGCTGATACATTCTGGAGCAAGTGTCAATTGTCTAAATCGTTAAACCTTTGAAAAAGTGAAACAAAATCTACATCTCTAAACAAATTCCATTTCAAGATATACCAATATGCTTAAAATAAGCTTTGAATGTTTTTGGAATCGCAGAAATGAAAATGAAAAAAGCCACGAAACCAGGTTTTCAATAACCACCACTGTTGAATGCACTGTTGTCATTGGAATATAAATACAAGCTATGTGCAGTTTAGCTTTGGCATTAAAACAATGGCAATAACCCTATGGGGTTAAAATGCAATTCTAATTGAAGCGTTCAAATACTGTAGAAATAATATTCAAGAGGAATTAAAATCTCATTCCTTAATCAAGTTCTAGACCTGAAACAAATTTTCTATTTCTTATGACCTTTTATTGATCATAGGGAATCCAAAGGCATTTCCAAGCAAAATCTTCACATAAGCTCTTTCTATACAACAAGTTTCATTGAAATATCTCATTCAAGTTACTTTAATTACTGACTGGAAACCGATTTTATATTTTAAGTAACAGTGACCTTGACTCAGGAAGCCAAAATCAATCGTAAGCAAGGTCTTTACATAACCTTGCTTTACACCAAGTTTCATTGAAATATTTCATTTCAAACTCTAGTTATTGACCATAAACTAATTTCCCTTTTTAGTAACAGTGACATTGACTCATCAGGCCCAAAAGCAATCGTAAGCGAGGCTTTACATAAACTTGCAATACACCAAGTTTCATTGAAATATCTCATTCCAAACTTAACCAATTCCCGGAAACTGATTTTCTAATTTTAGTAACAATGACCGTGACCCAAAGGGGCCCAAAAGCAATCCAAAGCAAGGTCTTGTCATAAGCTTTACATCAAGTTTAATTGAAATATCTTATTCGTTGAGAATTAAAGAAGAAGTTGCGCACAGAAGGAATTGTTCACTATATATTCCATAAAAGGACCATCATTAGGTCGAAAATTATCAAATCAGAAACCCCGATAATATGCGCCAGGACACTTGATGGCAAAGCTTCTGTGAAAGTTTGGTCAAAATTCCTGAAGAAATCTATATAAGAAAAGGACAGGGGCATAATTAGGTCAAATATTATCAAATCACAAAACCCCGATAATATGCGCCGGGCACTTGTTGACAAAGCTTCTGTGAAATGTATGAGGAGTTGTGCTCGGAAGAACTTTTTTACGCCCGCCCGCCGACATACCTCAATCCAATAACCAGTTTTTTTCTTCGGAAAATCTGGTTAATAAAAACAAAAATAACGTTTCACATCACTGATGTAGAATGTACACCACTTTTAGGACAGCAAACTGAAGTGTTGATCCAGAATTACCTATATTTTGAAACAAATTCCAAATAAAAACATTCAGAGTTTAATGATCGATTTTAAGTATTGGGAAACTCAAAGATTACAGCTACATATACAACACACAAAGATGTTAAGCCCATTGCACTGTTAGACTGTCACCTTTTAAAATTCGGCGACACATCTGAGAAAAAATAAAACTAACTACCAAACTCTGATGTCATAGAAAAAGTTGAAGATAATACACCATTGGTGCCACCCCGCTAAATTATTTCTGAAAGCAATTGAGACATAAGAATTTGTGTAGACACGAGACAAGAAAACACAGCAGTTGAACGTGAACGATTTTTCCATGCTGAGCATTTACGAAACACTGGAAGAACTTAGTTGAGCCGGATTATTCACATAAATAGGCCTAAACATGGAGTATATCAGATAGAGATCGACCCACAATCAAGAAAACAACAACATTTGTTACAAACTATGGACTATATATTCGAATTATATTTAGAATTTTCTGTGCTTCAGATTTATACTCTGTATTTGTTTTTTTTGTAGGGGGTGGGGGTGGTAACGTAGAAATCAAATGGCGAATTTCCAGTTTTACAGTTTGAGGATGACCTTAGCTGCCCGTCCGTGCATTTCAAGAGTCCCCTATATCAAGACATATACCAACACCTGAATTCAACATACACTTCAAGACAACCGAATTGCAAACAAAGAATTCAGATTTTATACAGGTACATGATTTAAAAAAGAACAACAAAACGCCACGCTGCGCAATGTCCTACACCACCTTAGAGATAAAAACCTAACGATGAACAAAAGTAAATGTGATTTTTGCAATGCCACCATCACATTTATTGGCTAAATAATGTACTCATGTCACATGATGAAAAGAATATGGCAGTGCTAAATACATCGGCCCTAAAAGATGTTAAAGAAGTTTAATCTTTTTTAGGACTTTTAAACAACTGCTCAAAATCCCTGGAACGAATGCATAATAATCATTTACATAATCTGACATGTCCTTTGTAAATAAAAGTAAACGAACGTTTACCAAGAAAGCCTATATAAAAATAAAATTTAGATATTTTGTAAACAGTCGTAGAAATTATATGTTACACTGATTAATAGCAATATTAATGTTTTCTCTAGAAGTTTGAATGAATAATAACGTTTATTGTTATATAGTCGAAAGTGATCATTTCCTGATGTCTTAAATTTTCATAGTATAATGGTCACGGTTAGTTTGTTTTCATTGAGAATGGGTCTGACAGTTTAGTTTCGATAAAATGGACAGATCTGAGTGATATGCTTTCTCAAAATTCCATTGAGTTTCACTTGATCGATAATGATGGGATCATACTTTTTAATAGTTTAATTATTTCAAGAGGACTTGTGGCTATTTACAAGAATCAAGGATTTTTATAATTTTTTCAAGATGGCATCTTCGGAACTGCCAACGCCACAGACTTTCAAAGTTGACGGGCAAATGCACACTTGTCCAGTGCATGGGACAATTATATTAAACGATTTGACTATTATATACAAGTAGCTGGCATAACAAGAAAAAAAAACGAAAGTTACATTGTGGAGGGTCCCTCTTATTACATTTTGTGCCATGTCCCTTTCTCTTCCCCAACCACAAATGTTTTCCTTACGCCCCTTGTCTATCCGCCCCTTTTAATTATAAGCATTTCACTTATTACATGTCCCCTCATTTTGCCACCCTTGTGTCTTCTCCCGGTTTTGGCTCGGTGCCTTCTCCATGCCTTGCTGTTGTTTTTGGATTGTGTCGGGGCTGTGTTCTGTGCCTTGTTTATCTTTGTTCTTATTTTTTACAAGATATTTTCATACCAAAAATACGTCAAGATGACTCAAACATTGGGAGATTTTACATACTTATTCTTTCCAAAGAAAATATGATTCGTGACCAACTGATCAAACACCGCATCTCAAAGAAGTGAAAGGTCTGATTTATTCGTGAACAAGATTTAACATTGAAAAAAAGTTCAACATATTGCCACACAATCAAACTTTCAAGCCAACGAAATACAGGAGTCAATAAGAAATAATCACAAATAAGAATATCTTACCAATCATGATGACGTTGGCCAGATTTAAAACAGAAAAGAAAAACAAACAAAAGGGCCAGGATGGCCTTAATATCGCTCACTTAAATATGAATACTCTCTTTACAAGTAATAATGTAAACTACAAACCAAAGCAGATATAAAATCTAAATCATAAACTGTCACAATGTTCATATTTGTATCTGAAAAAGTATACGTGTAATAACATTACTGATTGCTATTGCTAAGGGAAAATAACAGTAAAATAAAAAGTCACTGGTTGCTATACAAAGTAAATGGTTTCCTTGGAAGTCAGTGCCTGCTAAGAAATTCAATGGTAGATTCACTGGTTGGTATGGAAAGTTAATGTTTCCTATGGAAGTCACTGGTTGCTGTTGCTATAAAGTCACAGGTTGCTATGGATACTAAGCTTTAGCTCTTGTATAATTAGAGAAGATTTTTAAAAAAGGTTTTTACTACATTCAAATAAGGAAATCTATGTTTTTCCGGGGCGGGGCAAATTTTAACCTGATGGCTATTATTTGAAAAGTTTTGTAGAGGTCAACCAGACAATGTTGCATACCAAATATCTAAGATAAAGCCTCTACAGTATCATTGGATTTTTTATGTTTTTTATTATAAACATAGAAGGAAAATCAATGATTCCCTTGAGGCCTAAAGGTCCACTAGACAATGTTTCATTAAATATCTAAGCTAAAGTCTCTCTAGCATAGTAAAAGAAGTTTTTTGTTATTTCTTTATACTTGCAAATTTTATTCCAGGGATATAATTTGAACACAAATTGGTAAAGATCAACTACACAATGTTTCATACCAAATATCTAAGTTAAAGACTCTGAGAATAAGTTTTTTGTTTGGTTTTACTATATACATATGGAGCGGGGCCAATTTTGACCCCAGGGCTTTTATTTGAACAAACTTGATAGACACCTTTTAGAAGATTTTTCATGCTAAATATCTTAGCACTAATTTTTTTCGTTTTTTACAAGAAGACTTTTTGTTTGTTTATACGATATACATATAAGGAAAATCAATGACCCCCTGGGGGCGGGTCAATTTTGACCTAAGGCCTATAATTTAAATATTTTTTTGTAAAGGTCCACCGGACAATGTAATATACCAATTTTTCAAGGTTAAACCTTTGTAGTATAATAGAAGAAGATAAATTTTGTTTTCACTATACACATATAATACACATATAAGAAAAATCAATGATTCCCTGGGACGTGGCCAATTTAACCCAATGCTATAATTGGAGCAAATTAGTAGAGTCCTAACTGATAATGTTTCATGTCAAAAACAAACCTTTAGCTCTTGTACTTTAAGAGAAGAAATATCTTTAAGGTTTTACTATATACATATAAGGAAAATCAATGATTTCCTGGAACGATGCCAATATTTACTTTCAA